ATGGCAAGTCTTATGTAAATGAGACATTATATAGCCTCGTGCATTAGACAACTACCTGCCTACGTACATCAAAGGCCAGAGGTCTATTTACTGGGGATGTGGCCATCCATAAAGCAGCATTAAATACTAGGTTGGGGCTGGCTATCAAATTAAAGCTCCGCAATGAACCCGCAACCAAGAACGTATATCGAGCCTTGAATGAAAAGCTTAGGGTTTCCATCTCCAGCCGGGATGCTTCCACTCGAGACTCTCAATCTGCGCCTGTGATAACCCCTCTAACTCCTTGCTAACGTCAACCTTCTCGCGTCTTTTGTTATCGGCTTTCATCCAGAATAGGGTTACGGTAGTTACAACGAATAATATGCTGGAGGCGGCAAGGTTCAATCCGTTGCCAATAGGGTAATCGGGTCCGTCCCAGGATAGATACGACCAGGTAGCAATGAGGCCACCAAGGGCGCCGAACGTCATGTTGGTCCCGAGGCTCACGCTGCGCGCCGTGTCGCTGACAACCTGTGCCGCTACCTGCGCATTACTCAATGCTCCAACGGCGAAACAACTGATGGCCGTGAAGAAGGTTGCTGCGTATCTCACCTTGGGATCGTTGCTTGCTAGGAACATGATGTAACCCATCATTGTCAAGGGCGCGGTGAGGATTAGGAAGACCTGTCGTCTGTCCATACGCCAGCTCAGGAGCGGAATAACAACTTCGAATGCGGCCCCGACAACGTACGGTGGAACCGTGTATAGCTGCTTCTGGACCGTCGTGTAATGAGGATAGATGGTGGCTACGATAGTAGGCGTGAAGAAGGCTAGGCCCTGGACAGTGATGCTGTGGTTTTCAAGTCAGTGATCGCGGAAACATTAAGCGAAACAGGATATACATACTTATTGAGTAGGAAGATGAAACTGGTCGATAGGACAACAGGGTTCCAGAAACCTAGCCAGAGTTTCTTGCGGTCGGTCTTGTCGAGAACAACAGTCTGGCCCAAAAGTTCCGACTTGACACGGGCGACTGCTAGAGTCTTTTCTTCCTCCGTGAGCCAACGTGCCGTTTCGGGACGGTCGGTAAGCGTGACGAACGAGATCAATGACAGCCCGATCGTGATGATGCCTTCGACCAAGAAAATCATACGCCAAGCGGTAACACTACCGATGTTGGATAGACTTAGAAGACTGTTATACCCGAGTTAGCTGCGATTATCAAGTGCCATAAACAACTCAACTAACTGTCCGAATAATCTTAACAGCATGAAACTTCAATAAAGGGAGTGATTAATCAGCATACGTACCCAGAAGCGATCAATCCCCCAAATGCGCCGGCAAGTGGCGCCATAACAACAAAAAGCGAGATCCGGAAAACCAGTTCGGAGCGGCGGTACCACCGGGAAAGATAGTACGACATTCCGGGCATCATGCCGGCCTCAAAGACGCCAAGAAGGAAGCGGACGCCACAAGCCGCCGGCAAATCACGAACGAAGGCCATTCCAAGAGAGGAAATGCCGAAGCCGAGACATAGAATGGGGATAACCCAGCCGGGACCAAGCCACTTGCACGCCAGGTTGGACGGGACCTCGAAAAGGCAGTAGCTGACGTAGAAGATGGAGAGAAGCATGTTGTAGTCGTTGCCCTTCATGCCCAGGTCCTCCTCGAGACCGGCGAGTCTTGCGTTGCCTGCGAGCTGTTAGTATAACTAACTATACCTAACTGATAAAAAAAGAAATAAAAGTTATATCGCAAGGACTCGATGTGAAAGCGTACGTACCTATATTTGATCGGTCGATGAAGCAAAAGAGATATAGGATAGACACCGTCGGGACTATCATCCAATCTATCTTGGTACGGAGTCTTCTTTCGGCTTCCCGGTCGAACTTGGTGACAGGCACACCGCGACTACAAATCAGAATTTGGTAAGCTTGTAAGGTCACTTTTTATTATTATTTTTTTCAGTAATGCTCGTAGCACCTCACCTGTCGGTTGCCGCGACGCCCTCCTCAGCAGCGACATGTATATCCTTCTCGAAACGCTCTTCCTGGGAGAGGTTTCCCTCTTCCTTGCCGGAAACGTTGCCGTCGGACGTTGCCATGTCTATCGTCGTGATTTCTCAGCCTTCTTTTTTTTTTTTTTTTTTTAGTCCGGCTATGTCGAAGACGAAAAGGAGAGAGAAATGATATATGTGTTAGTGGGAAGGGCGGGATAAGAAAAAAAAGACGTTGAGATTAATGCTTATGGGCAGCTGCAGGATTATTTATCGGAGCAATTTATTTTATCTCTGCGCAGATAGCAGTTTACCTCGTATGTATGTATGTATGTATGTAGGTAGGTAGGTTGCTATGCAGGGTATGGACATCCTGGTAGGGGAGGGTGTCAAAGAGTTGATCCTTCTAATAGGGAACCTCGGTGACAAAACATTAATAAGACTTTTACGCATCTTGGACAACGATATTACGGGATATGCGAGGTTTAATAGGGTACGAATTACGTTTGTGTTGGGTTCCCTGGGACTATACTGATACCTATGAACAAACTTACCTACCTTCTAGCATACGTACTTACGTACTTACGTACCCCAACCCCGGGTAGGTAGAGGAGAAACACGGGGAAACTAGGCGGTTGTCTTGAGAGCTTGGACTTGATTGTCGGAGAGTTGTCAAATCAGCGAGAGGCAGTAGCAAGGTGACATATCAGGATTGCTAGGGTAACCGTTACATTCGGCATTGGTACCTACACTATGGAGTCAAGAATGGGGTGTGTATGTGTGTGAGCGTTGACCCCAACCTTGTCAAAGTAGGTATTCCGAGATGCAAAGACGTACCGTACCTACCTATGTATGTACCTAGGTATGTAGGTAGGCTATGATACTTAGCTTCAACCCATTATAACATAGACAAAAGATCTATACATTTATTAGTAGTGAAAGACTCTCACTGATCAAACTAATCGGATTCTTTGTTGACGTTATGGGGTTTAGTTTAAGAGTTTAAACCTGGTCTCACCCCCCCGGAAGCTCCATACGTCCTATACGCATCGGATATTACGCGTATCGGACTTAACACGACTTAAGACTATACACCTATTAGAATTATAATATAATATTATACAAAATCCTATATTGTAATTGATGTACCTCTATCTTAAATGATGACAGACATTCTTCAAAGCAATCGAGGAACGTAACACGGCGTCAAGCCCTACGAGATTTTTGATCGTGTACAACAGTCGGTTTGAATTTATTAGCCTGCAGCGGCCCGCGCATGCCAAGCTTCGGGATTCAGGGGTTTTCATTGATTAAAATCTGATCTACACGATATGTAACGGCGAAGCTAAATACCCCACATTCTGGTCGTGCTTGGCGATGGCTTCTTCTTGGGCTTCCAGAATTAATGGCTTGGTATATTAACAGGTTATCAGAAGTGGGATTTGTTTAGTTGTACATTATTAATAGTTTGATCTTGATACCTGTTAACTACCACCTCCACATCATGGTATTTAGTCGCATGCGAGTTTAACAGCCGGATCAACCGGGGTATGGGGTTCGAAGTATATAAGCTACATCCAAGCCTCTCCCATTGACAAACCGGATAACCGAATCGCCTATCTGGTCGTGCTGCCTCCGAGCTGTACCACGTGAATCTTCGGGGATGTGCAGTTATGTTACCTAGTTTGATCACACTTCCGAAGCGAAATGCCGGCATTGACCTGGATGCTTCGGAAGCTTTCCGTAACTCGACGGATACACGTAGATGCCCCTTTAGTAACTTGCTTAGTTGAGCATTACGCGATGGACTTGATGCTTTACACCTAAGCCGAAGGTATAAGTGCGGGCTCGTGTTAAGACAAGGTAGTGTTTTGTCGATCAACATTAATGCTCTTCTAACTACCTATTCACCTAATTCCCGAAATTCTAACAACCGTCATACCATTGTTCCCAGATAAGGTGGCTACCCGCGAGCATTTGATATAATCGTAATAAGATACAAGTACCAAGCGCTTAGATATATTATTTCGCACCATCTTCACAAAAGACCAATAATGTTTAAAGCTAACGACCAGCCACGATTATGTAGTTCCAGAGGCACCGTAACAAAGCTCATCCATATCCATATCAATAACCGGCTCGAACGAGCTCACGGAAAACGCTATAGCAGAATCTGCCTTTTGGCTCTTTTTCGGCTTGAGCTCCTTAGCTTCCCATTCCAGGATTTCGATCTGGGGATACCTCCTCATCCAATGTACAATCCACTGCTTTCCAAGCTTCTTATCCGACCCCTGTTTCTTCAGCACCCGTTCTGCAAGACTGAATAATTCGTTCTTAGTTGGCGGGCATCCTAACGCTGACTGAGCGGTTGCCCAGTCAGCTAGAAGACCTTCTTGCCTGAGGGTCAACCGGGATAGTTCGCTGCGGAGGTTCTTGGGTGCTCTACCCCGTGTCCGTGCGTTTAGATGGCTAGGCGGGACGCCGAACCGTCTAGCTGTCTCGCCGATCTTGTCTCCGTTCTGGACTGCCTCGATAGCACTTGCCATGTCGGTCTCTGCCCATTGGTATCTGGTACGCTGCTTATTCTCTTCGTCCGACTTACGAGGAGGCGGTCTGGGCCGTTTATCACCTAGCCGTTCCGCCAATGTAGTCTTAGGGACGTTGAACCTGATGGAGGCTTGGCGGAGTGATAGACCTTCTTCTGCAATGGCTTGTTCTGCTCTTGCCATGTCGTCTTCTGAGTAGGCACGATATTTAGCACCGCTCCTCGGGTGGCCTAATAGGTTTGGCGGTGCTATATAAAGTGGTATTTGCATGGCAGCTGTATCCGATAGATCCATAGTAAATGTCTATGCATTAAAGATTATGATACTCCGAAATAATTATTGACGAAACTTCTTGACAAAGGACATTAATTGATTAAAACGTATTCCAACATGTCCTCGTAGTTATTCTAAATCAAATAGTCAATAGTAACAAAAGGTGCCCCAATTCCGGGATTTTGGTGATACGATGATCATTTACCAAGGGGGAAAAGTCTAGACACGTGAAAGTCCGCTTGTAATGGGGTACATTTTCGTTGTACGCCTTGAGACCTTTTCATAGGTAGGTAAGTTGCATGTAGGTTAGGTACCTAGGTAAGGTAGTCTTGTACTCTCGCTGTTAAATCTTAAGGGACTTGAGGTTTCTTGAGATTTCTCATCGCAAACGGGGGTAAGTAATTCCCGGTTAGTTAAATCATAGCAATTGTGTATGTTTTGTCATATTATTTGTTTAACACGGTAGATGGCGGGCACATTACTCCCATTAACATCAACTGATTTCGCCTGTTGTCTTACACCCCTCTTCCCCAGGACTGCCGCCATCGGCTACCAGCAACCGAATACATTGCCTGTTGGTAGAATATGATGATCTATCGTGGTCCAACGCGGACTAAACCTTCTCTCTGCTATCATCGATCCTCGATAGACGTCTAGTATTTCAGTTTCTTTAATGAGCTGAATGCCATTTCACGACACGCCTGCCGCCTTGCCCAAGCTACCGGATCCTCGACTGCTGAAGATGCTCATAATACCAAAGCCAACGTAGAATAACATCAACGGGTATGCTACTAAGGCCCTCATTTGCATCATTTGTCCAACTGCGCAAAATATGCCACTCGCACTTGTCGTGCACCAAACGATTGCCGCACTGGTTAAGATGTAGCCAAGCGGTCCGTCCATTGGTATGACAATGCCTATTAGGCTTGTTATGACTAGCGGTAGCAAGCAGTACCCAAGCACGCTTGCGCTCCTTGCAAATGTTAGAGTACTGCTGAAGTGCCCCTTAGAATCGTCTCTACCGCCCACGTTGGGATCGCCGGGGTAACCAGGGGTAGAAGGATAGGCGGCTTGAGCAGGTGTCGTGGGACTGGTGCCGTCGTGAGACATAAGTGATAGGATTGTGTGTAGCGCAACCGATCCCATGAGCGCTAATCCGTAGATGTACCCGAAGTGTACCTTGCCACTAAAGAGTAGGAATGTGCCGAATAGGAAGAAGAAGAGGATGGGGCCGCCAAGGTCGGAGTCGTCCATGATGTGTTGATCTATACGTCCGAAGGGGTTGAGAACTGCTAAAGTCTGAAAACGGTTAATATTACTGCCGAATCAACGGAATGCAAGCCGTTCGGAAGCTCACCTTCATCCAGATGTGGTCGAAGTTGATTCCTAGCTCTTCTAGCAACGGCGGTTCCCCATCATATCCTTCTGTAGAGAAAGCGGCGAGCCAGCCCGTCCGCAGGCCACCTTGTTCGCCCATCCTCCCACTCACACCAGGCGCAGCGCCGAAGCCGTATCCACCAGGGTTAGGTGTTGGCGCGCCATAGCCGTATGCTTGCGCCGGGGTTCCCTGAGCTGGTATACCGGGTGAATACGACGAAGGGTAGAACTGAAGGTTTTGCGCGGCCGCCGCACCGCCGAACTGATTTGGAGGGGGTGCGCCGTAGTATTGCGACATGTTTTGCGGTCCGATGCTCGAAGCAGTTCTTGAATAGGGATAATCGGCTCGAAGCTGCGTGGGTTTTAGAGACAAAAGTATTTACGTTAAAAAAATTGAAAATAAGAAAGCTGGTGTAGGTTAAGAGGTACAAAGGATGAAAGAGTTGGTAGAGAGGGAAAACAGTTGGAGTGGATGTGACATAAGAAGCCGTGAGACGTTGTTCGAAACGTTCTCGTCACGACGATGGTGGAATTCAAGTTGACGGATCGCCAAAAATGAATCTGTCTTCACCGACGTGGCTGCGAAAGCTTAGATCAAGTCCATCTACGTAACCTCCAGGGCTTCTAGCTTCCCCTGTATTGTGGCTGGTGGAAACTGTGGCGTTATGCCGAATCCCTGTGACACTGCAGGGGACATGGAATTGGCCGGATGTTTTAGTTCCGGAGCCCCGGAGTCACAACTCCGATGTGGATTCCTTTGTAATCGTTCCGCTATCGCGACAATTTTCGAGCCTCGGGCGACTTCTTTTCTTCAACACCCATCAATAGGAAGCACCTTATCGCCTCGATCGCAAATTCCGATCTACGGCCTTGCGAATCCCTTTAGTATACGGGATCCTGCTGCTGTATTTTTACCTTCTATAAGTCCGAAGCTGCAAACATGGTACGTTAATAGAGGAATTTTTTCTAAGCCGACATAATCCACCTTTGCGCCACCGACAATTGCCGCTAACAATTATAACTAGGCGCACCGCATCATAACGCAGATCGTCCTAGTAGGCAGTCGAGTACTCGGACGCGCCTTTGCCGAAGCTTATAAGCAGGCACAAGCATCCTCCAACTATGCTCGAGCGCAGGCTAAGTTGAATCCGAATGGAGTATCGGCTCGGGCGAGTCTCTCGAGTGGCATGACCCTAGATGAGGCGTGCAAGATTCTAAACGTCAAGCCGCCACAGGGTGGACAGGCGAACATGGAAGAGGTTATGTCGCGATTCAAGAAGCTCTTCGATGTAAACGATCCGCAGAAGGGAGGAAGCTTCTACCTACAGAGCAAAGTCTTAAGAGCGAGGGAACGTATAGAAGCCGAGGTTAGACCAGCGATGGAGAAAGCTGCGCAAGAGGCGGAGATAAAAGAGGGATGGAAGCCCAAGATGTACAAGGACCGGTAGTGATTTCGGAGTAGAAAGAGGATAGGAGTTTGACCCGAGGGCGGGTTTAGTGTCACTGGGGATGGGACACATACTATACGCAACAACCATTTACGAAAGCATCTTCACTCGACTGTGGCATGGCCTGGCGTTATCATTTGGGAATTTTGACGCATTCATGGACCGGTTCGTTCCTGGTCGGACTTAGACGAGAGACGACGCTGCGTGTACTACTGTATTTATTGTACATTATATGTCAAAAAGGGGCGACAATATATAGCGGTTCTTTGTGTGTTAGATAGGTGCCGGACGGGTTCCTTACGGACGAATACATGAGGACTTCCCTTGGATACCTTTTTGCATGATGACTACATATTGAAATATCTCAAAGTTGTGTTACACTGCGAATATTGACAATGTATAACGATCTGGGTATTCTCGACCCGCTCATCTCTATATACTAAGATTAGTATATTGTACCTTAAAGGCATGTCTATACAAGGCACATGCAAATCTTGATCTAATATTGGGGTCCTAGATTTTTCTCTTCACCAAGCCCCTGAAAAAATCAAAACTATTTTCATCGCTCTGCAATGCCCATATCTTCCCCGTCGGTCTATCGTCACTTCCCAGCTCTTCCGCTCTTAGCATACCCCAATCGCTAGTAATACCTACGATCCGAGCCTTCACTCCACCCTGAGCCTCTAGGTTGACTATCTGCCGTCCGTGTAGCCAGTGTGCATAGTATGCACTCTCCATATCTCTCGTGAAACCTCTTCGTACGAATGTCTTGTACAGAGCTTCTAGCCGGGCAATGATTCCCGCCGTGAGTTTTTCGATTCGGAACGGGGCGAGGTGGGAAGGCAGCAGGGCGTCAAGGGAGGTGGTGGGACGCCCGTTAGTGGCATTGATTCCGATTCCAAGGACAATCTGGTAAGCCCCCGCCGAATAGTTGCAGTTAGATAAGATGCCACCGATTTTGACGTAAGAAGGAGGGGATGAAGAAGGCTGCCTCGGATCTCGCGCATAGATATCGTTGGGCCATTTTAATTTCACAGGGACCTCTTCGTATCCTCGGTCATAGTTCTTTACAGCTTCGACTATAGCAATAGCGGCTAGATACTGGATGAAGACGATGGGCCGGCTTGGCGCAATATGAGCTGGATGGTTGATGACGGTGGACATTATTAGCGACCCAGCGGGTGACACCCAGACATTGTTCCCGCGTCCCCGTCCAGCGACCTGAGTTGTTGCTGTAAGTGTAAACCCCGACGGTAGTTTGGAAAGCAATTTGAAGTTTTTCTCCAGCAGTGTATTGGTGCTTGTGACAACTTCTCCGTACATCAGGAAGTCGCCCCATTCTTCCGCTTCAGGTTCTGTCCGCCGATAATCTTGTAAGCTAGAATAAAATGCGTTGTGGTTGAAGTACGGAGTTGCCTTGGCTTCTGGCCAGGCTGTTTCATGAGTTACAATACGCTTAACAATTGTGCTATAGTCGATTATGCCTTGACTACTTAAGTCAGGAGACTTTTGATCTTGGCTACCATCAGGAGTCAGTGCCTCTTTCAAGCCAGTGACGGACCACATGGTTTCGGGCTTCTGTAAATGAAATGTGTCGTTTTCTGCTCTTATATACTCTTCGCCGTCTTCTTTGCTGATGATATCTTCCCAGGTGTGTAATAAGTCGTCCACGTCGTTACTAGAGATGGACGACAAATGAAGTCGAGAGAGGGATGGCACACCTGTTGTTTCCTGACTGACCTCTAGCCCAAGCTTAGTTAAGCACGCCTTTAGGAAGCTTGTTCGTGCATCATCGTCAGCTTTGAGGGCAGCGATGAGGTCGTCATATCCCTCAACATCGTTCTGTGGACTTAGATTTACCGCAGCAAATTCAGGGTGAGGCCCTGTAAGGATAGCAGCACCTTGGCCGACTTTGCAGTATACCAGGGCTGCCTTTTCACGACCACCATCGACATCGAGTTCGCCCGCATAGCTTGCTAGTATCTCAATATCACTGTTTCCATTTGTGGGGATGACGAAGACGCCGCCGCCATTGTAGTAGGATGTGAATACCTCTGGGACTAAACCTGCCCCCCTGAATGCATCCTTCACAACATTCACTCGGACTGCTCGGGCCCCTTTCTCGCTGTGATACTGGAAGCCTTTGAACGCACCACCCCTACATGTGCTAGGAAAGAAAGCTAGCTCTCTGGATCCGACAACTTCCATAGCCTTGTTGCCAACCTCGAACTCGCACCTCTTGCATCCATAGTAGCCGCCGGCGCAGAAACCCAAGTATGCACCACCTCGGCGCACATACTGAGATATAATTGAGTTGCCTTCCCCATTGAGCACACGACAGTAACCAAGATCAGCACCGCCTGGAAAAACAAGCAGCGCGCAAGAAGGTGCCCATGGCTCTTTTAGTAGAACAGCCTCAGTGATAGGGATGACTGCATAGTTTGGGGAGAGAAGTCGACGCAGGGAGTAGATTGCATGCTTAACTGATTCAATTGTAGACCCCGTGCCCGTGTAGACGAGCACATTTAGTTTTCGCGACGTCATGGTGGGCGAAATCTTATTCAGCCCGAGGTTGTAGGGGTTGAAGAGTAGTACGGGGATTTGTTAACGAGTCCCCGGGAGCGTAATGAGGCGATTCTAAGACCGGTTCGGATCCCCCGAATTTCTGCCTTTATACCGCCCTCTAGCGCAATTTAGTTCTTTAATTCGCAACGCCGAACTACGCTACTTAACACTATAAAAAGATATTTTAACGACGGCCTTAGATTTGCCCCATACGGAATAAAGCGTTGTAAATAATGTCCAAAGACGAAAGCACAAGCCAGCAGACCACTGCTGCTCAAGACGACGACGAGCCGGATGAATGGTAAGTGTTGTTAAAATCAGCTGTTTATAATAATTGTTAGTCTTCATAGGCTAACTCCATTTTCTCGTCTGATACTCTAGGGATAAGAGGATATTTAGTACGGGATGTGCAGGTAAATAAGCTTAGAAATAAATCGGTACCTATATGTCAAAATACTGACCAAGCTAGATGAGAATGCAAAGTTGACCGACTGCTACTATGAAAAGAAGGACTGGCGAGCTTGTAAAAAGGAGGTACGTAAATAATTGAGAGATAACCCCTAAGTTGCTTTTCACGGCAATTTGCTAACGGACTTCACCAATGATAGATGGAGATTTTCAAGGCTTGCTGGAAGAAACATAATAACGATCAGAGGACATCGATGAAAGATGTATGACTGCTCAAGTCAAGTTTACTGAGCTACTGTCTAAATCAAGAGGAAGCAAACACTATTTGTAGGAATACGAGGGAAAGGTTAGATTATTTGAGGCATTAATATTATACTAATCCCGCTCCTAGAGTCATAAATCTGGTTGATGTTGTATAAGAATTATAATGCTGGTTGCGCTGTTTTTACTAGGTCATAGGCTAAAGGCGCTATTAAGATCAATAAATTACAAGGCCAATTGACTATCGATAAGCTACTTGTTACCCGATTTAATTTAGGTGAAGAAACCCACTCTGCGCACTCCGTGCCGATACACGGGTAGGTCCATATTGCCATTGCAACGCCCAAAATTTTACAACGTCTTATCGTTCCCTCTTCAACTTTTCTAACCTACCTCATACCTCCTTAGGTACCTACAATTTACAACCACAACCACAACCACAACCCCACCTTCAGACAACCATGGCCTCAAGAGCGTTGACACCTATACGCGCCGCGGCCCGACGGGTACGCACAATATCAATTCCCCAATCTCAAACGCAACCATCTATCCGGACTCTCGTTAGCACCTCGAAATCCAAGGCGGCGTCCACCGTCTCCACCAGGGCCCCTGCCTCCTCTACATCGACGCCAAAGTCCAGCTCAACACCTCCCTCTCCGGAAGCCGCAGCCCCGTCAGAGACGCGAACCCCCGTCCCCGCCGTCTCAGGCGTGCCCCTCCCCGACGCACCGGGCGCCGAGGAACCAAACTCCGGCGACCCAATCGACTGGACGCAGTCGTACCACGGCCTCGGGACATCGGCATTCTCGCCTGAGACCTCAACAGTCTTGCAGGCGCGCCTTAATCCTGAAGACATCGAGGTCAAGCCTGATGGTATCATTTACCTCCCCGAGATCAAGTATAGACGGATCCTAAACACCGCGTTTGGACCCGGTGGCTGGGGTCTGGCGCCCCGGGGACAGCTCATGGTTCACGATAAACTAGTTACGCGGGACTATGCGCTTGTTGTGCACGGACGGTGAGTTGTTTTTTCTTCTTCTTTCGTTTGAGTTTTCTATCTTCCCCGGTCGAGGAACCTTTGGAAGACAGATAGACATTCCATATTTTGTATATCTGCGAAACTTGGAACAATATATCTAACTATCGAATAGATTCGTAGCTCAAGCCCGAGGCGAGATGTCCTACTTCACCGAAGAAGGCGTCTCGACGGCGGCCGAGGGATGCAAGTCCAACGCGCTGATGCGGTGCTGCAAGGACCTAGGCATTGCGTCGGAGCTGTGGGACCCGCGCTTCATCCGCAAGTTCATGAAGGAGCATGCTATGCAAATCTGGGTTGAGCACGTTGTCACCAAGAAGAGGAAGCAGATCTGGTTGCGCAAGGACGACGAGGTCCGCTATCCTTTCAAGAAGACGTCCTAGTTAATAAATTTCCGTGGGATATTCTGATATAAGACGATGGGCAACGTCGGGGTTAGATTTTGTTTGATGGGGGATGCTGTACGATATCACGAGGTGGGAAATATACCCCGAGGAATTCTACACTCCAGACATGGGCAGGGAAGCTTACTACGCAGCTCTTGCCCTGAGCTATAACATGCATATTTATGGCTCTATGATGTCACGTATATTAACAGTCTCAATGATAGACGGTTGGCAACGAATATAATGGTAAAAGCCGTACGTACAAGATCATGCGGCTCTCAGCTCCAGAGCCTATGCTCCGGGTAGGAGTAGAATCCTACGCTCTAAGTCCTTATTCAACCGCGTCTACCCGTCCTTCCTGATGTGCGATCCAGTCCGAAACCCAACCAATAACTCCGTGCGATTAAATGTGATATCGTAGGTGTAGTTTTACCTACTTCTGGACTCCAGAGCTGTGTCCAGCGTCCGGTTGGTTAGTCTCCTCTCCAGTACCAACGGTGCCCCAGCCTAGGAAGCTCCAGCCGCTTCTTCCAGCAGCCGGGTTTTCTTCGCCGACAGGAGCTCTTCTACGTAGGTTGTTGTCATCCTCGGCGCCGCTCTCGGCGTCGATCTTCTCGAAGTCGACTTCACTCCGGCTTTTACTCAGCCCACTCCACACACTGTGGCCACTAGGTGGTCGTGAAATTCCCTCCTGGCCGTCTAGGCTCATGCTACCTACTCTCTCCGCTTGCTCAGCCCTCTTGCGCTCCTCCTCGGACATCTGTAGCTGCTTCGCCTCCTTGTCCAGCGCGCCCATCATGAGTGCTAGCCTCTCCCTCTGCGCGGTGATGAAGATCATTTTGTCCTCCGCGCCGCCAAAGTTCCCTGGGATTAGGCTGGCGGCAGACAGTGTATCGGCCCTTGCCGGTACTGTTGTTCCTCCAGGAGTTCTAGGACCGGCAGCAGTGCCGACCGCGTTAGCCAGTAGGTTGAAGAAATCCTGCCCCGTAGTGCCAGTGTTATTGGCAGCCCACCGCGCGGCTGGTACGCTGAACCTAGCTAGCAACGCCTGCGTGTATCCCTGTGGCGCCGCAGAGGCCCTTGTTTCTTCCGGTTCTACTGCTTGCGGTGGCATACCTAAAATTTGGGTGCGGAGCAAGTCGATAGCGCGCTTTAAATAAGCTATACCCGCGGCTTTTAGTTTATCGTGAGAGCTGGCAATGAACTCTTCGATAGCCGCCTCATTATCTTCGAGATATGGATGGAGATACGCCTCGTAGAGCACGCGAGCGCCTTGGGTCTGGGGAAGGACGAGGTAGAGCAGGAAGAAGAGACGCATGTACGAGTAGAAGGGGATCCAGTAGAGGATAAACTCGAGCCAGGACTCAACGAGGAGGGCGCAAGAGAGGACGGACCAGTACATCAGCCATGGTGTCAGCTGTGTGGGATCGGAGGTCTTGAGCGCTTTGTAGGAGGCGAAGAGGGGAAAGAGGAAGGATGCTATAGAGCTATTATTGGGTTAGGCGTCAAGAGTTAGCAACGATATTCAAACTAGAGACGAGGGACTTGGGAACCGTCGGACATACGAAAGAAGCTTCGGAATGAGGTCAAACATGGTGATAGAGCCTTCACGCGAATGAGTAAGATATGATAAGTCACCGTTTCTTGTATTCGTCCGTTTTTGGCCTTCTAACCTAAGACAACGAGGGATTTGTCCGAGGTGAGACCAAGAGGAGGTGAGTTTTGTAATCGGGATCGTATCAGGTACGGACGATCAGTCTGACTAGAAGGTACGTAGATCTAGGTAATGTCGCAAAGAAAAGCGAGAACAAAGAAAGAACCGGAATATCTCCAAAGACGTCTTGGGGAGAGATGCCCGGGGAGGTAGGGGAGGTAGGGGAGATTATGTAGGTATTCGCGAATGTTGGCGATGTGCGTTTACCTACCTGACCTGGAATTCAGAACCTGGAATGGAACTCGGATACTACCTAACTCAGGTAAGGCATGGATGTGAATGCGAATGTGAATGCGAATGTAAATGTAAAATGCGAGTAAGTTTAAGCTAGAGTAGCTAAGGCCGATAAATGACGGTTGAGAGAGATCACGGCAAGTGACCCCGCTAGACGTCACAAGCAGCGCAGAGTAATCACCAGATAAGCGTTGGTGCCTTATTTAGTCGCGCGGGGCTTGCGGGGGGGCTAAACCGTCTCGGGTTGAGGGGTGCTGAAATAGCGGACCTGTCAACTATGTAGTGGAAGTCTGCCACTATTATTAGCCTGCGAATCACTAAGTTAACCGCTAGGCCGTTCGCAACCGGCATAATTCATAACTTTATTCAAGCTCGAGCCACATTTGGGGGTGGATATAGTAGTATTCACGTATTGCAGTTTGACTTACATGCGGACTGACTTGTGATAAGGTATCCTCGGAAGATTTTTTGGGCAAGCTTAGGACAAAATCTAGTATCTAATACGATGTATGATGATGAAATCATATGAGGCCATCCCGGGCTATTTAATAAACCCCAAGTCTTACATGGACACGTTGCAAATTCGGACTCATGCTTTTCCTTTGCGCTGGTGCCTTTTCCTCCCCTAACCCCCTTTGTGACGCGTGTTTCTGAGACTTTCTGTCTGCCTAACTTATCTCTCACCGGATGAATTGCTAACACGTTTCCATGCTATGATGTTGCTTTTAATTAATCAGGCGATCTGTTAGGATACGTATGGATGGATATAGAATCTAGTTATTTCTACCTTTAGTTGGTGTCTAAGCTCAACGATGAAATTATTAGAGTTCAGAGGGGCGCGAAAGAAATAGTGTCTAAGCATGAGAATGAAGACTAGTCCTGATTGTTTAATTGATACTCTAATAGGCTAATCAGGCACAGATATGAAAGTCAACTCTTCTATAAAACTCTTGTAGTCTGCATGAAATTACATAGTATTGCTTTACTTAAGATCGGCGATATTAGAAACTTTACTATCATAATAAGAAGCTATATGAAAGGCTCTTATATGCTACTGAACAGAAGTAAGATTGATGCCTGACTTGGTATAAGCGCCTGGTCAATTTTTCTATATTTACAATCTATATAGGTTATTATTAGATTCCGTCTCTTCGTACTCTAGAAACCTTCAAAGACTCGCCAGGGATTCCTAGTTACAGGGTCATATTAAATATCTATAATCCATTGTTATGGCTATGGTGAATGGTATATATCATTGGAGGGTCTGCTTCCAAGTAATATTAACATGAATAGGGGAGTGGGATAAATTATACCCAGAAAAGCCTTTCGAAAACATACCGAGACGAATAGTCTATCTTCACTCCTCTAAATACCTACCCTATTAAGTCCTACATCTACATATATGACTTACTCTATCATCATATGTAAAGGAACATGAAGATCCATCTCACGGATTAAGCCCCTCGATGGGAATATAGGAACTGGTTCGGAAGTTAGATATTGAGCTAATTACCAAGTCTATTACATGCTACGGCTCTTGTATTATGGTATGTTACCTACTAGATCCTTATTTCATAATTTGATTATACATGGATTATTTGCGGCTTTGCAATACTCGATGCCCCTAAGTAAGGGTTGCTTATATGTGCATCGCCATGAGCCACTATGAAGCGATGCTTTGCTTGTAAATATTATACACAATTCTCATTCCATATGCAACACAGGTCACCTTGCGTGTTAGAGTCGCGAGTAATATCTAGATAAGTTTTATTGCAGTTGGTCTATGTTGAATGAATGAAGTCGTTTCAACGTTCGTCTAGAACGGATTTCAAGAAAAAAAAAAGTCCGATCGTCCTGTCCCCTATCCCTTATCCTGTTCCATGTCCCAGCCCATAACCGATCATTTAAATCATTATTTCCAAATCATCATTTGCCGTTTCCGGGGTCATTAAACGAGAAGAAGTCTGGCGGTGACACATATGCCCCTGAGCCACCTCCCTGACCTGACGAGCCACCCTGATTTTCAGATTTGTCCTTGTTCGGGTCCTGATTTTCGTTAGTCCATGAGTAGTGCTTGTATTAGACGGATACATACCTTTGACTTCTTCTTATCACTCTTAGGGGGTTTCTTGGACTGGCCATTGTTGTCTTCACTATGGTTAGTATTTCGTTCTCCGTACTATTCCCCTTTATTCTTTTTAGGGCTTACTTGATGTTCCACCTGAAGAGTCTCCGAAAGTCATGTTTTCAAGGTCCGTTAAATCTTTTCTTAATATTTGTCGATGAGAAGCTGTTGTTGATGAGCATATCAATTCTTCTCTTTAGCTCACCTTTGACCTTATCCTCTGCTTATATAGAATGGCACACCTCGCCTCTCCTATCCTCAACCCGTATTCTCACCTTTGTACGTGCCTCAATTTCTATCTACGGAGTAATCGACCGCCTCAGCTCGGCATCTCTCTCTCTCTCCCTCTCATGATGATCGTACATGTGCCTATCAGCTCGCCAAATGGATCTGGCGTGTAGTTGGGGGTTGATGTCATAGTGGGAATCCCACGTTAATAAAGTTGACTCAATCTGCGCCATCGTCATTTCCGCTCATTGCACGTGAGTATCGTGAACTGATGTCCCTATATGGAAAGTTACTTGCTAAATTCCATCGACTGCTTAGATCTGGATGTACCGGGATGGCAATAGTGAATCCTTAATATCGGTTGCCGTAATGCATGCCATCCGGCATTCGATACCCAACCGGCACTGAGCCGCATGCATCATAACGAATAAAGATCTGGGAAGCAATGCTTAAACTAAATTGAGCCGGGTGGTCCGAAAAAAAGCTCGATATGCAATGCAACCACATCTTCCTTAGGGCTGGCGCTACCTACCTGCCAGCCCTACTGACGGCTGAGCCGCTTCCATACGGGGATACGTCGTAATGTGGGATGGTTAGATAAAGTATCTACATATTGAGTGCGTGCACGCCACACCTGACCTGTTACCTCCTTTGGATCCTGCTTAGGATGATATGAATTTTACATAGCCTTTTTTACTTATCTGGCTCCCGTCTATTTAGAATACCACATCTTTGTGTACGAAACTAGGTACCTAACCTATATTTTAAGCCTGCACGCTACCTATCATTTTCTGATCGCATTTCAGCTTCCATTCTTGGTCTCTATTCAGTTACCAAGGCGTGGCTTACTAAACCCGTATAGTGGTTATGTACTTAGTTGTAAGCCACCTTGTCGGCGTACCGGGGTTGGACCTTTGTATATTGTATGGGGGAATAAAAAGTCAGACAGTAGGTCGGGCCGTTAAAAGTCCTAGTTGGAAATTAAAGCATATCAAAGTCCATAAGAGTGTTAAGTATTTGGTTATATATTGCTCTTGCTACTATGCCCCACGGGAACATCCGGGGTCATCAAACTTCATTTACGAACGACCGGGGAAGCGATGCACTAAAGAGGTATGTGTAACTGATATTGACTCAGGTACTTCAGGAAAGTGTTAGAAAAGGAATCATGTGGGCTTATGCGCTTGTGTGGCCAAGACAGAAATATGTTCCTCGCGACCTGCAGCTTGTCTGCATCTTGACCTCGCTTGTGGCTTCTGACAGGCCGACGGTCCCGCCCAATGCAACCATAAATTCGGGTAGGGCAGACTAATATATATTCCTGTAACTTCTGTACTACCCACCTATTCCAGCACGCTTACACTACCCCTGTTGAATTAATTCCAAAGCCCATGGAATTTCCATGTGATGCCGGGCTCGTATAGTGTTGCACCGTCGGCCTCCGGATATCGAACTGCCCGGAAGGAAATACCGGACTTCAGTCGGTCGGACCTGCAGCGCCTACTGAATAGGGGGACCCGAGCCCCGAACCCCTGACTCGGGAATAGCAAGTCACCTGACCTATCTGACTGTCTACTTTAAAACTGTGCCCTTCGAGGCTGTGTACAATACTTTAACTAGGCCATCCCTCGATGGATTCAGCTTAGACACTGCATATTTAGTAAATTAAAACAAAAAGTGCAAGAGAGTGTTCCAGCGGCTTGAGATGCCGATATGGCACAACTAATCTCACGAGACAATATAAAGGAGAAAGAGATGAAACCGAGCCTAAGACGTTAACTTGTAGCGATAGAAAATATGGAATTTGATGTTTACTTAGGTATAGATTGCACATTTTGAAATGCCGACCGTGGCTTCATTAATAACGCTAACAACGGTTTAGGAGGGCGAGAAATGATCAGAGGAGATTCCCGAATTGATATGAGGAATAAAACCATAGTTTGAAATCCATAGAGAGGTAAAGAATAACTAGCCTCGGCTTCTATTTACTTAGATACATACTATGGCACCTAGGGCTTAAGTCGTTAAGATGCCGCCATCTACATAGTAATCAGTGCCTTCTTTTTTCGAAAATACCGAAGGAAGGGTGATTGTTAGGAGAAAAGGTCGTACTTGTAAGTTGGAAATTATTCCTTTTTGGTAACAAAATATAGAGAAAAGCTAAGTTTATTAAAAAGAACAAGGAAATTAAGAAATATATTGGTACCCCGAGTGGTCAAGCTGATTATATTTCCACTTATTTCCACTTCATATTATATAAAATTTACTGGCTAGTGTAATAAGGCGTTTGGGGAATGTGCTTGGCAACATGTGGGCAAGGGCACCAATAGAGACAATGAGGCTCGGCGGCTAGGACCAATATGCTGCTGGAATCAGGTAAGTCCGCATCCACCACCTGGAAGCGTGAAACCAAGCTAAGAGGATACTATAGGTGTATAGTTGCGAATAACAGATGACTGCCGGCGACATAGCAAATTACCGTTTAAACGCTCGTCTGGAAGATGTTCCATTATATTCGCCGTTCGATGATGCTCCTGGCTCTTGCTTTTGCAACATGGGTAAACTTCTTGTTTCGCTATACAGACCGCCGCTGAGGCTGACACCTGTAGGGCTAATGGCGAAGAAATTGCCGGTCAACTGAGTTCAGATGATGCTTTCAAGGTTTTCTCTTGAGCATGCACCTCCTGTTCTCAAAGTGGTATGATGTCGGCGTAAGTACTGCCATTTTATTCTACAAATAATAGAAAAACCATGTGCCAACATAATACACCTTTTCGCGGATCTGTCCTAATACCGACCCGTCTCCTCAGTATGGATGCTTTTCCTTGTGACGGCACGCTTGGGTATACGCCCCCTGGCGGAGACGACTCCGCGGTTTTCTATGAGCCTAGGAAATTTCTGAATAATGGAACAGCTAACCCCCTAATGTCGTCTGAAGTACCACGAGTCTAGTCAGTGGAGCGACGTACATGTGGGCATATAATGGACTTACGCGTGCTATAATAGTAGTAAGTGTGGAAACACAACCTAGGGATGCGGCAAGTACCAGCAACGAGGACAAGGGAGATAATGGGAGCGGTGATACGGAAAGCGAGAATAAGGAGAATGTTGCTCCTGCACGGATGTCTGGGTTGCTGCCTAGTATCTGCGGGCTATTTCTATTACTGGCCACAATCCTTTGAATAGGGCCAGCTATGAGTAGTAGTTATTTGGAATATAATTTTCAGCCTCGCTCTGAATAAGTTCTGAGGTCGGATTTACGGCTGCAATAATAATATGACTCATAATAATGAAGTGATATCCCAGAAGCTGAGAAGAGATTAAGAAAATCTTAACAGCAATATGGCCGACTAGCCAATAGGACTATACATATCATAACACAGAGGAATAACAATGGGATTGCTTGGATACACGCATGGATTATAGGATGAAGAAAGGCGTATAATTCTTAGATGTACGAAGATGGGTAATCAACATGCCATTGTTGTCTAACTGCTTAACGTACCTAGGTATAAGAAAACTATAACTAATTCAAATCTTACATAAGGTTACGAATATGGGCTGATGTTAGCGAACCGTATTCTCGTATCCATTATTAACCTATTATTTCCCTATGAAACTCCATTTTCCCAGTGTTTGGTGAAAGGGAACATGAAACCTATTTCTTACATCTAAGCCGTAACTTATCCAGAGGAGCCACCTCCTAACTATTGGTTGGGTAACAGGTAATCAACTATTTGGCATATTTTCAATCAGGCACAAAAAAGTGTTTCGCCCCGTTGATCCTTCTTTTAAGCGCGTGGCATATCCCGCCACGGAGCTGATACTGGGAAGGCCTGTTTTCTGGTCCGTAGTCAATTAAAGGTCGACCGCAAGCCGCCAAACCGCGGACCAAATAAGTCGAAGTAAAAATAGAAAGCTTTGGTAGAGGGGTACTCAGATGGGGTTTATCACTATCAAAATATAAGGCGTGAGGTCTATGCTTGATTTTGAGATGAAGCAAAGTTCGTTTGACGATGAACCTGAGAGTCAAATATCATGTCATAGCTTTTTTCAACTTCATACGGACTCCAAGGGCTCTTAATCTGCAGCTTCGAATACGTACACACCATCAGCCTAGTAGCATCGTGAAAGTTACAGCCTTGCAAGAACCACAAAGTGGAGAGGTGGAGGTCGAGTGCCTGTCGATGCTCATCTCATGCTAAGAATAGTGCTAAGAATAGTGATGGCCCCGCTGCCGGGCCGTTGCGCTCAGCCTTATCTTGGCCCACGTTCCCGTGGACCAGCGCCCAGCCTATTCTAGTAAGGCGCTTGTACATCCCTGTCTAAGCGAGCGGGGCCGAAACTTTCAGAGTGACTTTAAAAGGATGTCATTCGCCACGCCGATCGGTACCTCCATACCTCCAGTCGAGGCGATCACTAATTCGGGCTAGTTAGTGCAGAACAACCCCGCTTCACAGGTGTCACCTAGTCGAGCCTAATTGTCACTAAACAACTTCAAAAACGTAGCGAATCGTTCATAGTTAGCTACTTCTATTATCAGCATGCCGGCTATACGAAAGATAGTAGGTCCCAGAGGCAGTGGGTTTTGGAGTTCTTTCGATCCAAACGACAACAGACTAGTAGCAGAAGCTCTAAAGGAGGAGGTATGCTAGTGATTCGTAGCGGGATACGGGTGAATGAAACGGAGTATAATCTCTGACAAGCACGCAGTTCCAACGGTCGGAGCCGGCCCGTGATATCCACTACGCCCACAGCGGGCCCGATCACCTCCCTCCTAACATACTCAACCTCAAAATTAAATTTCATTGCCTTCACGATTGCCTGATATTTTTACTCCGCGGCGTAATTTTCATTGATGGACAAGGGGCGATCATTGAACCTGGCTACGCATATGTCGTCAAGGACGAGGAATGGATAGGGCTTGGCGGAAACACTACTGTATTTGTCATGGAGGAAGGAGAGATGAAGGGAATCTGTGCCCAAAAGCTAAGAGAAAAGCAAGAGAAGTATTGGGCAGAGAAGGAAGCTGCAAAGAGAAAACAAAATAGGCCGTGGAACAGGGTGTTGACCAAATTTCGCCGAAGGGAACCAGAAGTGCAATGTGCGACACAATAAGCTTGGGGGGGGGGTCCCGGATTGGCATAACCGCACCATCAACGATTTGGAAGTGTAGGAGAGGCGATCACCATCGATCAACGGATAGAGAGTCCTCCAGGAAGCCCAAGGGCGTGGAGATGAATAGTCGCGTCTTCTTTTCTTGTGTACTAGGGGATATATCAACGGAGTTCAGGCAAATCTTGTGAAGTCATCAGTAGTATCTGAGATATGGAGGGATGGAGCAGATGAAGTACGAGATAAATGTCGCTCGCTAGTGGATATACAGTTAGTGATGACTCTATTGTAACCCCACGGTCCTTTTGTGCCTCAGAAAATAGATAGAGCATCTCCATTGCAAACTAAGTACTAATTAGCTATGGTCTGCATGCTTCAAGCTAAATAGCCGTTGGATCGATACAGTACTATTTTGGCTTTTTGAGAACGAATCTGCGAGTAGGTTTGCTCGCCAGGGGCGCCGGCTACGTGCTCAATCACGGACATCCATGGACTTCCGGAGGCGTTGCTTGGAGTAGTATCTGTAAAAGACCACCGAGTAAAGCAGGATCGCGATACACTCGAGAACAACTTCAATGAGGCAGCACACCAAGGACCAAGACTACAATAATGTTAGAAACTGCATCGAACTTGAGGGTAGGCAAAACTTACCTGCATTCTGCAAACTAGTGCATAATCGACTTTGTCAGCAAAAACCTGCCGTCTCTTGTTGTCCACGCATGACCATCCCCAGACGTCCTCGTTGTTATTGTCGTTCTTTGCGCTCTGAAGAATACCAGCAGCAATACCCCACATACCGGCGCTGAAAATAAAGAATGCTACCGCGGAGAGAGTGTAATAGACAGCTACCTTCTCAGCACGTCTGTGGCCACCTCTCTAGTAATTCGAGAATATAACAAGATATAAAGCTAGCGAAGGCAATGGCGGCATTGCTAGCTATCTCTGGGCTGGCAGTACGGCTAAAGGTAGGGCCAGGACTTGACTCTATAGACGAACTGGGCTGGCCCTATGCTTCTCTGTAACGCAACAGTTATAAGGTGTATTAGATATAAGCCTAGGGTTGTTGGTATTGGCTTAACTAGATTTAGACCACTCAACATCACCTCCTACTAGCGGATTGAACTAGGCCAAATGCCGCTGACTTTTGATAAGTTTTGAACCTCGGTTGAAGTAGAACGGTAGGTCATGACGCATCTTTGAGATCTATCAAAACTATAGGACCTCAAGAGAAATGTTATAGTTCGTAGACGTTATATACTTTCTAATCAAAACATTGGTATACCTCGAGCTTCTAGAGTCTTAAATTAGTTCACATTCATACCTGTAATTTAGGCCTGTCAAATAATTGTTTGGGATACAATGTTGTCTTGTTTGAGTATTTCGTTTGGTTTGTAGCTCTATACTCTTCTTAGCATAATAAATCATGTCGTTACCTATAGGAAGAAACTTGTGCATATCAAGTTAACTGACAGATTGCATATAATAAAGTTTATAATAACGAAATAGTTGAAGAAATTAAAGCCATATTATGGCAATAGTGTTCCAATGTTGGTAACTATTTAGAGTATAATAGTTAGTATAACTTAGTAATTGCCGACGCAATCTCTATCTTAAAGTCATCACCTAGCTCCAGACTAACGCTCAACCTGGATAGCGATCTGCTATTTGAATGCTTCCTTCGGGATTCAAATACGCGTATCTAAGGAGTCGAGTTTGAATATCGCTGTCATGAGACTGCGCGATTCTGCCGCCAGTCGCATACCCCGCACGATTCCTTGTTCGCGGTTGTGACCTACCTTCGGCAGGTATTTGATTCGATTGAGGACTACCATTGGTTTATTTAAGTCTCAAACACTTCCTATCGTGATGTTGCACCTTCGACTCTGTCTTTGGACTAAGGGTCTTAGGACTGCAGATGTGATATCAACTGTCTAATTACGAACAGCAAAACTAACGACAGCGACAACATGCCTGGGCTTATCCAAGAGTCACCCTTCAAGACCATCGCGGTCAAGGAGTTACATCCTACGTTCGGTGCTGAAGTCAGTGGCGTTAACTTTCAAGATCTGTCTGACGAGCAGTTTAGGGAGATAGTTGCTGCCATGGCCAAGGTAAATAGGATACTTACCTATCTAACACAGTTATACATAACCTTAGTCAACAGACCTATAACTAAAATCTGCGGCCAGTACGGTGTATGCGTCTTCAGGAACACGGGTTTGGATGACATAGCCCACGTTAAATTCTCCGAACGCTTCGGGGAGCTTGACAACATTCGTCGATATCTTATGGGAGGGCGGAAACCCCGATACGAGCTTTATGAACTGTTCGACGCTGGGAATATAGATGCCGAGACAGGTGGAATCCTCGATCCAGGGAGTGCACGGGCACACTCTAACAGGGGCAATGGGCTCTTCCACGCGGACTCGACATTTAACCCGCGGCGAGCATCGTTCTCTCTTCTACGCGCCTGTGAGCTCCCACCCCCGGGGCACGGCGGTAACACAGACTTTGCCGACTCACGAACTGCCTTTGAGGAACTTCCCGAAGATCTGCGAGAGGAGCTTCTTTCACACGATTATGTAGGTGCGCATTCAATGGCCCATTCCCGAAAGCTCGGTTCGCCTGCCTTCTTCGAGGACGTCGACCCGACACAATCGCCGATGCAACGCCATCGAATTGCACAACTCCATGAGCCTAGCGGGCGGATGAATCTATTTATCGGTGCCCATTTGCACCATATTGAGGAGAATGGAAAGGAGATCCTGAACTCCTGGGACCTGGTCCAACGACTCAATCAGCATGCCACGCAGAAAAAGTACACCACCACCGTGCAGTGGGACAACCCTAGTGATTTAGTTATTTGGGACAACCGATGTGTGTTACACCGAGCAGGTAGTGGTACCTTTGAAGGCAAATTCAAGCGTGACCTGAGGCGAACGACAGTCCACGATGACAGTCCGACGGCTTGGGGGTTGAATTCAAAAGATATCGCCTGGCAAGGTTTTAACTCACAGGCGAAAACCAAACACGCTGGAGCAGTGGGGGTATAATAATTGATATTAGTCTTCGATATTATTATTGATGGCTTAATATTTTTCATCATTGTTGCAAGAACTAACTAGGTTACAAGTACTAATGTTGCGGATTACTTTATGTAAAGATAAGAGTTTATAATCGATGCTAGGATTCCTGTATGGCTACCAGCCATTGGTTAAATTTATTAGGTGCCCCTTAGAAGTAGTCTATGTTAATTATCACGTGGGGGGGGGGGCGCTAAGTTCAATACGGTTCATATATCGCCGTCTCGGCCTTGGAATTTAGTCTGTGACTAATTCACACTTAGCTTAAGACCTCTGTCAAGAACCATATTGTCTTAGGTAGTCTTTATTATAAAGTTAAGCAGATAGGTATACCGTTCGAATCCGAAATCATCACAATGGTCCTCGAAACAGCACCTCATAATTGGTACAAGGATGAGTTTCTAGTCTCAACCGAACCGCTGCTCGTTCAAGTTGATGCAGTCAACGAAGCTCTGAGCTCGGATCTGATGTGGTGGGCACAGGGGCTGCCACGGGACATAATAAAAAAAGCACTCCATAATTCTTTGTGTCTTGGACTATACGTGCTTCCTAAATCCACCTCGGAGATGGCTGGTAAGTTCCTTTTCAGGCTGCTATCCGTAGAACCTCAGCTTATGTACCTTACAGGCCAAAGCAGTCCCAAACAGATTGGGCTTGTGAGAGTGGTGACCGACGATGTCACATTCGCATATCTCACTGATGTATACATCTTGCCCGAATACCAGGGGAAAGGCCTCGGTCGTTGGATGATGGAGTGTCTCAACGAAATCATCCAAGGCTGGACTCATCTACGGCGATTTATGTTCTTGACTAGCGATAGGATGGATCTATATCGCAAATATCTTGGCGCTAAGGACTGGAGCGAGTGTGACACGAAAGGCATTTCCATCGGGTTGATTGAGGGACCTGCAGCTCAGCATCCAAAACATGCCTAGCATAGGTAGGTACCTAGTTAAACAAATTCTCTATTCATTCCTTGCTTGTCTTTCCGTAGGCGCCCCCGAATGCCTTTCTCATCTCCAGAGCACGTTTGTACGGGGGTGCGGTTGGTGGCTGAACTGGGTCTAGGGAGACATGGTCTGGTGGTAGGCGATATGAAGCATCAGAATCAAATGCAGATAAGTCGCCACAAGCAATGAAAGGTGCAATCCATCTGACGTCTCCTTCATATTTCGGACGGTGATCTTCTAATTGAATATCGGCGATACCGTCCTTATCTGTTGTCGAAACGAATGCTGGCGTATTATTCCATGCCCCCGTTTCTGGGTTTTGTAGAATAGTCTTTGCGGTAATAGGTAATACCGCGGAGTTCTGCTCTGTCATTTTCGATAGGCGAAAACCAACGCCAAGTGGCTCCTCGAGGCTCGCCGAGAACCCTTTAGGAGGTTGGAAATTTAAGCACACGATGAATGCTTCCACACTGCTAGCTCGCGAAGATCTCGGCTTCGCAACATGAACTTTTTCGAAAAATATTTTGAGCTGTGCGTAGAGTACGTCCACATTCTTGCCCCTGAATATTTTTGCCACAAACTTCCCGCCGGGCTTCAAGACGCATAGCGCTAGGTTTAACGCTGCAAAAAGAAGCTGTGATTGCACATAAATATCTAGATCATGCAACCCGGTTACGTCAGGGGCACCATCACTAAGTACTAGGTCAACCGGATGGGCGGCCTGCTGGCTCTTAGTTTTCGAGTCGTATTCAGGGTCTAGTGCTTTTAGAAGCAATGGAACAGTAGCTGGGTGAGTAATATCAGCTCGTAGCGTGACAATCCCTGGTAATGGACTAATAGGTTGCAAATCGATCGAGACAATCTTGACATCTTGACGAGGATTCGGCACTGTGAACGGTTGCTGTGAGCTTAAGGGTTCCGATTTGTTTGCGGTGGGTAGAGGCCCGAAGAGTCCCAGCATCTGTTGACGGAATCTAGCATCACGATCTTGCCAAGCTGCTCGACCGAATTTCTCTCCCTTAATTAAAACCCTAGATAGGACTTGCGACCAACTCCCAGGTGCAGCGCATAAGTCTACAACTCGAGTGACATTGGCGAAGAGATCAAATTCTATTCCTCGATTAGTATCCTTGTTAAGAATTTCCTCTCCGTTAAGGGGGAGGGGGTTAACCTTCGTCAAGCTGTAAGAGCTTGAAAGCACTTCTCGCTCGCCACCCTTGTTCTTTAGCGAGCCTGTAATACGCATCACGTTTATCCTTAGAAGATTTCCCCATTATGGTTTATCGGGTTAGATGAGTCTGCTGTAAGATCCACGTGAATTATACACAATTTATTATATTGGTTCCACCTACAATTTTTTGCAGCAAGAATTGGGGCTGTTAGAGTTGTTGGCTGGTTGGTAGGGCTGAATTAAGGTGTGGCCAATGCGCTAATCTCTTATCAGCTTTTAAGAAAAGTAATCGATAAGATAACTTTGATAAGTACTTGGACAGGGTCCCAAAAATTTCCAGCATTTCTCTAACAGCAACGAGCAATTGATACCAACCATCTACGCTCTAGTTCTCCCGGCATCATGAACGGGTTAAAGAAAAGGAAGGCGAATAGCCAAACATCAAGCGCGCCTGCGGAAAAAAGGGTCAAGGCCCGCCAACCTACCGGAAAATCCACCCAGACGAAAGCGAAGAAACGTATTACTGCCGACTCTCTACGATGGCGCAAAGCCAAGCTGCCCGATATGTTCAACGATTCCGAGGGCTTCTACGGCTTAGAGGAGGTTGATGATGTAGAAGTTATTCGAAATAGCAATAATACTGTTGAATTTGTATATGAACCTCTGACAATTTGGCAGTTCGGGCACTAATAGGAAACAGAGAGCTGCCGTGCATTCAACTGACGAAGAAAATGAAGAAAACGGAGAGGAAGAGAGTGATGAGGTACAGAGCGATGAAGAATTTGAAGGATTTAACGATGAGCCATCAGCCCAAGCTACTTCAGGAAGCGCATCGCTTAGCCTAACGAACGCCGACGAGAATACGAAATCAGAGACAAAGACTACTCCGAAAGAAGGCGCAAAGGCGCAAAAGAAACAGAAAAAAAAGGATTCAAAACAGATTGAGGATCCCGAGCTCGAGACCAACGTCTTCGCTGGAATGGACGCTGCGGATGAAACGCAAGATGAGGTCGATCTTTCTGCATGGGTCTCATTGGATTTATCCCCCCAGATTCTCGAGTCTCTGGCCAAGTTGAAATTCTTGAAACCCACTCGTATACAAGCAGCTACTATACCTCAAATATTGGCAGGTCACGATGTCATAGGTAAAGCCTCGACAGGTTCAGGTAAAACACTAGCATTTGGTATTCCAATCGTTGAGAAGTGGCTGGAATTATCGGACAGCGACGATGTTTCTCAGGATGCCTCTAAGATCCCGCTTGCCTTAGTCCTTTCACCGACTAGAGAACTTGCGCATCAACTCACGGAACACATCAAGAACTTGTGTGCTGGCTTACCGAATTCACCCTACGTATGCTCGGTAACCGGTGGTTTATCAGTTTATAAGCAACAGCGTCAGCTAGCTAAGGCAGATATTGTAATCGGAACTCCTGGTCGACTATGGGAGGTCTTAAGCTCTAGCTCGGAACTGACGAGTAACTTCAGAAAGATTCAGTATCTCGTGGTAGACGAAGCAGACAGGCTTTTAACAGAAGGTCATTTCCAAGAAGCTGCCGAGATTTTCAATGCTCTGGACCGGGTTGAAGAGGATGAAAACGAAGAGGAAGAAGCTACGTTGTCGCCGAGACAAACTCTTGTATTCTCGGCAACATTTCACAAAGGTCTGCAGCAAAAGCTAGCTGGTAAAGGACGATCCAATTTAATGAGCGAGAAGGACTCCATGGAGTATTTACTAAAAAAATTGAACTTCCGGGAAGAGAAGCCCAAGTTTATCGACGTTAATCCGGTATCTCAAATGGCTGAAGGGCTTAAGGAAGGGTTGGTGGAATGCGGCGCGATGGAGAAGGTGAGTTTCATAGGATGAAGAAATGGAATCTCTACTAACTGTTTCAAGGATCTCTACCTATACGCACTTCTGATGTTATATCCAAACGTGCGGACGCTTGTGTTTACCAATTCCATCAGTTCAGTCCGAAGATTAGCCCCTATGCTTCAAAATCTAAATCTTCAGACTAACCCGCTCCATTCTCAAATGCCTCAAAAGGCGCGTCTACGTTCAGTTGAACGGTTCACCGGCACGAATCAAGGACAGTCATCTATCCTCGTTGCGACAGATGTCGCTGCCCGTGGTTTAGATATTCCTAATGTCGACCTGATAGTCCATTACCACGTCCCCCGAGCTGCGGACGTATACGTACATAGGTCTGGACGTACTGCGCGTGCAGACAAAACAGGGTTGAGTATACTTCTCTGCTCGCCTGAAGAAGTTGTTCCGACCCGACGGCTCATCGCAAAAGTGCACTCGAGCACTGATAGGGGGACCAGGAAGAACTTCTTCGTGCAGACGTTAGACATGGACCGAAAGCTAGTTAACCGATTGAAATCGCGCGTCACGCTAGCGAAAAAGATTGCCGACGCGGGACTTGCGAAGGAAAAAGGAAGCAAGGAGGATGACTGGATGCGGAACGCGGCAGACGAGCTAGGCGTGGAATACGATAGTGACGAAATGCAGCAGGTCGGCAAGTGGGGAGGACGAGGGGGGGGTCGGAAGGAGAAGCAAGATCAAGCGAGAGCTATGACCAAGGCCGAGCTAGGGGCTTTGCGCGCCGAACTAAGAGAGCTCCTTTCCAAGCGAGTCAATGCCGGCGTGAGCGAGAGGTATATCGCGACCGGTATGGTGGATATGGATGAGCTGCTACGCGGTGCTAAGGGGGAGTTTTTAGGGAAGGTCAACGGCCTTGATATTGAAACATTATAACCGAGGATATCATCTACCTAAGCATAGCTCTAAATATTTACGGATTCCCGACAAGGGGTACGGTTATCAAACTTCCTAATCGCCTATTGACGGTGCAGGCCCTCATTCAGCTAGAGCCATTTTCCCCGAGTGATCACTCTAATCTCAACGACAGCTTGATTAAGGGCTGTTTGAATCGAATAGTGAGTTGCCCATAAGCGGAATGATCTAGCTTCAACTCCCATTACTACATAATAACGTCCAGCGTTATACTACGTTACTCTTAGAATAGCACGCTTTGCCTCACAGAAAGCACGCACACGGGCCTCGAGTATCGTGCCGCGAATAATCAGCGCAGACGGAAGAGGTTCCCAAGGGACACGAATAACCCGTCTATACACATAGGAACGACTACTGTTTGGATCGAAGCGACAATGCGCTGTTTTATAGTTTCTCTATTGTTAACGATCCTTAAACATCATAAATAAGACTTACCAAATCCATGACTAACCGAAGCTGTGCCGTTAGAGTTTGGAGATACGGAATCATCATAGCGTAGATCGTCTTGGCCTCGCCGGTTAAGGTTGATATATACTTAGGTACCTAAGGTAGGTATATAACAGATAGATATCACGTAACAAGCCATCGAATAAACGTCTACTACCTGGCCCTCCTCTAAAAATTCAGTGCCACCATAGCGGAATGTGAAACCCGATGGTGGTGATGAATCGTGTATACCTAGGTACCTGAAGTGCCTACCAAGCTTATACGATGAGTGTTCAAATTCTCCCTTTCCAGGTTGATCTTATAAATGATATCCGACGTAGAAGCGCCGATTTAGAAACGAGGTCTTCTAGAACTGCACGAAACCATCATTCGATGTAAGAAGTTCCAGTTATAAAAACCGTACACCGCAGAGGACAGGTGGAGGTTAGAAATTCGTTCGTCAATGTAACAACCAAGCTTGGACCCTTGGTGCTTCATTCCTGGAATAAACTTTGTATCCTTGCCGTAATTTTGTCGAACGATTTTCAATGTAACATGGAAAAAGAAAGTTTGTACTCCGCTCGAATCTGACTCGGTTGAAACCCGATGTGGAAGTATCGTCAACCTAGCTAGTTGATCGCCAACGATTTGCAGATCCATCGTGAACTAGGTTGTCGAGCCACTTATAGGGAATGATTTTGCTTGATTGGAAGTTTCTAAACTTGTATTTTCACCAATAAAGGACTGTGCTAAAAAAAATATAAGGTAGAGTGGCAGCATACGAATTCTATGGGAAGTTATCTCCTTTCTCGTAAACTACCAAAACCAAATCCAGGCGTTTCAATGTTACTAAATAGAGTTCACGGCGACTGAGAACTACCACGACTTTTCGAAGGCCCTAGCATACCCCTGAGCATCGTAACTGCATCAGATGCTCTAGAGCCCAAAAATGGGGTGTCATATAGTTCATAAGTTTTGATCTCGTGAGCGCTAAGTGCCACTACCCCCTCCCAATGGTGTTTGAGGCTCTCACATTAGACCTCTCGTATTGCCCAAACTATAGCAAGCTTGGTGTGGACAAGTACCCGAAAAGTGCCTCCTCACTTCCGGTTCGAAACTTGTCCGGTCTATACTATACGCCCCTCAGGCACAACCAACTGGCGCATACACACACCGCAAGCTAAGCTAACTCGAGACGCAAGCGAACTTAATACCCCTCGATACGAACGATAGGTGTACTCTTGAAGAAATCCCCCTCAGGTTAACCACCTCTTGGCTTAGAAGGGTTTGAGAGAGGTTAATAGCCGGCCCTTTATAAAAACGCACCGGACCGCCCCAACTTCGGTTCTCGTATTCAACAATTTTTCTCTCTCTTTGGAGAAGTTATTATCTCGAAAAAAAAAAAAAAAAAAAAGGTTTTGAGATAGTAGAAATTTAGAAAAAGAGATAACCTGTTATGAAATGCTGCTACCCGACGGTCCAAACTCACTCATAAACCAATTCGCTACCTCTCATCACTTCAACACCCAACGGCATCTTTAACAATGTCGCCTGCACGACCACCCAGTTCCTCACCATTCCCTCTTCAGGACCTCGCAGCCCGTCTTCAGGAGATGATACCGCAGCAGTCTCAGTCACAGCAGCAGCAGCAGCAACAGCAACAGCAAGACCCCGCTAACCCAAACCCCCAGAGCAACTCCATACCGCGGAACCCCCACGTCCGCAATGACGAGCCCATCGCGCGTGACCACAACCGCATCATGCGTACGCTCCGCTGGCGCCGCGCCCGCAACCAAGCCAGACGCAACTCCCACAGCGAGTTCTCCCGCGTGCTCATCAAGCCCTCGGACTGCGGCGACAAGCTGCCCATCCGCTGGCCCAAGAAGGAGAAGTGGTACATCCTCTGCGTCATCTTCCTCGTGCAGGTCTCCATGAACCTGAACACGACGCTCTACTCCAACGGCATCCAGGGCATCGCCCACGAGTACGGCCTGAGCTACTTCCAGGTCCGCTGGGGCGGCGCCGCCTCCTTTCTCATCGCGTACGCTTTCGGCTGCGAGCTGTGGGCCCCGTGGTCCGAGGAGTACGGCCGCCGACACGTCCTGCAGGCTTCGCTGTTCTTCGTCAATATGTGGGCGATCCTGGTAGGTTTTTCTCCGACCTGGTATGGCCATGTCGTCGGCCGTACTCTAGGTGGTCTTTCCAGTGCGGGGGGGAGTGTAACTCTTGCCCTCATCACAGATATGTTTGACCCGCACAGCGCGGAGCACCAGCACGCCACCGCGTTCATCGTGTTCTCGTCCGTCGGCGGATCCATCCTCGGCCCTATTTTCGGCGGCGTCGTCGAGGCGTACCTGGCCTGGCGCTGGGTCATCTGGATCCAGATAATCTTCGGCGTGATGGTGCAGCTGCTTCACTACTTTCTCGTCCCCGAGACGCGAACGACTATCGTTATGGATAGGACCGCCAGGGAACTGCGCGAGTCCGGAGTGAACCCCACGCTGTACGGTCCGAACGAGATTTCTGGAGATCGACGCATCAACTGGTCTGAGGTTTGGAAGATTTGGTTGCGGCCTTTCAAGATGTTCTTCACGGAGCCTATCGTCTTAGTCTTCTCGCTGCTGTCGGGATTCTCGGACGCTATTATCTTTAGTAAGTTCATATATAGTTTTTCTTAGTGATCGACTCTATTTCCGTATTTACCTATCTACCTAGCTAGCTAGTGTTTGCGCAAATGAGTGTTTGTGTTCCGGATAGATTGTCATATGTGTATCTATACCTACTTGTGTTGGATTGGCTCCTATATGTATTTATTTAGATAATGATATGACTAACTCTCCCTTCCTCCTAGTGATGGTCCAATCTTTCGGCTTCGTATATTGGCAATGGGGATTCGGTCCCATATTGCTCGGCTGTACATTCTTGCCCATTGGAATTGGATATATGATTGGATATGCCTTGGCTTACTACTTCATCGGACGACAGATCGCCTTACGCGAGAGAAAACCGCTCTGCGAACGAGCGCAGTATGAGGCTCGACTCTTTTGGCTGCTGTTTGCGGCGCCCCTGCTGCCCATCGGACTTCTCCTCTTTGCTTTTACGGCCGCTTATACGGAGCATCCTCTTCACTGGATATTCAGTATGATCGCCTCCTGTATGATAGGTATCGCTAACTTCGCCATTTACATGGGTACCATCGACTATGTGCTTAGAGCCTACGGCCCTTACGCTGCATCCGCCACAGGTGGTAACGGATGGGCAAGAGATTTCCTTGCCGGTGTACTTACACCTTACGCTGTTCCAATGGTTAGTATTATAGCAACTATTCCGATACAGTGATTCTAAATGCTAATATCCTTTAGTATGTTCCTCAGGCCTCATCTCTTCCCTCCCTCCTCTACTCCCAACCCCTAACCCCTTATTTCCTCAAATCATACACCCGGCTGAACACATCCTCTACAAATAAAATAGGTACGAGAAATTGACCATATTCACCGGAACTATCGTACTCGCCTCGATAGGAACCGGCTTGTTCTTATTCATGATCGTCGTCTACGTCTACGGACACTGGCTGCGCCGGTGGTCGAAGTTTGCGCAGACATTAGCTGAAGCAGAAGCCGAGGCCGAAGCCGAAATTGGGCTGGAAATTAATGTAGACGCCCCCAACTCGGGTCCCGGAAATCCCAATGGCATCACTGCCCGTATCAACGGCGAAACACCAAACCCGGATCTCCTCAACGTTGATCGCATAGTCCACTTCCTACCCCCTGAGAGCCTGCCCGGTAGCCGAGCCGGCTCGCGCTATCCATCCGCTGCTAACACTCCGACCACAACGCGCCCCTCGAGTCTGGATGTGGAGCGTTTGGCGATAAACCAGCTGCATGGTTCTCATCTAAGCCAGCACGGCCAGGCGAGACCAGTAAGCGCACCAGTCCGAAGCCAAAATGTGTCCCCAGTCCCTGAGGCCGGAAGTAGTGACGATATCTCTATGACATGCAGTAACTGTAGCGGGCAGACCCTCGCAGGGACCTGCACTCAGTGCACACACAAGTCAACCCGTTCCCCAAACAGCGAGAACGCCTCCCCATCCACGTCGCTAAGACAGGTCGAGAATGCAGAATTGAACACCGTCCCCGAGGTGTCTCCCGTCGTTATCGCTCCTCCCGCCGAGAACAGCAGCGAAACCCCGGCGGCTAACCTGCCGAAAGAAAAGAAGCGCCGATTCTCCGGAACCTGCCGTATGATGTGATTATCTGATTCCATTCATTATTTTACCGCGGGGTTTCTTTTCTGTCTTTACACATACTCACATAGCTCAACGGCGTTTCGGAGTTATCCGTGTACTACTGTCCCCTGTCTTATCTACATTCCTTATTATGGCGGCGGCGTTTACTTGCGAGTTTACTTGCGAGGGATTACTCTTGGATATGATCTTAGCTACATTTAACCAATGCTCAAAAATCAAGCTAGGGAGTTAGGAAGGGTTGTTTATGTTAAGTAGGGGTTTATATATTCGAATTTACGTTAAAACGCTTATATACAATAAGAGTATCTGTAAATATATACAGTGAAGTAAAATATAGGTCCCAGGCTATGAGCCTGACAAAACGTGTAGGCAGCCACATTCATCTGTAAACGATCGTAAGTATATACAATTCTGTAAATCGATTTCGGAAATGAAGCGAATGACGATTTGGCGTTAACTCTGAGCAGTAGAGGAAGATAACAGTCTTCTAAGACGGGGCGCCAGCCCCCGAACCAAATGACCGCCGCAAAGGTCAGAGCGAGGAGGATCTGAACCAGGTATGAACTTAGTTTAGGTTGTTCTTGATGTTGTCGTACTGGCTGTTAGGGTAGCTGAGGAGGTTCTGCGTCGCGTCAAGAGATCCTGATCCTCCTTGAGCGTTGTACGCGGCCGCGATCAAACTGCCGCTATCATTTCGGTCGCCCGAGGCTTCCCAAAACATCGAGCCACCTAGGTTCTTGTTCTGAGCGTACGCGATCTTCTTCTTGATCATGTCGACATTATCGTAGCTAATTAACTCCTTGGCCGAGCTGTCGTAGCTATACGTGGCGCCAGCTACGTCGTCGTAAATTTCTTGTGCGCCAGCTCGAGGCAATACCTTGTAATCATATACTCCGGCTTCCCACGAGCCTTGACCAATGCCCGTGTAGGGCTCTCCGATACCATCCGTAGCGTCGAACTATTTGATAGTTAGTGATTGATTTTGAACAAGCGGCTTAATATATTTGGACGCGTCTCGGCATTAATAACTCCTTCAAAGGTACGATGAGAAGGAAATGATACTAGTTATTGAGGCAGGGCAACAAGGAGAAAAGGGACGGCTTGAATTACATACCGCGCGACCATACAGAGGTAGACCAAGGACCAACTTGTTACTCGGGACACCGCCGTTGATATAGGCAGAAAGAGCGGCATCAGTCGAAAACGGCGTGGATACAGGGTTCTGAGGGTTAGGGTACAAGTTTGCCTGATGACCAGAAGTAGAGTCCCAAGAGCCGGCGTAGTCATAGGCCATGAGGTTAAATTGATCAAGCACCGACGCCATATCTTTGAGGTGCAGCTTCTGGTAGTTTGTGGGACCTGCGGGAACCGCCGCAGTGAGGAGAAAATGATATCCATTGGCGTACTGAGATGAGTATGAGTCAAGCTCAGATCGGACTGCCTGTAGAAGTGCAACAAAGTTGCTGGCCTGAGTATCATCGGCGGGGTACTCCCAGTCGATGTCAATACCATCGAATCCCCAGTCCTTGATCAGAGTTACTGCCGTCTGGGCGAAGGTCTTTCTGGTTGCGTCCGTGCTAGCGGCGCTTGCGAAGTTGGTGGAATAAGTCCAACCACCGATGCTAAGAAGCACCTTGAGTTGTCGGTTGGCCTTCTTTAGAAGGTAGAGCTGCTTGATGCAGCCATAGGCATTATTTCCCTGGTCGTTCCATGCTAGACGGTCATGTTAACACGTTTCTTCAGTGGCGAACTACATATCTCATTAACTTACAATCACCGTCGTAGTGCTTCTGCAAGTCAGCGTAAGTATCTGACGCATACACAGTTCCATCAGACATTAGATTGGCGAATGAGTAGAGGACCTGGTTGATCTGCGAAGCTGGAAGCTGCGCCGGCTGGTAGTTTCGGCCATAGATACCCCTGAAGTAGCTATGTTAGCTGACTCTATTCATAAAGAAGTTGATAGACTAACCAGTTAGTGAAGTAAACTACGTTCTGAAAACCAGAAGCCCGCTTTTCGACAGCAGTAATTGGACTACCAAGTCCAAGAGATGCTTGAAGAAGGAGGGTCGCAAGGAGACCTTTGACGGAGAACATGATGAGGGATAGCTTTAGAGTAAGGACCGAAATAGGTACTAAGGAATGAAGTGACTAGAATAGTCGAGAGAGTGAAGAAGCTTTGCTCTTGGTCGAGATCTGACTTGGTTATCAAAAACGCGGACAAGAAACGGACATGTCGATATATTTATATTATCAACGAACCTAGGGAAGAGACGATTTCGGCCAGGCAAGAGACAACTTCGGCACACTACCATCATGGCCGTGTGTCTCTCATGTGGTCCAAAGATGTGACTATGGGCAAAGAAACCATACCTACCATACCCAGGCGACGGTTTCTCGAGCTCGGAGTAAAGGCGCCACTACCAAACCAATGAGCTCGACATGTGGTTCATGGCTTGCTGCGAAGCAGGGCGGCAACGTTGCCACTGTTCACCGACCCAGACACGCCTCCAAACCGATGCATCCCGTCATATCCCCGGTTGTAGCCTCCTTTCAAGGTTGGTTCCCGGTCATGAGCGTGCTGGTAAAGCTGATGAGAGCTTCATGGAACTGGGGAGACATGCTGGAACCCGGTAGCCCTCGTGCTCGCTCTCCCTATTCCGTACGCGGAAGGTGGACGTTGGAATGTGTCTTGCATAGTAGGACTTTGACAGTCGCGGTAATGAAGGTAGCTTTTGCTCAGGGGAAGCTGTTGGCTGTAACCAATCAGAGGCTGGGAAAGTCAAGATCAGAGTACCATCAAGAGCTCTTCGGACGAGATTAGCACAAGGGTTGATAGCTTATCACAGGGTTGTACGCGCTCATCAAGTTGTAGCTCATACCCCACTATCACTTGACCAAATTAGATCTTGGGACAATAATCATATCGGAGGTGTGCAAGCTGTTGGGAAGCTGGTTTAGAGTAGAGGATCAAATGATTTTGAAAGAAATACATGCTAACGGACGTAAGGGCAATGTGGCAGAATTTGTTAGACATGCAGAGGCATACAGAGAAGGCATGTCTTAAACAAGACGGAAGAGATAGATGATACATCCGTCTGAACCCCACCGAATGTCGAGTTTGGGTTGTTTGGGTTATTTGGGTTATTAGTTTCCGAAGCCACACCCACTCTCTAGTGTGCTCTCTCTCTTGCGTGGGGAGATAAGGTATTTCCAAATCGGGCTTCTTCTTCCACTACAGCGCGTCCAAGAACCTGTTATCCTTGCCTCGAGAAGGTCAGGTTCACGATGAGACCTTAGGCTGACCAGCTTGGCTTGGCACACCCCGCACCCGCCATACCTTTGGTTGCATTGATATAGAATCGATTATTTTTGCAACGTTACTGGGTCTCTAAGAGGATGATATTAGTTTCTTGCGATGAGTCTGATATCCGCGACGTCGTTGTGCTAAGAGATATGAAGTGTTACCGCTAGGTGATAGCATGAGGGAACCTTATGCAATAGGGTTGTGTGGTTTGGAACTGAGGGACGGGTATCCCACGATTGCGCCTCGGTGGTCGCATTTGGAACGCGACATAGTAACCACAGTGGCCGTAGTTACCGAACGCCAGAAGTACCGCGCATCTAGATAATCTTTTAAAGGGAAATATCGAATGTAGAATTTCTGATAACCGACCAAAGGCCCGCATAGAATCCATGAGTCGCGCGACACTTCTGTCCCTGACTCCACATAGTATATCCTGGAGGGGTGTCAAGGTCATCGGACCGAACACCGACCCTCCTGGAGCAAGACATCCAGAAACAGTCGACGTCCAAAAACAGTCGCCGTCCAGAAACAGTCGCCAGCTAATTCGTCGACCGAGGCACCCTACTAAACTCCCGACAGTCTGCCTAGCATGCCTAGCAGGTGAAAATCAGCCATGCCACGTTGTTGAATCCAATAGTACTACCTAATGTCTTGAAGGCTTCATACTTCATACAATAACCCCTTGACCTTGCGGGAAGCGTACAGAGCCTGATAGTTTGTAAGTCTGGTCCGCTACCTTTACCGAGCTCAATTTCGAGTTTACTAGGACGTTCGCGGCAGCGTTAATTTCATATCGCTTTAACTGAGTTGCTGAGGGAACTTTACTGGATCATCATTCCTTTAGGTGGCCTAGACTACACGCCGGCTTATAGGCCCTTAAACAGATGGGATCTAATTGACAAGGCCTAGCCCATTCTTTATTCAAGCTAAGATCAGCGATGGAATCCAGATCGCCGGGTCGTTGAAATATAACAGACATCTAAGATCTGCAATGTAGCGGCGAAGAGCCGAGGAACCTTGAGAAAATGAGGCTCTTCCTCGAAACAAGATGCATGCGTTTATGGTGCCTGGCATAATACGAGTTGTGATCAGCATTTTGCGGTAGTACTCCAAGGGAATAAATCTGGTGAAGAGGTAATCAAGTCAAATTAACGGATAGATTCTAGCGCTAGATCCTTTTCCAGATCGGCAATTTGAATCCCGCATAGGCAGGTGGGTACCCCTTTTCTTTACCAGGTAGGTACAAGCAAGCCCTGTATGGTGTACCTCTTTCCGCTAATTTCGGGTATTCTCCACCTAAACCTTATTTCCCCTGACGAAGTTTGTAAGACAGGGCTCTTTCGTCTTCAACTATTCAACTGCGTTAGGTACCACCTGCTCAAACTCTAAATAATGACCCGCGACGTGTGCAATAATATACAACGCTAAGATGCCTAATGAAAATTAAATAAATTAAACATACATAGGTACCTAACCTACCTTGTACATCTTCAAAGAAAAATTGACCATATGATTTACTTCGCCTCATAGAGCAGTTGTCTTAGGTACCTACGTACAGCTCGACATTACATTCGGAGTCGCCTTCCTCCGATATCCATCTCACCTGCTCATATTGACGGTATGAAACCGTGCGGTGGCTAGCTGCGCTTCTTCTTCGTCCGCGTATCCACCATAAATCATTTGATCACCTCTTTCGCTAAAATCTTCTCGTTTGTCTTTCTACATCCAATTAGCTCCTCAACATATGTTCCAAAAGCAAATCTATGATATAAGACCATTTGCCATAACATGTGAATGGATACTTGATCGGCCCTGCTGTAGGTACCACGATGTATATTACGTCTTGCATAGGTACTACATACTCGCTATATTCTTAAGACTTGAGAAAACATCTACGATTGCTTACGTGAATTTCCACAGGCGGAACCTCGTGACACGTGTTATTCACTAGTCTTTTCTCAACAAACACTTGACTTGCCAACTAGAGAGTCTTACAGAATCAATATATGTCGATCTTCTGCAACCTCCCTTAAGCCTCGTCGAGATGATGTACGTTTTTACCGACTTTACAGGATGGTTACACGAAGACGGGTAGATTGAAGCTCTAAGCTGTATAGGCAGTATGTTGTTTCTAATATCATTTGAATGTAACGCCTTTCGACGTGACATAGTAACCCATAAAGAATTAGGAGAGAACAATATGAGATGTAGTTCAGGCCACCAATACCGACGCTCTTGTGGAATATATTAGACCGGGTGGAAGGGGAGCTTGCGAGTAATAAGTATAGGAACTTGTATAGATAAGCTACGTGGGAGGCAATGACTTGGACGATGGGTTGCGTGGCTAACATCCAAGTAGACCAAAAAGGAGGTTACGATAGTTGAGAGTACACTTCCACCGACTTCCGGCTCTGAGGTATATAGCTCTTTATTTCTAGTGACCTTCCTTAAGTGTATCTCAACAGTGTCGCATGGTATGTTTCGGGTAGAAAAGTCACTTCGGATCTGGACAACAGCCGCAGCAGCACCATGTACTATATTCCGCGATAACGCCTTCTACCACTGGCCCGATTGTTGATTCTATAAGAGGAGCCAAACTCCAGATTCCTACCATCTTTCCGCGGTGCTCGGGAACCCAGCAGTCACTCGGCCCAGTGGTTAGCTTTCATCTAGGACATAAAAATAACTCGAGTCTTGACTAACCTCGACACTCCGCCGCTAATAGCTTAGGGTGCACTTCCTCCAAGCATAGCGAGAAACCGGAATATTAGCAATTATATTTAATTCGTAACGAAACCACAGCCCAGATTCCACTCAATGTGGAAGATATTCGTACGAAGAAGTACTGGGACTCGACCATAGATTTCAGAGAGTGGCCTAAAGAATAGAGGCTTGATGGAATATGCGGGGACGGGGATCGATAGGGTAAGCGAAACCTCTGCCTGGGTCATGTTGAACTCCTAGCTTACGGCACTAGGAGTAGGCGCTACCATTAACGACGAGACGGGTGTGATAAATGTGAAGGCCGACACCATTATAGTAGTCATCAATTTCCTCTTCGTAGGCTAGTTCTATAATTCTCTGGGTTGTCGGTGCCGGACTGGATTACCTATACCGCAATTTGTTAGCTACCTACATACCAATTCTAGACCATTCATATATATTTGTTATGAAGCAACGTACCAGGTTGAGTAAGGTCTCCACCTCCTGATGGATATTTCGCAGCGAGCGCTTTTTCTATGTCGTTGCTTTGACTGGTCGAAGCGCCGAGATCTTTTGCGTTAATACAGAAAACTGAACTGTCGGAAGGCGGGTCATGTTCGTTGCGTTTTCGGTCCTGTGAGTCTCCCTCATGCTTAAGGAGATCGGGCGACCGTGTAGCGATGTGGGGGTTAGTAGCTGGCCCAATCGGTTCTGTATTCGCGGGAAGCTTTAATTCCTTTCTCGTCTTTAATATTAGAGATATGGAAGAGAAGCATATCGCGTATCTAGAAGATTGCACTCGCATCTTCTAAGTCGGTTAGGTCTCGCGACCTCTAGATAGCTGCGATGGTCCATTTAGGGGGATGTATAGATGTGAAAGAGTTGTGACGTCGACTAGAGAAGTGAAAAGAAAGTCTCCTGATCGAAGCTTTCTGTGGCTATCCGAGGGCCGTGTCACATCATTTTGGTGTTTACCCGACCCTTCGGATTTTGACATACCGGCTTTTGAAGCGTCCATAAAACCCGGATCCAGGGGCTACCCTAAGGAACGCTTCAATGACAGGGCGAGTAACAATTTCCAGTAGACGAGCCATAAATGGCAATTGCTTTGTAGGTCATCTAGTCAATATACTCGTATTATCCGAAAAGTTCCGTCGGAGCTATGCTATGAAGCAAAGTTTCGCTGTGTGTCGGTTCTTACAATATGGTCACGCAAAATCTGGGGATCCAATTGAATAAAATATCTCATTACCTAGCCTTATTCGTGTTTTCATCTGATCTTAAAATGTAGACTGTGTCGTTAAGCGCTATTTCAATTGTTTACCCCATAGTAAGGAAGCTATCCCTAATCTTGAGACATAATTATATCTAGAAGTTGCCATCCGAGCTTATCCTAGAACAATAGGTATCTATTATAGCGATATTATAGCTACCTAGACAGATATAAATATACTACGGTTCAAATTCTGGTTTCTATGTATAACGGGTATCCAAGGTGTCGCTTATTATCTATAGAAGTATACTCATATCATCCTGCTTGTGCCTAAGACTTAATGCATTTGTTAAGTCAAGCAAGGTGCGCTTAGTAATATATTGACAAGTAAATCCAATAATCGACTTGTATCCAAGAATTCATCAAGCAGGATGCTTGGTGAATTCGTTGAAAGAAAGTTCAGAGACAAAATCTTCCCATGTCTTCCAGGATACGTCTTCGGAAGAGCCACTATTCCCTCCAGGGACATCATTACTCCCCGAGCTCTGACCGTGAGGCATCTGTGGCACGGACCATGGTGACATTGATGGATTTGTCATAGCGGAAGTTTCAAAAGGCAGAAACAAATTTGCCTCGTTGAAATCGAAATCCATAGCGAGTTGAGGATCAAGTTGGTTCATGGAAAAGTCCATCGAGCTGGGGTCTATTTCGGTCGCAGTAGGATCTGATGATCCTAAGTGCGGGTTATAATCCGCTTGGTCTAGGCTAAAGGAAGGCTGTGGCAACCCCTGGAGAGAATTCAGGTTGCGTAAAAGGACGCTGATTCTCTTCCTTGCCTGCATCATTAGCCTTTCCAACGGCTTTTTAAACATCCCTCGACGGTAAGTTTCCATGTCTTTCTTATGGTGCTCAAAGGCTCTCTCAATTATTGGCCAAGCGGTTTGAAGAGTCGAGACGTCTGCGCAGACATAACATTCAGCGATAGCGCTCGCTAGTGCGTGCCACTGAATCACCACGTACCATCTAAACCCCTCTCCTCTAGGACTGGTTCTGATTAGGTGCACCTCATCCAAAGTCTTTAAGGCGTCGTTGAGGATCTCTGTAAACTTTCCACGAGGAGCGGGCTGATTGGCAACGCGGTGTAACGGCCTCAGAGCTGCAAGACGCATTGATGCTACCTGTGACTGTGCCCCGTGGAAAGTGAACCATGCATACGCGCTTGATTCTGGATCACAGAATTTCAAAAGATTCAAAATGTGTTGCTGAAAGAGTGAAGCATGTCTTTCTCGTTCTTCCCAATTGAGTTTGTCCGCCTCCTTACCATGGAAATTCAGGAGTCGCCCGCTTAACTGTGCATGATATGTGACAAGAGCAAAAGTCATATCAGTGAGGCCATCTTTGCTCTGAAGTTCCCCTGGAGTGTCGACGTCAAACTCGGAATCATTGATGTTGACGGGAAAATCCGATGATATTTCATCAACTTCTATGAGTGGTTCTGTGGCTTCTTCAAGTGCCCCTTGAAGATCTAAAAGACACACCGTGAACCATAACCGACGTCTCATCTGCCGGTTAAAGAAAGACTCTACCCTTCCTATGTGGATAGACAGAGCTTTTGCTATCCGAACAGCTAATGCGATCATAGTCCAGACGGCGCGACTTGAGTCCTCGGTTCGCCTAGCAATAAGATATAATACGAATGCTTGCAGGACAGTGATGTCACTCGTTGTTAATAGTTCCGAGCTTTCGAGGGCAGCTTCACAGGCTGCTCTAAACTGTGCCATCAGCGTAAGCTTTCTTGTATTGAACAATTTCTGACATTGTTCTTCTGTCATGCTCGCCACAGCAGAAAAGCAGACGGCCGAGCTCAGACACATCGTAGATACGTGGTTAGTATCGTACCCTAAATAGCGCTGACCGTTTTGCATAAAATTGCTGAGCGAGGGCCGATGCAGAACCTTGATGATGGGGTCTACTTGGCGGAGGTAGATTTCGCATAGTTGAGCCGTCACGGCAGGGGTTTTTAGATGATCATTAATTGCTGGGATACCACCATGAGTAGATGATCCAATGCCAATTACCCTCAAATTAGTACCAAAACTAGAATTCGGGGTTGACCAAACGCTCTCCTCGTCATCCGAGGCCCGCTCGACGATATCACAGAGGCCTTCTACCTTTATAACATTAGTTGATATCAAAGCATCATAAATGGATATATATTACCTCGTCCGCAATCTGAGCCCAGAACTGCCACCCAACATCATTCTCGGTATCTATGCCCACTTCGGCGCTAGCTGTGGTCGCCGGTCCGGGCTCCGACGCCGAGTCTTTCAATTCATTGATATTTGAAGCTAGAGCCTCCAGGTTTCGTATTCGGGACATTAACTCCTCGCCGGTATTGAGCGTCGCGAGTGACCGGGGGTGGGTATGGCGACCACGGGGTAAGCGCTTGCGATGAATAGGGACGCATACCACGTCCGCCTTTACGCAATTGGAGCATGGATTGGATTTGTCACATTTGACTTTTCGCTTCCTATTATAGAACAAGTTAGTATCGGCTTAGCTACAGGCGATATCTTTTAAGTCATACTTGCATAGCTCGCAGCTAAGCTGTGGAATATCAGCCCCCGGTTTGCCGGAGCGGCGACCACGCCAGTCAGCATTATCCGCAGCCTGCGATACTGATGTCGACATTATTTAATACATTATTTCATGTTTAGTTTGCATTTGATACCAGCTAGATATGAGGTGGTTTATAAACTCATGACGCACGGGTCGCATTTGACAATAATAATAGGCAGCAATCGGTATAGCTCCAAGGCAGATGTCTCTATTATGGACCTTTACTAACCCAAACAAGAATTCGCTACCTATAATAAACTTCACGTTGCATGATGGTAAACATCACCAAGGCAGAACTCCAGGCAGTCGTAGGGTGTAAGTGGACCACTACCAACTGGTGATTAAATAACGCCGATAAGGTTTGTTGATTCGAAGAATCCTAGGTACTCTGGTAGCGGTGGGGAGGGATTGGGTAATACTGGTAAATATGAAGAATCGATCGAAACTCATAGATTATAATATCAAACTGTCCTCATTCAAAGCTATCCCCCTTAGGTGAGGAATGTTCACACGATCACTACTAAATAAGCAACTACTCCTTAAATCTAGTTAAAATGCTATATTGTTCGTTAGCTGTTATTCTGATATAAGAGGTACCTATTGGAGGAGACTTTTTTTTTTTTTTTTGTAAGAAGAGGGAATATTATTTCATACCTATATGTATCGCTGTGGCTCAGCAAGGCGTAAAACCAACAACTACTTCCCTTTGAATAAAAAGTGTTCGCAAGGCTAGTGTTATGGGTTAACTTACAAACACCCCTATACTTCTATATGAGGTAGGTAACTACGGCTAGGAAGGACGTGTTAAGTGGAAATATTGCCGACAACTTAGAATGCCACTTATTGAAAGGCCTATTTATTTAGAATTCCCTTCTTAGTTTCACAGCTGTGGGCTACTAGAGTCCTAAGGCTAGACCTCCTGGATAAGTAGTTAAGAGGCTTAAAGTTATGTTAAGTACCTAAGGTAAATATAGACAGTAGGAACGAAAGCATTTACATACAAGACTGCACCTTCATAAGATGAAGATATCATTGAATACCTAGGTAGGTAGGTAATTAGGAAATTCATACCCAAATACTCAGCTTCTATATAATATTGCTACTTCATAGTTAGAGGATCTGAAAACATTACTGCACCGACTTAAGTAATAAAAAACATGATATAAGGGTTATATGTGTGTCTTAATTGACTAACTGAGATTCTTCATGAGTGGAGGGAGAGGCGATATATATACGTATTTTTACCAATATGTCTTGTACTGCTCCTTATAGCAGACCTTTGTCACTTGATGTCATTGTTGACTTGGAAATATCGGCTTCACCGAGAATGGTAGTAGGACATGTACAAGGCTTTAGGACAATGCTTTAATGTTTGGTACCTTTCCTCCACATAAGAGTACCCTTAGGGATCAGCAGACAAATCATACAACCACACAATTATAGTCGCAGCATCTTCCCATTTTCATCCATTTCATTTAGAACAACGGTAGTCTTACTTGATATGCCATGTAACGCAGAAGTAAGGCTGCATTGAATTAACTTCTAGGAGTATAGTCATGGGTTATATCGTTGGTTACGGTTCAGCCGCACCGCTACTCAAGGTGGTGGGTCCCCGTACCAATGTTGAAGTTCTCTCCGTTTTGGGAAGTTAAAGGCGGTCCATAAAGCTTGCCCCTATTATTTTTGGGTGTACTTCTTAGTTATTTACAGGTCTTGCGATGATCATAAGCCACTATTTTCAGATTTTGATAACGCCTATCGCTTGATACTATAGGTCCCCTGCTATCTGTGCAACTTCATGGTCCTGAAAAGGTAGGAATGAGCGGGCGGTTAGCTACGGCGACAACCCATGATATGTGATATAGGTTTCCCTTAATGAAACTAAAATTCATATATAATGGTGAAATCTTTCCCTCGTTATGGGACTTGAACCAGACACACTCACATCACTATCTTCACCACATCAACGGCAATATACTACAACAATACTCCATCATCGTGAAGCCACGGAAGCCTTCATTCCTGATACTCTTCAAATAAAACTTAAAATATCACAATCAATTACTTCCATCCACAATGGTTGCATACGTCACTGTCCTATTCGCCATCTTGGGTGTATCCAGCGCGGCGCAGATCACGGTGAGTGGTAATATGAGATACTCAGGGCCATCGATAGATACCACATGTTCGACTTTAGAACTGACTTAACCATTTCCTCAGGGATCTTGCCCTTCGGGTCAGACGTTGATTTCCAACAACAAGTGCTGCCCTGGCTATTCCATAGTCAGCGGTGAAAACCACACAGATTGCTGTATCACCGAAAAGGGTAATAATGGCAATTGCCAGGGTGTCGGGCTTTGCGGAAATGCCATTGGCACCTGCAAAGCTAAGATATCCGTAGACGACCCCGTACGTAAACATAAACCCAAAGCATATACTTAATCCTCACGTTTCTTATCTAAGGGAATGTTTTCTGACTTTTGGTACACAGGACTACGACCAGAAGGTCCAAGATGCGCTCTCCGGTACGACAGCTTCTCAATCTAGTTCATCACCATCCTCATCGGCTGATGCCACCCCTACGGCCTCTTCCACTCCCAGCTCCACTGGATCTGACTCGGCTCCAGGCTCCTCCACCTCTTCCGACTCCTCGTCTACTTCTTCAACTTCCGGGGCTACCACCATGGAGGATAACAAGGCAATGCTTGCAATGGTGGCCGCTCTAGCCGCCATTCCCGCTATCTTTTACCAGCTTTAAGGTCGCCAGAGGGGTTTACATCGATGGTGATTCAAGAAGTGGCATATGTGTATGATTTTATTCATTCGGCTAGTTCCCTGAACTACCTTTAATTAATTTTGTTTCCTTTCAGCTTTGAGAATTTTGAAGAAAGGTCACCTGAATAATAGGTATATTCCGGTATCCATTTGCCTTTTCCGGCTATTAGATATATACATTTAAATAGAAATCCCTTTATCATCAAGCCAAGTGGTAAAGTTATTTAAGTGTTTGGTCTTACCCCTATTATGAGGCTGATGAAGCTTTCAAATAATATGAATTTTATCAGGTAAGTTCCTACGAAGAGTGAGAGTTAGAAGCATGACTGAAAGGAAATCTATTTCTAAATAATTTGCAAAAGATGCTCATCGCGGATTTATTAGCTTTGTGCTTCCTCCGCCTGAACGATGTCCCTTTGCGGAGGAGGGATACTCGTAGCAAAACGGCTTCGACCGACCATAGCCTCTGCATAATTGAGTATAGAACGTTCCATCGCTTGTCTATCTGTAGGATATCTCCCGCTCCCTTTATATGATACTATTTCCATTATGTTGTCAAGCAAGTACCCTTTCTCATTTTCTCCGGCCCCTTCATATGACAAATACATTTGGGGAATGAATGCGATAGAGGCCACCATCCCTAAGCCCTTGATGAATGGGATACATGTCCACATTTTTCTGCAGAGATCTCCGTGTTCTTCTTCTAGGGCTGGGTCTGGCTGCTTCAGCATAATTGTCAAGTGGTGCAGAATTCGATTAAAAATCGTTCGTATCATGACATATGATATAAAAAATGACATTTTATGTAAGCTGCCAAAATGGAGCTTCACACCAATTGGAGATTTGGGATCTGTTTGTTCAAGTATATGACCCGCGCTACAGATCCTTAGTAGGATTGGCTCGCCGATACATGTGATATCCGCAGCGAGAGCCGCGACTTTGTCATGAAGAGCCAATGCTTGTATTTGTTGCGAGTTCACATCTGAGTTACTGGCAACACGTCGAAATCCGTGGACGAGATAGGGCCAGTATCCATAGTAGTAACCTACGCTATAGCAATCAGCTCGTTCACTTGAGACGGAGTGCTCTATAGCTAGGAACGATTGCTGAATTGCCTCCTTCCATGGTGAGCTCAAGTAGAAGTTTTCGCCTCCCGCGACAACCCAATGTGATATCTAAATGGGTCAAGTTAGTCAAGCCTATATTTTTCGTTAAGAGGAATTAAAAATAAAATAAAAGGGGGCGATGTTTACCAGGGCTGCGTGATTTTCAAATGCTAAATGAACGTCTAAGTAGTCTCGAGGATTCGGTGGACCTCGCTTGATCATCAGAGTTTGGATTCCTTCCCAGTGGTGTGATCGATAATGGGGACGTTGCGTATCGAATATAAGCTCCAGCCGTTCTAGAATTGTTGCAGCAGCTAGCGTTTCACTGCTGAGCTGTTGATGAGGGTCGTTTATGGCACGCTGAAGAGTCCTCAGTGCTTTTACATAGAGGTTCGAATCAAGGAGTTGAGTTGGCATAGAACCTCGTCGTGAGTTGATCCAAGTAGAACACATTAAAGCAACACAGTCTCTCAATGCGGAACTTTCGCTCAATCTAACCGGTAGGTGTTTAATATACCCACAGGAAGCTAGTATATCCCACGGGGCATGTTCGTGGGAGAGATATCCAACCAGACGAGCAGCTACACGCTCCGCCACAGTCGTGAGGGTTTTTCGTGGCCCATCGGGAGCAAAGCGGAAATTTCCAAACGAAGCTCCACCCGGCAATCCTCGTTGGCGGATACTCTCCAGGTTACCAACCGGTCTCCTATGAGTCGTGAGCTGGGTTGTAACCTCATCCCCCTTAGCTTCGTCAGTGGTCGAGGAGTGGGAGTTGGTATGGATAAACTTGGTCAGATTAGGAGGGCCAGAACAAGCAACCCCGGCACGTAGGCAAGGAGTACATGTCGGCCAGTTCTCATCGCACTAAACAAGGTGGATAGATATAATTAGTCTAACTGGCTCTTTCTTCTATAGATGTTTATTCTCACCTTAATTTTGATGCGTTTACAGCGCTGGCATCGTTTAGATCTAGGTACGCCTACCATCTTTGAAGTGTGTCGATCGATGTTGAAACAGTTTACTAAAAGGGACGCAAAATGCGGTGTACGGAGTTTTGGCTAGCCTTTCATATATAGGAGGACAGAGTTGGGCTCACGTTCAATAGATAAAGGGAACATCGCGACAACATACTTGATTCGGTAAATGTAATGCCCTTTTCCGTTAGAAGATCTGCAATTTTTATTTTGGAAAGACAAGCCGAAACACCTGTCCTATATGTAAGACTCAGCTTTTCAGCTAACATTCATATAAGCGCATGTCAGATATGAGTTTGTCATTGGCGAACTATCTTAGTGGTATACCTGACGTTCTGCAAGGTCAGATTATAGCACTTGTAAGTAACATATATTAGGTATCTATCTCTGGTGAAAGTTCAAGCAATTAAAACCTATTCATCGCTGGAGATGCACGCCTCGATTTGGCCTCATAAGGCTGATTTCCAATTATTTGAACCCCGCGTTCCCGCCGGTGCTTATACAAACCTGGCACAGGTGCATGGGTTGCATGAAAATGCTAGTGATTAAAGACTCTTATATGAGGTAGCTATTCCTTTAGTTATTGTGGAGTTTACATAGACTCAGCTGTATGACAGTCAACATGACATTCATAAACTAAAATAGTAGATCTTGCGATTGGCAGGTACCTAGTTAGCTACGCGATATGTATAAGATGCATCATAGGTAAGTGAGTATTTCTGGGCTCCAATGTGGCTGTGTCAATAAAAGCTGGTTCAGCGCAATACATATTTGTCGGAATCCTTTCACCGTATCTAGTTTACCAGGGGCAGGTAAAAAATAAACAAATAATCTTTATAAATCAAAATGAAAAAAGGTAGTTATTTATTAAAATAGGTATTGGTTTATAACGAGGTAATATAAAATACAAAGTCTCAAGAAATAGGGGTTGCGCGAATACACGTGTAGCTGTTACTAAATACGCGATTATACAAGAATATTATCTCGGATGTCTTGTGTCACTACACGTATGTACATGAATGTAGCTCCCAGGTACAATGATTCAAACACGCAGTACGTGTGTATACTTAATCAAGCATACGAAGTACAACATTAATATTAGATACATAACAGCTTAGTTAATACATGTAGTCATTCACTTACCTAATTACGGCGTATTACCTAGTGGCTGGTAGTTACACCACCAAACTTTAATTGCCGAAACCAATAAATTCCCGTCTACCACTTACTGGCAGTTTACTGCTTAATATATGTAAGTACTTAAGTATTCATTCAGATAATTCCATTTGAAGGCAGCCAATTAAGGTCCGCAACTTAACTTAACCTAAGTAATTTTATGCGTTTATACTTACGAATACAAAGACTTAAAATATAATATTACGATTAATAATAACATTTAAGTGAGTCGCGTAATATCGTTAATTATTAAATTTATATAAAAATTATAAAAATAATTATATATATAATTAAAGTTATTCCGTAAGCGGTAACGCTTTGTTAATGGCTGGTTTATACGTAACAATAAATCCACATTATCTTTTTCCCTTTACATAATTATCTTTAATTATTATAATACCTCTTTTTAACATATTTTAGTTTAATTGTTTTTATAAATGTTATTTATTTTAATTTAATAACCTTTTATTAACATATTATATATTATAAATTAAATGTTTATTTTGGATATAAGTTAAAAATAAATTAATACCGTTATATTTATTTTATAATAATATATTACCAAAATTTTAAATCTAATATATATTGTTAATATAATAACTTTTAATAGCTTAAAAACCATTGTAATAAAATTTATGTTTAACAGTTTGTTACTTTACTCGTAATACTTAATCTTTAAATGTATACGTTTTAATTAAACCTTTTTTTTCTTACAAATATGCGCGTATTTAGTCTTTTGTTAATTTATTATTATTAAAGTTGCCATAAACTAATAATGTTTTATATTATATGGTTAATTGTTTTGTAAATAATATTTCTTCTTTTTCCGTCATTTTGCGTATATATTTGTTATATTCGTTTAGTTATTAATTTTATAAAAGTTACGTACCAAACATTAAATAAAAATTATTATATCCTCCTGACTTGGAAATGCGATTGTATATAGTTAACGCTTTTCTTAGTAAATTGAAAAAATTTGCTATAAGATTTGCTTGGTATTCATATAACATAATTTTTTTAATATTTCCGTTGGTTTTTTTTACTTTACCGTTTTTTCTTGGTCGTAACGGCGTAAAATACTTAATCGTTAAACCTTTTTCTTATGCCCATTTAATAACGTTTACGTTTATAAATAATCTTATATTATCGTTAATTTACTTCTTTAAATAACCATACATATTGCCGATATATATAAATAATAACTGGTATTTAACAAACGTAATACTTTACATCAAACATACTTTAACCCATCCCGTAACATATTTTATAACTACTAGTAAAGTATATATAACAATCGATATATAATTAATTATTTACCGCGTCAGTAATATTAAAGGTTAAATTGGTTATAAATCAAATAACAAAAGATTAAGTTTTTTTATTAATTAATAAACAAAACACTTAACAATAACTTATTATACGGTTAATATTATATTTAAATGTTAATACTGTTTTAATACCTCCTTTTATACGATTTTAACTATAGTATAACTTTGGTTGTGGTGAATTTTACGTAATTGGATAATTAAATTGTTATATTTTAATATTTTTTAAAAGTTTACGGTTTTATATACCGTTTTTACTGCGTGTAACAAGTTTTTAAAAGCCTTATTATACTTAATAATTTTGTGTAAATATCTTTTATAAATAATAAAATAATCATTTACCCATTTTTTCTCAATAACGTTCGGTAATGTTATTCCAAATCGTAAATATTTATATATCATTTAAAGGTTTATTCGATTTAATTTGTAAAGATATTAAATTGTTTTTTTTGCAATATTTTCGTTTACCGGATAATTTAAATTTAATTTATTAAAAGGTTTTAATAAATAATCGGCTAAAACGTTGGTTTTGTTTAAACAATAAATAATTTTAATGCCGTAATATTTAATAATATTGAAAAAATAAAGGATTTTAACGGGTTGTTTAACTTTGATATTAATCATTTTTAATGATTTATAATTTATAATCATTATAATGTCTCCTCTTTTTACTTAATATTGCCAGTGTTAAAATGTTAGTATAATCCTTAATAATTTTTTTTTTTACGTTAAATAACATATTTACATATTTGTTAACTTTTTGGAAAAATAAACTATTAAATAAAGAATTTATTAATTTCCGTATATATATAGTTATAAAATAACCGTTTTTACGTATCTTTTGCTAGTATTTAATTTTAGTATAAATAATAATTTTTAGTTAAATTTTTATATAATAAATATCGTCGTAATAATGTCACGAATTTATCTTTAAACTACCTTTACCGCAACGTTAAACTTCACAAATATATTTTTATATTTTCCTATTAACGTTATAAATAAGCTTAATATCTTTAAATAGTCTTTAATAAAGTTTTTAAAATATTTAATAACGTTAATAAAAGCTTTAATTTATATAGTTATTTTAAACATTAGTTTATTTTTAACTGTTATAACTTTTGTTAAATCAGCTTTAATTCCTTTCTCTAATATTATAAATCCTAGAAATACTCCTTTTTTAACGAATATTTATATTTTGGCGGTATTAACGATTATACCGTATTCGATAAATTGTATAAACATTGCCATAACTCGTTTGTAAAACTATTCCTTAGTATCGGCTTAAATACAAATGTCATTTAATAATTCAATTACTCATTTACGGAATAATTCTAAAATCTTGTCGATTAATACCTGGAATATTACTGGTACATTTATCAATTTAAACGGCATAACAATCCATTTAAAAATCTTAAATAGTATCACGAAAGCTATTTTTTCACAATCTTTTCGTTAGATTTTAATGTGCTAAAAACTGTTTTTTAAGTTAATAAATATATACCATCGATATTTTACCGCCCGTTAAATTTAATTTCAAACGTTAAATAACAAATATGCGTTTTTTTTAATATGTTTATTCAATTCCTTATAATTATAATAAAAACGCCATATAATGTTAAGGTTATTTTTGTTAAGTTTAATGGTTTAACTTAATGCTTTCTTAAGTGTTAATAAATATGGTAACTTTTACAAGTTTTTACTTTTTTATAAAATTTTACTTTCGTAAACCTTTATAAAGTTTCGTAACGCCTATTCTTAATAAAGGTTATATCGTTTTAATGGTAGTTTAATTGGAAAATTATCTTTTATATTAATTTCGTGCTTTGTCTTTAACTTCACATTTATACGTTTTTTTATAATGTCGAATAATTTAAAAAACTCTTATTTGTATTAAGTTAAATATTCGTTAATTTTAAGATTATCGGTCGGTGTATTTTTATGCCATCGTATTTTCGTTAATATATTAATTACTTTATAAACAGTCTTTTTATCAAGTGTTTCCGATAAACAATGGATTGGTAGGTCTTTTATTAGTTTTAAAGTAAACTTGCCATTAAATCTTTTTAAATGCATAATTTTATTAAACAAAAGTCTCTCGCAATAAACTCCCCACTTATAAAAAATACCTCGTTTTAACGTAAAATCACCAAAAAATGTTCCGTCTAAAACTACTCCCGTTATAACGGTAAAAGTAACGTTATAACTGTTTAATATTTTAAATCTTACGTAAACAATTATATCTTGTTTAATTCGTAGTTTAACTCCTTTAATTCCTATTATCGTAAAAAATCTTCGTAATTAATATTTTATTATATTTTTAACTAAAGATTCCGTAACGTAACATACTTTACAGCCGTAATTAAAAAAAATTATAAAATTTTTACTGTTATGTATTTATGCCTTAAATACGTTATAATTTTTTCCGTATCTTTCTTAAATAAACTTATCTTTAAATAATAATAATTTTTTGTTCTTATTCACTTCGATCCAGTAAATGTAACTTTTTTATTCATTTTATTAATGACTTTATAAAAAGTCGTCGAAAACGTCTGCAAAGGTTTATTCCAAATCTTTATCGTTTAACGTTTTTCTATAATTATCATTATCTTTGTCATTTGTTTTATCATCGGTAAATTAGACTTTTTTATTACCTTTGTTTTTCCACTTATTAAGTATTCCTCTAAACTTCTTAATAAAATTCTTATTATCTTTAAAAAACATTCCTTTAATAATAATCTTTTTACCGTTAGGTATTGTCTTACGTGAAAACTATAATTTCTTATTGTAATCTTTAACTTAATAACCTTTTTTACCGCAGTTAAAACATTTGTTATTAAATAACTTAACTGTATAACTTTAATCGTTTACCATATTAATTTATCGGTCATTTTAACTAAGGTTAAATATTGTTATTTTTTATGCAACGTTAAGTATTATTTGTTATACATCTTTTTATTAAATCTTAACTTTTCCGGGTTTGCCAGGTATAGTTTTACCAATGTTTAAATAATAAAATAAGGCTGTTTTGTCTTATAATTAAATTGTTATTTTTAAAATGCCGTAAATCTTATTTTTTACTGCCGTTTATGTTATCATTCCAAATTGTTTCATAGCTTTTTCAACCAATTTCGTTATATTTTACGTTTCCATATAATCGTAATACGTTAGCTATACTTTTGGTGCGTATATACGCAGTATGTTAATAAATATTTCGCGTATTTGTTTTATACCGCATATAAATATTAATAAACGGTAGTAAGCTTTACGAATGCGTTGTATAAAATTAATTAAACTTTTATTTTAATATAATAATAACGTTATAAACGTTGTTATTAAATTGTGAAATACGTAATAGTTTATTAAAACTTGTAAAATAGCTTTTATAAATATTACTTAATTAAACGTTTATTTACGTATTTATATTATTATTTATTAAAAATTCCCAAATAATTTTATTAATATTTTTATTAATTATAAATAATATAATACTAATATTATTTTCAATCGATTTTAGATTTTGTTTAATTTATATAACGTTTGGTTATTTACCCATATAAGTTTAAAATAAAAAGGTAAAATAATTTTATTTTTATTTTTGCATTTTGCAAAGTTTTCGCCTTTTTAATGAAGTATTACTTTAAACTACATTACTTTAACTTTACATTTTTAATCGTTATATATAATACTTTCTTCGTTATTATTATAAAAGTTAAGCTTATTACTTAATAATTAATTATTATTTGTTAAATTAATAAAATTTGTTTTTTACGTAAGTTTTTATATTAATATTAATAATATTAACTTTATTATTAATAACGGTAATGATTTAATTAAAACCAATTATACTTGTAATTATTAAATAACGTCATTTATAAAATTATTTATTACGTTTAATGTTTTTATTACCGTGTTATAATTTTCTTATATATTTACGCTTTATGCATTAAATCTTACCTTAACGTTTTTAAACTTTTTACTAAACTTTTCGCCCATATTTATCATACGTTTATAAACGCTTATAACTTTAAAGCCGTAACCGGCTTAAAAACCTATAAAAATATCTTTACTTTTAAAAGCCTCATTAATTAAACTATTATTACTCTTTCCGTCAAATATCGTAATTAATATTATTATTTATTTTAACATAAATATTTATCAAAATATTTACTTATATTTTTACGTAAATTAACGTTTTACTTGCAAAAATAACTATTTATACGTTTATACTTACAAATATAAAAACTTAAAATACAATATTACAATTAATAATAACATTTAAATAAATCGTATAATATTATTAATTATTAAATTTATATAAAAATTACAAAAATAATTATATATACAATTAAAGCCATTCCGTGGGCAATGACGCCTCGTTAGTGGCTGGTCCGTGCGTAGCAGCGGATCCACAATTTAAGCATCTATCTGTAAGGTATTGGCTTTACATACGTCACCTATTTATCAAGTTAAATACTCCATTAATTAGATCTTATCAGTCCTTACGCGGGATTCGGCACGGACAGGTTATTCGCCAAGGGCTGCAAAGCCTCTCCACTACGTAATGCGGCGCAGTCATTTTTCATTACAGCGTTTATTCTAGTGTCCATGGTTGCTATCCCTCTTTAATCCTGTCTGCCTGTCCAACTCCAACTCCACCTTCAACTCCTTTAATTCCAAGTAACAAAACTCTACGCCCGCATTGTAGCGCCCAACCGCACAGAATATTCACGCCATTTTTTAGTACTTTGTTTGCTTCTTGTCAACCGCGTGATTTCAAACACCCGCATAAAGAGTGCAAATAATTGATACAATTGTCCTGGCAATCTTACGCGTACCTGCAGCATTTACCAAATAGAGCTTAGTCCCCGACCGCGTTCGTCCCGCTTCGACCTTAACCGTTCGTACGACTTCGTCACTCCTATATTCCACCGTTCATATCTATAGCCGGTAGTGTTCCAAGCTAGCCGGATCGTATACGAGAAAGAGAGGACCTTGTCAGTTTTGTTGGTAGGGCCAGCAATCACGGACCGCTTCATGGGTGCGAAGTAGCATGCTTTTTGGTACCCGACAGGACTTCCCCGCAAGATCGATACATAGATGATCTTCGGCTCGTCGTCTTCCTGGAATTTGTTATACTTCGGCATATCTGGCGGGTGTTACGACTCACCAGTCAAGCTGGCATAAGGACAATAGCCTTAGTTGTGCTACGCGCACTCGGCCTGACTTGGAGTCGGCCTATATATCGTCGTCCGTCCGCGTTGATGCGCTACTCCATCAATGCCTAGCTCTATATCAGCAGAGAAACGAATCGGCCTCCTAGACGACGATGAGGCTCATGCCTCGTCGTCTGCCTCTTCCTCTCTTCTCGGAAACGATGCGCGGAAAGATTTAGAGGCCTCATCAGAGGAGCTAGTTGGGTCTGATCAGAGATGGGATAAACGACTCTTCTCGTGGTGTCTGGCTCGGCCGAGAGGTCTTCGACGAAAGTTACGGAGAGGCCCTGCGGGTTTAGCTCTCGCATTTTTCAAATACATCATTATAATTATATGTATACTTTTAATAGGAACGCCTATCTTCGCTCCGTCCTACACGCGACTCCCTCAGCACTACCGAGACCTGGAATCTCGATGCCGAGGACCCATTCGAGAAGCGGGGTGTGCTAATATCAATAATGAGAAGATATTTATCGCCGTCTCTTTATATGATAAGGAGGGTCATCTGGTCAATGGTTTCTGGGGAGAGAGTCTGTTGGAGTTAATACATCTACTCGGTGACAATAATGTCTTTCTGAGCATTTACGAGAATGATAGCGGTCCGGAAGGCGCGGCGGCACTTGAAAGCCTAAGACGGCAGCTAAGGTGCAAGAATTACATTGTCAACGATCCCCACGTGCCTCTGTCGGATTTCCCGACCGTCACACTACCTGATGAAACCAAGCGAGTGAAGCGTCTAGCTTATTTGTCCGAAATGCGAAATCGGGCCTTACGACCACTCGACCGATTCGATCCAAGTGTTGGAACAGTTCGATATGACAAGATTCTTTTCCTGAACGATGTTGTATTCCACGCGATGGAAGCGGCGCATTTGCTTTTCAGTACTAATGTCGAGTCTGATGGACGATCACATTATTTATCAGCATGTGCCGTTGACTTCTGGACTCCATTAAAATTTTATGACCTGTATGTCACTCGTGACTACGAAGGTTATTCTGCCGGATTACCCTTCTTCCCAGTATTCCTCGATGCTGGTGAAGGTGTATCAAGGACTGCCATCCTGAATCAAGAGGATGCTGTTCCTGTCCAGGCTTGTTGGAGCGGAATGGTAGCGATGCAGGCGAAATATGTACAGAATATGAACGAGACGTTACCGAATTCTCACTTTCAGGATATTAGCAGCTATGTTATCGATCCCGCGAAGCCACATAACGTTACAGCACCAGTCCGGTTCCGTTACGAGCCTGAGCTCTTCTTCGACGCCTGTGAATGCTGCTTATTCCATGCCGACGTGGCTCAGGTAGCAAGGAAAGCCGGGGAGAAAGAGTTGGGGATATATATGAATCCTTACGTTCGAGTTGCATATACGGAAAACACTCTCTCCTGGCTGCCTTTGGTTCGAAGATTCGAACGGTTATTTAGCATTCCACACGCCTTATCATCGCACATTTTGTCCTTACCAACGCGTAACCCGCACCGTACAGTCCAAGAAGGTGATATATTCACTGAAGAGATCTGGGTTGGGGAGGGCAACACCGGTCATTGGCAATTAGTACAGCGGGAGGGCCGCAATGGGATGTTTTGTGGGGTGAGAGAAATGCAAGCCATAAAGCTTGGTAAGTTTCTACGGGAACTCTGCTATTTCCTATACTAACATTAAGCTTAGACGAGCGTGATGAAGACAAGAACTGGGAGAATATCAAGATCCCTGCTGGCCAGGTAATGCACTTCCCCACATAGCACGGAGAGGTGCAACGGTCAGGTGAGAAGTGGGACCCAATGGTGAGTTGGAGAATAAGAGAAGAGGCCGAGAAAGCTCGCAAGAAGCAGCAACTCAATTCCTCTTAAATCTCCCAGCACACTGGCAAAACATTGGAAGTTGCCCTTGGTGAGAGCAAGGCACTTTCTTTGGAGTCCTACCAGCTACTGTTGCACCGCAGAGTGTATCAAAATAAATCGGATCAGGCACACCCCTAAGGTTACAGCTATTGGTTACAAGGCTTGCAGTTGCGATACTGAATTATATCGGCTCCTGGGTTACATATATAAGACATAATTGCCGAGAAAGATGCAAACTAGTTGATAGATAGCTTGGATTGTTCGGCATGGACATTGATACCAGCTCCACTTAACTCCCTTTTAAGGATGATGTATTAAAAATCCTGGTGGAGATAATATTATCTGGTCGTTGGAGGAAAGCATCAACAAAGGGTGCGGAATTAGATTGTCTCTCTAATCGAGATAGCCAGAGAGACGCTGTATACTGTATTCAGGGTAAACCATCGGTTTTAATGACGCGTAGAATACAGAGATAGGAAGTAACTAATTATTACTATTGTTCATATGAGATGTTAGCTCTCATTCTTGTAGGAGTATTGACTTGGGTGATAACAAAGCTTCTAAATATTTATACACGAGCTAATTAGTGTTCGGATCATGATTAAAGGGGCCTACCAAGTAAAGTCAACGCGCATAGAATAATACTAAAAGAACTGGCCAAATTTCAAGGATGAAAGTTTGAATGGTAAATATTTAAATATCACGAGAATAGATTACACCGAGATACCCAAGGCAGGTACTCCGAGTTAACAGAGTCTAGCAATGTGTGTGATTACTAAGGCTCATCTTACCCCTTTTCTCACGGCTGCTCTGTTATTTGGTGGGGAGATTCCCCCCTTTTTGGTACTTGGGGAGATGTCGAGAGGTGATATGGTGGTAGTTCTATAACAAAGACTGAAGAGAAAAATAGGGGAACTAGATCTAAAGTTTAATCTTAAGAGATACTAATGGGTTTGTCGTAGGGTTGGAGCTTATGACTTAGTTTACAGTTTTAAGTTCCTTCATATAGTTAAGACAGAGAATAAAATGACCACAGTATTTCTAGGTTAGATACCTCACTCTTATTTTTCACGTCTCTTTACGTTACTACTGTTGCCTTGCTTGCTTAAATGTGTCGAGGGTGATGAACGTTTGCTGTAAAGTATTTAGATACTATTCTTCAACCAATAGCTCCATGACTATAATAAGAATATAAAGACGCATGACGATGCAAAATACAAGGGATACGCAACACATATAAAACGTGAAAAGGTCTTGTATAGACTAGATTGAATTGATTAAGTTTTAGGAACCTGATGCGATCCCACTAGGACTACGTAACAATATACTTGCATTGCGTCCATCCCAATTCTGTGCATCACATACCGAAACACCTGTCCTAGAGCCAAGACGCTCGATAGCCCGTCAACGTCGAAAGTCCACTGTTCAGTTCATTGTATGAGCTTGCAAATCCACCGCATATTAGGCCGACATTTAGTTCCCACACTGATCCTCGGCTGTGGAAATTGGGAAGACCGGTATTGCGAATTCGCTTGGCCGTGGCTACATCGGAGGTGGCTTAAAAAGGTAGGCCATTAATGGAATAGGAAGAGAAAACATCTGGGATGGAGTTATAGACTGCGTTGCCGAAAATTCCAACAATCCGGAGGAATTGAAGCAACACAATTGTTGGACCCGGGTTGACGCTGTAAGAGGTAGGGACATATATCGGCTTAGTCTCCGATAGAAGGAACCCAGTACATCAAACTGGAAGCTAGTAGATGGTAGAACCTGGAGTGATCGTCTCATACTATCGAGTCCATGGTCTAAGCCATATAGACTGAAACTGATAGTGATGAACGACAATGAATCTATTTAGCAGCTGTCTTCGGCTTTGCTACGGTCTGCGAAACAAGTTAATAAGATATCCGCAAGTGAACTATTGGCTCAGGGAATAGTCACCTTCTTGACCTTCTCTTCTACTTTCTCTACTTTTTCTTCTGCCTTCTTAACAGCGGCTTTAACCTATGGTCAATGTCAGAAAACAGGTCATTAACGAGCGTTTTATAGCGACGTGTAGTTTGTCCAAAACTAATACGAGAGAATGTAAGGCCTAGGATCCATGAAGGGACAGCCGAGAGTAGTAAGACTGGATGGAGATCCAGCCCATCAGAAGGATCTCAATGATGGGTGATATGAAGCTGTACATAACATAGGAATTCATGATGAAGGGTAGAAAACTTACCTTAGTCGCGACACCGTCCTTCTTAGGTGCCGTAGACTTCTTCTTGGTCACACCAGTCGGCTTCGCAGCCTTCACCTTAGGTCCAGGCTTGGTGCTGGCAGTGGGCGACTTCTTCACCCTAGACTTAGTGGTACGCTTAATAGCGGGCGCGGTGTCAACAGTCTGGAAGACGCGCGGCTTGGAGTTGCCGGTGGCAGATCGCGTTCCTTCACGGGGCATCTTGGCTATTTGCTTAAAAGAAAAGTTTAATAAATTCTACATCAAATGTTAGCAAATAACGTAGCGTGACGGATGAAGCTGCGAGATGCACGAAGCGACACAATGTGCGAATGCGAAACGCAATGCGACCGGGAACAGAGATGGGCGCGGAGAGGAAAGATTTGGGTTGGGCAGCTTACAAGAACTTTTAAGCGGTGAGTGGACGCGAGTGCGAAAATTTGTGGAATAAAATGACTGATTGAAATTGGTAAATCGTTTATGTGGATTTGAATAGGTACAGATTAAAGCGAAGAGTAGAAGAATAAAAGTTGTAAAAGGGGAGAAAAAACAGAATCGATGGGGAGGGTGAGGGAAGATTAAGAGCGAAGAGGGCCAGAAGGGCAAAAGGGCAGCAAGGTGATTAGGGCAGGTACCTACATGAGGTGTGTTGTTGTTCTTGCCGCGCCCAGGCACTGATTCGATAGATTCAATAGCTCCTCCTTCGCAACACCACCCAACCTAGCCGAAATAATACCTCGAATAATACCTCGAATAATACCTTGGAACAAGTTGGAACAAGGTAATAATAGTAATTAAAACCAGAGTGACAGCATGTCGCATAAACAGACCCGGCTAATCAGGTCTAGAATTGGTCCGATATGATCGAAGGGGAGGGGGGGGGGGGGTAAGGAAAAAAAAAAAGAGACCAAAAAAAGATGGGCAGATACCTAGGATCGAAAGGGTTGGGGCGCATGAGTTTGATAACACAATGTCCGTGATTGCTTGAAAAATAAAACCTTGGAAGGTATTTTACGACTTTGCTGCCCTCATCTTTCCGCAGTTAGGTATGCTCTTTCCGACTTGAACTACTACTTACCTAAGAGGTACCTTCCCTACGTTAATTAATTTTTTTATGTTTTCTTCTTTCTCTTAATTAGAAATCCATTTCCCGTTTTCCCCTCCTCTTCTTCAACCTTTTTCATCATTTTATCATTGGCGCATCTGATTGATTTTTATCCCACGTTTCGCACATCTCCCATCATGGACGACACCTGATTTTACTGAATTGAGCTAAGGGCATATATATACCATATATATGTGCCTTACATACGCCTATTCCACTTCTACCTGGGTCCTCCAACTCAGCCATGACCACGTTCGATCATTTCACTGGTGCGTGACCGCTGCCGCGCGCCTGAAATTCTACCTGGTACGATGTAAAGCCATGCGACAAATAAAACGAGGAGCGAATGAACTGATTTGACCTTCTCCCCGATTGAATTTGCCTGGTTATCAATCTACCGTTTAATCCTTTGTCGTCATCTTGGGATCAACACCCAGCACCTGCCGGGGATAAACAAAACGGCTAGGAAGATCGTACTACTGCTCGGATCTCCTCACCTGCCATCCCTCCATCATCCCTCCCCTGCTCTTTTCGCGCGTTCCAGCACGGCCTATTTCAACTGATAGGCCATCCCCAGCAGACCATTCCAAGACGATCAATTAGGTACTGAACCAATATTTATCACTTCGGACTGTTTTCATTATTCTTTACTGCATCCCCTACCTCTGGTCGGCAGTATAAAGACCCCTCGTCGCAATTGGTGCAGTCACATCATGCCTTAGTTGTTTTAAGACATCTCTACCCAGGTACTTGGCATGATTTTACACATGAGCTTTCTATTACCATGTTTGCGAAATGAGCAAGACTGAGAAAGGGAGATCTTGGGACAAAATTACATTACCTGTCGGCATTGTAGGTCTTTATCATCTCTAAAGGTGATTGTTAACGATATGTGGTTGGTTTCATTGCTGGGTGCCATGTGACTAACCCCGGGGCTTCCCATCCTCGAATATGCTCGGTTCAGGGTCATCTACAGCATTCAGGTTACGTGCGCACTCATAAAAATCCCGTTATTCTTTGTCTCCAGTCTCGATTTCAATGTTTTGCAGGAGCCTCTACACACGTCAGGGGCTAGGGCTTTATACCCAAACTATATGTCATTTTAATGAATCTTCTAGTTTGAGGTTGTAGATAAAATCCTTTGATATTGATTAAGGCATTTCCTACTTTCGATCACTCAGCAATCTCTAATATCTCCGGATGGGCAGTAGGTGGGCAGGAAGTAGCTGCTCGTCATTTATTGAATTATCTTAGATGTCTGTCGGCAGTAGCCCACATTCCCGCCACCTATCAGTCAACCCCTATTCACCTCTAGTGAATTCTTCGATATTAGCATCTGGACACTCCGCTTTGAACAAGGCTATCGTCTCATCCCATAATTTCGTTTGGACCTCCTTGCCCTTGGCTGACAACGCGATACCAGGAACACTAGGGATTTATTAGTTAAAGAAATACAACTAATACCGCAAAATGGGTTAACTCACGGTCTAATCCTTTGTTCACTTAAATATTCACCGTGGCTATCCGGGTGTCGCACAACAGCATCCGTTAAGTGGTAACCACCCTCGGCGCTAGTCCAGGCCAGAAAACTCGAAACCCATTCTGCGGTCGCATCTACGCGGTGGAACGCACTTTTGCAATACCCAGGGTTGAGAGTATTGAGGATGATATTGGTAGGGTCGAGACGGGCGGCGAGGGCACGTGTCCACAGGATATCTAACAACTTTGAAAGGCTATAGCGACTGTCACCTGGGGTAAACGAAGCCGGATCGTCGAGCCAGGGAATGATGCCCTTTCCACCTTTGGGCTCCAGGATGTCCTGCTCAGGGGCCGCGAAGGCGACGCTAGACGCTGTGATAGTCATTCGACTAGGTTTTCCAGTCTGGCGCGCTGTTCGTCGCAGTGGTTCCACGAGTAGTAGCGATAGTAGTGCCGTGCCGAGGTGGTTGATTTGAATGTGTGCCTCGTGGCCTGTCGGCGACCGAGTAAACTCAAGCCGCTTCAACCCCGCATTCAGCAGCACGATGTCGAGACGATCAAGTTCGGTGCTCACGCGCCTAGCGAACGCCACCATACTTACCCACAACTCCTGATCTAGTTGCCATACCAGAATCTCGCATTCAGGTGTCTCCCGAGAAATTTCGGCCTTTGCTGCCTCTCCTTTGGATAGATCGCGCACAGCTAAAATCAACCTTGATAGCCCGTGAGATGCTAGCTCCTTAGCGGCTTCGAAGCCTAGGCCAACATTCGCGCCCGTCACGATGGCCGTTAGTCCATCAAGCCGAATATCATCGGGGAGTGGCTGAGCCTTGAAAGTCAGCTGGTACCAGACCATGGCAAGAAAGTTCCAGAGCTTTGACATGATGCCTAAATTCCTGTCAGGCATAACTGCAAGGTAATTCCGGACCCTATGAATAAGTGCCTTAACGCCTTTATGGCTATTCTTGCAGTAAAGTCTTGTTTTGAGGCTCGGGCTGTAAAGTTCAATGATATAAACAGTATAGTGAGATGCCTCGCATCGCATCTAATTAGTTCACTTAGAATGCATCGAGAAAATGTATTATACGCACTTTGCAGGTACAGAAACGATTGCGTGCTAACGTAAGTCTTAGATCAAAGAGAGAAGTAATATATTACGGTCGGAAGCCTATGGGAACGAGAAACTAACCCGACCTATCTGGTCTATTTATATACATTGCCGTTACAGTTCATCTGCCATCCATAACTTCGTGTCAGCATCACATAGATTCACTATTCTGTGTTTCAGAAGTGCCAATGGATTGTCCTTGCACGATAAAAGGAGATTACTGGAGATAAAATAGTCCAAGTGGAATTAATATCATATTAGCCAATGAGAATCGTTCATATAATGTCTAGTCTCCTATGGGCGGGGAAATTATTCGTCCATGTCCGGATCATGTGAGCCTAAAAGGGGAATGCCGGCTACTCGCATCCCGATAACCCTTGGCAATCGCCGCTAACTCCGGCGACCGTAGTTTATTTATACGCAAGCGGTTACTAGATTATCATTAGAAAAGATAGTTATAGTACTCGAACTATGAGCCGAGACATTAAGGAGATAGGTATGATAGCAAGCTCTAGGTAAACATACAACTTCACCGGATGCGAGAAAATATGACAGATTTTTAAGGGAATGTTTTTTATTTTCCCCCCTTTTTTTGATATTTTCTCAGTGACTATCTACCTAAGGTAGCTATTAAATTATTTCTGCATACAAAACAAACAAGATAAACAAGATAACATGCGCATAAGAAACAACAAATCAATATCAATAAGAGCGGACTTCCTAAAGTAGCGACGGCATCATCAGCCTATTGTCGCTAGTAGATTCTTGCCCGCTTACTGATTACGGGTTCTTGACGGTGGCGGCACGTTTAAAAAACACGGCAGGGATGAGGGACCATCGCCGGTTCGGTGATCGGTATCCTCTTGCGGGCGAGGAAGAGGCCTGAATTGCCCTGGAAGTTCCCTGTATGAGGGCTGCTTCGGATGCTTAACCGGATTTATAGGCTTTGGGGGAATGAGGTGACGGGGCCGTGAAAAGATGGTGTTGCGGGAAGCCGCAGCCCAGGCTGGAATTTCATCAGGCACTTCCGTCGGTATATGTAGAGGTTCTTCGACAGGAGGTAGTGGATATGGTCGTGGTGGTTGTGGTCGTGGTGGTTGTGGTTGTGGTTGGGGTGGTTGTGGTGGTTGTGGTCGTGGTTGTCGAAAGACGTCAGGGAACGTGTACTTCTGCGGGATTGTATCTCTTTCAAAGTTGCGAGAGTGGTTGTCGTGACGTCGTTCCCCACCCCAACCACGTCTTACCCACTCATCAGTATTAGGATTTCTTATGAAATCGGTGGGATCTTTCTCTTCAGGTGAAGGCGGGTTGGTATGATCAAACGTATACCTACGTGTGAATGGACCATTATATGGCAAATTGCGAGGGGCATTATTTTGCGAATTGTCAGGGGCGTTATTTTGCGAATTGTCAGGCGAACGACCTCCGTAAATAAAGGTCACGTTGTTTATGTTGTGGATGTTAACCGAGAACTGTCTGGCTGATACAGATCCATCTGTGAATTCTTCGTACGATAACGTGGAGGGATCCATATCGACTTCTTCCCGAGGAGTCATCAAAGGTGGGGTCGTAGCACACGACGGTCTATCCCGATCAGTCATCAGACGGGGGGTCGTTGGACACTCATGTATAATGTTGTTGTAATCCATTTTCGTGGCGCTGATAAGCTTCCGGAGAATCGAATTGAGTTAATTATGTATAACTACCTACTAGGTACTGATAAAACTGTAGGAAGTTATCTGTTGTTACTTGATCTTTGAGTGTAAACAGGATGATGAGGAAAAAAGATTTGAATTGCTTGGGGGACGGAAGGGAAATTTTATAGGCCATGGTCCGGTGCCTACAATAAGAAACTGTTCATTTCAGCATTTCTGTTCCAAAACAACCGACTTCAAGCGGATTACGAAATACGTTACTGCTGTTAGTTCGTTGTCACCAGAAAACAGCACAATAGTATAGAAACGTACTTTACCTAGGCATCTAAGACTAGGGGATTATTGCTCTATTGTTTCTCTATAATCTTAATCTTTGTTATTTTAGATCAGGATGATATGATAGGAAATCGATATAAGCTAATAAAACAAGCTGGAAATGAACAAAGCGTTCAAATAGCTTGCCTACTAGGCAAGCTAGACCGTATGAATGAATGTGTTACTACTTGTCCTATATTATAGTATTCCAGTGGCTTCTAGTTAGCCCAGATCTCTACTGTTTAGTCCAAATGTACAAGTTGAAGTCAATATTCAGTTTTCTCCCTTGTAGTCCTATACAAATGACTTTTACTGCCGGCGTATCATTCTTTAGGCCATTCAATAACCGTGGTAGCCATTAAAGACTGTTCTAGCCCTTTCACGTAACCCCGACAACTGATATCTTCAAGTTTATTATGGAATAAATTCGCACGTTCATTACTCTATATCTCAGTATCCTTTCAACTCTAGGCATTCTACTCTACCCCTTTCAAGTTTCCATACCCGGGACCATAGTTCACCGACTTCTGAAGAATGTGCTCGGGTAGAAGTTCTACCCCATCCCCGAATACATTGTTTATCTTCCGTTGCTCCAAGCTTTGTCAAAATTGTCCAAAGCTTTCTTAGCCTTGTCTTCATAATACTCCTGCCTGTTCTCTCCCCCCTTCTTAAATTGAACTACACCAGACACTTGCTCGTGAATATTTGGCTCCGCGTTGAGATATGTCGCCACCATATAAGAAACTTGGCTGTCTTTCTGGCTAGAGACAAGTTAGATATGGACATCTCTAAGACTTCTTGACAATACAGCACGTACATGGTGGTTGCTCCCGATGGCTGGTCGCTTGGGCGATTTGAAGACGAAGACATAATTCAATGACTTTGGCTTGGGAGGTCTAGCGTGTGTATTTCAATAATTTTAAATTCAAGATTCTTGACTCAGTTCCGCATTCGACTTTATGCTGAGGTTTGCAAGGACTGTGAAGAAAAAGTGAAATGAACTCTTCTGGAACTTGACATGTATTGTATATTTATATTGTGCTATCAGCTGCTGTTTAGGCAAACTACTTCATACTCAATCGTTTAGTTTACCGCAAATACTCCCTAGGCTCTGGGTAATTGAGGTTCTGTATGTACGTTGCGACATCGCCTTAACCTGAGCGGCTGGTTGGCATATTCATCATGTGTATAAACTATAATGCCATATCCTGAGATGATACTTCACATGCTCAGGTTATGACATCCTTACGAACATCGCAACGGCCGTCTTAGTTTGTGACATAACCTGGCCAGGGTGGGTGCTGTATTACCTTATCTGCTGGGTACCGTATGAGACAAACGGAAATGCTACGTTTGATATACTTAGGGCTATTATACGTAGCGTGGGTATTATTGGCTACCTCCTATTAACGCCCTCGGCTTCGTGTACTCTCATTCGTTCCTTGATGAAATGACGACGAGTTATGGGCCAGGCTTCGTTTTGTACTCTTGCGTATGTCTTATAAGTAGGGGTACATGGATACCTTAGGTACCTACCTACCTACGTGGCTGTGGCGTCGTAGGGTACCTATTGCCTACGTAGGAATCGCCGAATCCGATGCTCAGGCTCTGGCAATCGGATTTCGGTGAGCAGTTTCTCTTATGCAGGTTCTGTCATGTGCCCACATTGCATATTATACGTCAAAACTGCCCTTCCGAAACTCTCTGGGTGACATATCCTGGGAAGCCTTGAAAGCTCTCCAATTTCATTACTTCTTCATCTATTTATACCCAACTCTCCTCAACAAAATCGTGGCTTATTCGCGAATTCTGTCTTGATTTCTATGCATTCAAACAATCATTCTTCCAATGTCTTCAATAATTCGAACAGAGAAGATTCCGGATACTACTTGGGACCTTCATAAGGATGATGTTCTGAAACTGTATTTGGACGATCGTCGCTTTTTGAAGGACATCGTTGATATAATGAGGACCGAACATGGATTCGAAGCGACGTAAGCAGACCCATCCTCTTTTATATCCTCATCTGCTAATCTATTAATTTAAAGGGTTTCGCAGTACGAGGCACAATTTAGAGCCTGGAAGGTTCGAAGAAATTTGAAGGCCTCAGAATGGCGCCGCATTTTCTGCACGTTAGACAGTTTGCATCCGGGTACCATAAGCCGAGTCATTCTATCAGGCAGGGTAGTTGATGAAAAAACAATCCGTCGTGCCAGGCGGAATTGTAAAAGCAAACCTATGAGAATCGAAGACAATTCTCAAATGGATGATTCCTTCAATAATGAGACCTATGACTTCTCTATTGAAATCCGAAACCAAGACGGCACTTGGTCTCAATTCCTGGGAGGTGATGGAGGTGATGGTGTCGATCCAATACTGTCCTCGCCTCATTCAAGCTTCGATAACATTCACACCCCTCAGGATCCGATGCTGATAGACGAACCTTGCGATATCGTGGAGAACCCGATGGTCAGATCACATGACAGCCTAACTGACAACATGCATTTCTGTGCGCCTACCGGGGCTCCCATAATGCCAGCCAACATTGACGACTGCGGACAGGGTGGTTTCGTTGAGTTCTTAATGAATAATCCTAGCCCGATAAATTGGCCCTCGGTCACATTAACCCCAGGAAACTTCACGGCACAACCCTCTTTCATGCGGGAGAGCTCTAATATCAGCTTCTCACAGCCATTGCAATTCGAACGCTCTTTGAGGGACCCTTACGAATGGCTCAAAATTCTGTCTCTCGGTAAAATTAGCAAGCAGCTCGCATCATGGAAAAGCCACTTCCCTACGATCCAGAACGAAGTCGTAAGGCCATTGGGGGATGTGCAAGCGTATATGGACGTTTCCGGGTCAAGACGCCAGGAATTCTCCCATTCTAGTTACTATCTTCAAAAACTCAAAGCATTGGTACCAGAGAGTTTGCTTCCAAAACAACGGGAAAATGAGATGTTCGTGACAAGCGCTATTAGTGAAACTCTTAACGATAAAAGTTTATTTCAAGGACTTGTCTTTGCGATTGCGAATAAGCTATTGGGTATAAGGAATATTCCTATGGGATCGATACTGAAGCTATTCGCACATTCCGAGAAAACCACTACAATGCTAACCCCATTTCCGGAGGCTAGATACGACCACGTCACAAGAGCGCTTGCGGAATCCCTTTTCGAAGCCGCAATAGAGGAGAGCGAAAATGATGTTCTCCGTATGGTCCTACGCACACGCTTAGTTAGCGCGAATCAGGTTATATCTACCAAGCACGGATCTCATTATATAGCAATTGAGCGTGTGGCGGAACTGCGCAATTTGGCCGGTATGGAAATCCTGCTGGAGACGGAAGAAGACCTTACTCAAGCAAACCAGAATAATCTAATACAAATCTACACTAGAGGTCTGCGAACTTTTGACGCAGAATGGGTACAATTTTGCCTATTGATACGAAACCGTTGGCCTAATGCAATTATTGAATCATCCTGGGACGACAGATATTTTAATACTTGGACCGTAGATGCAATTCGGTTGTCGCTCACTTCATTCACACCTCCTGAGCACTCAATAATGATGGGACATGGGATTTTGCGGGGTATAGCAGAGACAATGGAAGACAGCGAGGCAGTAGATGCTGTACGCCTTATCCATGACAACTGCGAGAAAACGGGGTGTAGCTGTTTTTACGGCGACCATGCAAATCTAGGAGGTGCTTTGTTCAAAGGCGCTTATAATGGTCACTATGAGCTTACTGAATTCCTACTCCCGCTCTGCCGTCCTAAATACCTACTCGCAGCCTTTAGCGTCTCGATTAGATCACACCGGAGTGATCTAGTAGCCCTCTTCATGGAGCATATAGAAGATTTGGGACGTCCACTTAAATCTAATCTCTGGGAATATGATTCTTACGAAAGCGACGACGAGTCTGACCACGAAAGCGATGACGACGATTCTCTTCTGTCTCCTTTAGCTGAGGCTCTCTTATCAAACGATACAGCACTAGTGAATCGCCTTGAAACAGTAGGTGCACTATCCGTGGCCAGTCTTGAGGACGTCATGGCCGCAGCTGTGGAAATTCGAAACATTGACTATATAAAAAGACTTCTAGACCAGTTCGACTCTATAAACCCGAATACTTTGACAATCGCACTTGTCATAGCAATAGAAAACGGGTTTGATGATATCGCCCTCATCTTCCTAGACGCGGGAGCTAGTGTCAACAATAAAATCCAGATAGAAATCAATGGGAAAAGGTACTATGGCCTGCCATTGAATGCAGCTATCAAGCGAAGGAATTTTCAACTCGCACATACTATATTAAATGCAGACATTGGAACATCGGGAATCGATATTACCACCTTTCGGGTAATTTACGAATCTGGTGCCATATCTATATTTAATGAGGTCATGAAATCTATGGCGGATATGCTTTCTGAAGTGCCTTTTGCGAGCAACGATGAACCACTGCCGAGTCTTATTTCCGACGTGTATGAGGCCGGACAGTATGATATGTTAAAGACTCTTTTATCTTCACTGAAACGTAACTGTTCAGGCGTGGATGCATGCTTCGATTACGCGATCAAAACCGGCAATATTCGATTAGTACAATTTATGCTATCTTATGGAACAGTTGAGATACCCATACCCTACCTGGCGTTTGCGACCTATATGGGCCAAACTGCTATACTCCGATTGCTCTTACGTCAAGTGCAAAACAATGTTACACCTTGTTCAATACCTCTCCCACTGAGTAGGGCAATTTTCAATAATGGCCGCGACGCTCGTTTCAACTTTGAATGCCTGGATATTCTCTTTGCATCGAAAATATTTGATTTGGAAGCTGTTAGCATAACAAAGGAAACACCGCTAATTACGGCTATTCAAATTATAAATCAGAACCCTGATTTCGCGTTTGTCATCATAAATAAGCTTCTAGAGGCCGGCTGTAATCCAAACGCTTTAAACACTGCAGTAACCACGATTGGGGGAACACGGATTTCTGAAACCGCATTATTACAAGCTATCGGCAAAAGAAGCGAAGAGCTTGTGCGAATATTGATAGACCGAGGTGCAGATGTTCATGCCGTCACAGGTATTACAGTACAGCAAACGCCGTTGCAAAAAGCTGCGGAGGTCGGTGACTTAGCTATCGTGAAGCTGCTTCTTGAGCATGAGGTGGACGTGAATGCTCCCCCGTTAACACGTAGCGGCGGCACAGCTCTTCAATTTGCTGCAATCAGTGGAAATTGCAATGTAGCGGCTGAACTATTAAGTCACGGTGCGCTTCTGCATACACCACCATCATCAAAGGTAAATGGACGATGGCCTATTGAAGGGGCTGCGGAATATGGGCGCTTGCACATGATTGAATATCTCTGGATAGTTAAGGAGAACACGTTCCTACCCGAGGGCTGCGAGACTGGCTTCGAGGAGAAGTACTGCCGTAGAGCGATGAAGCTCGCCGAGAGAAATGAACATATCGCATGCCGGAATCTGATCGCCGAAAAGGCCGGGTTGAGTATCAATGATATTTAGTTCACTCTGTTTTCTATTCCTACTATGGCTTGGGTCTATTAGAAGAGGGATTTTATAAATATTCTTATTATGTCGGGGTTGTTTTGATGATACTCTCTCTAATGCAAACTAATTTCAATATCAACCATGCCTATCGAGTGTCGAATTAGGTGCTTTCATAGGTACCTAGGTACCTATCAGCCTTGAAGTTTCTTTGGGCGTAACATTGAAACCGCCGACTGCTTCTCTAAGATAGTAGACACATCTTGCTCTACATAACCGTTTGCTTCGTAGAGTGGCTTTCCGGCAGGACTGGCATCTAAGTAGCACTCGACTCCTAACTGATCAGCTAAATCAGTTCCCCACTTGACTAGCGCGGTGCCATAACCCCTTTTCTGAAATGCCTCCATCGTAGCAAGCACTTCCAAGACTACAATTTATATCATATTTAGCTCAATCGCCTCAATTTGGATCATTTAGGGTCTAAGTGGGATTCGGAAGACATTTAAAAGCATATAAGGTACTTACAGACATGACCACGGTCGCCCAGAACGTGAGCATGCGCCTTCTCCATGCGGCTAAAGAAATCATCCACGGCGGCATCGCTGAAATCCGGTAAGTCGTCAACAGCGGGCCACCTCGCACGCCATGACTGCTTCGCTGCGTCGCAACCCTCTGGTACGATGCGATATATAGCTATCGCAGCAGGGATACCTTTAAAAGGAACGCTTTAGTAGAGAACGCTTCAGCAAAGAACGGCGCCGAGTACGTACCGGTATCCGGACTGCGCACGATCAGACACTCGGTCTTCAGCTCATCGGGTCCCGGGGCGGGCCCAAGGAACTGCTTGAAAGCGCGCTGGAGCCAGAGCCTGCCATCGGGCGTCTGCGGGAAGATGCGCTGCATGTGTTCGGAGCCGAACGCGTCCCACCAGATGGTAATCAGCCCCGGAATGTCGGATACCGAGGGCCGCTCCACAACGGCGGTAGTGGGGCGATCTGTCGAAGCCATGTTTTCTCTCCGAAAATTGAGAATTATATATATATTAAGTTTGAACTATGAGGGGGATAGTCTGACGTTGTTGGAAATCATATAGTAAGCTGAAGAGAATATAAGGTTGGAGAGAAATAATATCGGTAAGCTTACCTGTCGGGAAGAAGGTACTTTCCCTTATGTACCTCCCGAACAACCAAGAGCGGGGACATTGGCCTGGACATCAGGTTAGACTTACGGCGGGGAATTGCATAAGCATGCTTACGTAAATGCATATACCCATTTTATCGGCATTCGATACCACTATCCAAGCTAAATCTCCCATAACCCGTCTGTTAGCCATAAACATTGTCTAATCCTGTAATCATCTTGAACATCGCGCCTTAATAGGTAAGGAGACATATATATTGGTAGGTTATAGATTTGCATTTTATACAGTGCTGAAACTATTGATCAAGATATTGTCCTTCGACAGGAATAAATTCCGATATCAGCCGAGCCTGATTCTTGTTTCTTTACTATGGCAATCTCTTGATTCCGTACAATACCTACGGAGTAAGTACTATTATTCAAGGGGATGAACTAACACTATCCGCTGGTCTTTAAAGGAGTAGTCGCCTACGTAGGGAACGGTTCGGCCTCTAGTACTACAACGTTTAATTAACCCTTCACGAGCTAGAGCCGCAGCAGTGTAGGATCTTACAGGACCGCTCCCGATGACTAAGATTGTCAAGTTTTTGTTTTCAGTAGGTGTATACCTTAAAAAAGGTGCGTCATAGAACTACTATATATACTTGACTACGAACATTAGGTCCGGGACAAAAGTCTTGCACATCCGAGCTTGACAAAGCCACGTGCGAATAGAAAAGAGATTGCACGGTCATATTAAGCTACAATGGCTGATATCGCTGTAAATATAGCAGATGCACAGGTGGTAAGCGACCTAGATTTAGTTGACGGGCCGCTATCCAACCTTCAGTCTAGCGTATGGCTCATACAGTATCAGTAAGTCAAAAGATGTATAAAACACGGTGCTAAAAATCTGGACATATACAAGACTTTTGGCCTGGCCCTTTACGTGACCAAACACATGCGGGGAACCAATCAGCGCCAACACAAGTTGCCCAATTAGGTATATGCCTAACTTACGTAAGGTAGCGCTTGGAATTTTGCTTTTGTTGTATGAAAACGGATGCCATACTATGGGCAATGAAACCAACTGTTAGTCACAAGCAAGCATTATGTTTAGATAGGGACAATAAGATATACAAGGCTTAAAGCTGTAGTGTGTCTACATACAAACGGCGTAATAAGTACCTAATTTAAACCACGAAGCAGAATCACATGCTCGTTTTGGGACTTTTAAGTCTTGGCTGATCTCAGACCCAATATGTACATAACAGGCTCTAGGCCATTCTCTTCTCTTAAGCTGCTCTATTATGGTTAATTATTTTCACAAGTATATCTGTTCTGGTAGCATTAGAAGAGTGATAGTGCAGTGCCAGTGCTGGCGCCCCTTTCCGTTATCTTTCTTTTGTGGCGTTTAACACCTAAAATTCTGTCGCATATTATACGCCATGGAGAAAAAGTCTACCTCCTTTCTTTATTATTTGTCATGAACCATTTCCGGATGCAGTTTACGGAGATACATTTCTTTACTCTGATTGAGGAGTTATTAATATTTGCTGCTCATATGTACGATTATGGTCGAGGCAACATTAGATACCAAAATCTTGATTAATGCTGCTTTGAGTTTACTACATAGATGTAAAGGGCACTTATATTCTGACTTCGTATTATATGCTAGTAATTAAAGCGAAACTACCTGGCTTATTTCTTTCCATATGTACTTAACCCATTACCAACCTATGGGGGATACTATATAATGTCAAATTATTCCAACAGATGTAACTTTCCATCGCCCTAATCACGCAATATTTAATATGACGTGGGTCTAATAAATAAAATACAATGATGAAAATAAACTCGTTTCTTAAAGCCTAAGTGTCTGCTTCGAAGACGATTCTCCGCCAGAGCTGAGATATATAGTCATTATCTTCCTCTGGTCGATTAGGGTAAGCCGCCGCCAGCTTACTGCCTACAGCAAATCCTACTTGGTTACCTATGTCCCATAGGCTAGGACGGTCTGAAGGCTCAGTCGCTAGACACCAGCAGATGAGCCTCCCTAACAGCGGGTCGAGGAGAGGGTACGGCGCGCCGGGCTCCTCGAGCGGGAGGATTTTTTCGGCATCTGTTGTCAATATTATCCCGCGCTCGGGTAGTGTAACCTCGCCCAAACCCACGTTTACGATATAAGGGCGTTCATCCAAAGTAATCAAACTAACCATGAGCTGCCACAATCGTCAGTCTGTGATCTGTATTCTAAATGAATATCCTAAGTAGAGTACACACCTTGCCTACGTCCCAGAGATTGCTATGTGTAGTTGTGCCCGTGAACTCGATCCAGGCCCACTCTCCAGCATTACCGAAGTCAATGACCTTCAAAATTGGCGTAATCGTATGCTCGAAATCCTCAGGGGGCTCTCCAAGAACAACTTATTAATGTTAGCTCAATATCTCTTATATCGAATACTCGTGAATGGTTGGGTAACTCGCATACCGTTCCCGTTATGGAGGTCACTATGCGATACACCCTCTTCTGGAAGTTCGCCTAATACTCTCTCTCTCTCTACCTTACCATCACTACGGTTTGGAGGGTCCTATGACCAATACAGGATTAGCACCAACTATAGATATGAACGTAGCATGGATTAAAATGCTACCTACCGCCATTGCTATACAAGCTCTTATGACTGTATATCTATTTATTAGCTTAACAAATACGCTTAAGCTCCCAGAATCCTCTGCATAGTGTAGGAAACTAGGTACTCAAGTGATGGGATAGCCGGGTAAAAATTATCAACCTAATAACTTACGGCATAAGAAGAACCTCCAAAGCAACCGATTCGGCAACCGATCTACTTTCTTTCTCGCCTTAACGATAAAATCCGCCATTGAGCCACCAGGCAGCCATTCCATTGTAATCCACTCTCCCTGGACGGCGTTTTCGTCTAGAGGATTATTTTCAACCTCCAGGATCTGGACAATATGTAAAGCACCGCGAAGTCTCTGTGTGTTCCATAAAGGTCAGCCTATTAATAGTTATTCCGTCTACGCACTTAAAATTTCTTCGAATTTCTCATACCCTAAGGTACTCCCTTTCCTTTCTCATAGCCTCCTCCGCAGCCTCTGATTGAAACGCCCTCTTCACCACAAAGTCGTTCCAGACTCCCGTGGCCGGGTTCTGGTATCGGACGCGACTCGCAGAGCCATAACTTCCGTGGGCGATGAAACCTATGAAATCGAATCTTTCGTCGTAGGAAAAGTACTTTGTAAGATCGTCGATATCTTGCCTGGCACTATCCCAAGGAAGCATTCTTTATATTTATAAATAGTAAGTAGGAAAAATCGTATTGTTGTCGATTCGGGTGTTACCATCAGCCGTGACCTTTAAAACGATAGTCGTTTAATATTTTATCGAGTTTACAACACTATTATTTGCATTATTCTCGCTATTACTAATAAGTTAAGACTAACCCTATTGCGTCCAGATCAAAGACCTTTCTTTACATGAGAAGTTGCTTTCATTTAACCCAATGCATTCTTCAGGGGGTCGCTAGTTTCAAAGCATTGGTCCACTTTTCTGAGACGTATAGCCTTCCAAGGACTGAGAATTGGGAACTTTCCACTTCAATCAATATACTCTTATATATTTAATTGATATGCGTATCTGACGATCATGTTTGCATTTAAGTCCTATAACAATGTGCTCATCATAATCTACGTTTCGAAATTCTTCACTACCAAAGTACCTAAGGTACATCCTATCAAAGTGTCTTAAGGCTAACGGGCTACTTTGCTACTGTTATATTCATTCCCTTTACGTTGATATACATCATTGACTTTGATACGACTCAACACATATATTATTCAAGTGCCTGGGATGGACCCTTGAGGTTGCATTATTCAAATTATTCGAAGATAGAATGACTCGTATTTATGATAGTATTGTGCCGATCTACGAAATAAGCGCCAAAGATGCAGGTCGATTCAATCCCTGTTACTAAATACCTAAATATTGTCTTACATGATGCAGAATGCCTACTGTCGTATAATTGAAGCCCCCCATCCACTCGTTCAAGTAATTGTCGGTGTACTTGAATGTCTGTATGTTTACCAATGATATCCTCGCCCTAATCTTTGTGAATCTACGCTCAGTCTCGCCCCTTATCCTTTTAATATTTCCTCATGGATTAGAAGTAGTGGTATTGGAAACTATCCCTAAGTCTGATAGATATCCCACTTGAAGTTCTCAAGAGTCATCCTTCCACTAATTAACCCCCGCCGTATGCCATAAAACTCGTCAGAATGGCATCCGAATCAGACATAGCCACGGCCGCAAAGACGGCTTGCAGACTTTTAGACTCCGCCTTTCCCAGGCGCGTGACATTTCCATCCCATACTCGATACCAGTCTCAGAAATGTCAACCATGGTAAAGTAATACGACTTACTTACCATTGTCTAAACTAACCGAATAAATGCAGGTGTCAGAATTGCTGGCTTCCTGCGGCTTGCTTTGTCCGACCTCAGAACAGCAAAGACGTTGCGGAAGTCATCAAAATTGTGAAGAACGCCGATGCTAAGTTTGCGATCCGTTCCGGTGGCCACAATTCAACCCTAGTTTCAGCAGCATAGATAATGGAGTACGGTGGCATATTAGTGCGCAACCGACAAAACAAAAAAGCGGATGAAAATTCGTCCGACTTGGCACTCGCACTATAATTACAGCACCTACATACGCTAAAGCTCCCTATAAATACAGGGCATTACAGTGGTGCATTCGCTAGAATTATAGTGCTTGAAAAAAGTCTCCGAGGTTATTAAAGGATTCAATTGTCAATCCAATTTTCAATTGCCTTATACATTACACATTCAGATAACTTTACAAAAACAACAATTCAGACATTATAATTGGTATCATTTTATAGCCGTAATTGATGCGAAAATAATGATTTAAGTTGCATTTGAATCGGCCTTTTGGCTGTTGTGTTAAAGTAGAATCAAATAGCGCTTGTCTGGAAAGGCAAGCACGTGATACCCTTTAAAAGCACCTCGATAAAGTCATTCCAACCAGACTTCAGATACTTTAATAGCAATATAATACTCAATACATATCGCATAAACATGCAATTTGGTCCATTATTTTCGCATCAATTAAGGCTATAAAATGATACCAATTATAATGTCTGAATTGTTGTTTTTGTAAAGTTATTTGAATGTGTTGTGTGTTGTGTGTTGTATGTATAAAGCAATTGAAGATTAAATTGACAATGGAATCTTTTAATTTAATTGGTTGATGTTGAAGTTAAATGTCAGCCAATTAAAATCCTCGATTTACAAGCCTTATAATTATAGCGTATGCACCACTGTAATGCCCTGTATTTATAGGGTGCTTAATGGGTAAGTGCGCTATAATTATAGCGCTTACGCCAGCCAATCGGACGAATTTTCATCCGTTTTTTTGTTTTGTCGGTTGCGCACTAATGGTGCACCGTAAATGGAGTCTTAATCGATTTGCGGGATCTTAACATACTAGAAATAGACAGTGATGGGATCTTGCAGGCCGGTGCTGGAAACACATGGGGTAATGTTATATACCTTTTTGGAGGAAAAAGGACTTTCGGCAATAGGCGGGCGCCAAAGTGACGTTGGAATATCAGGTTATCTTCTTGGGGGCGGAATGCCAGCTTTTCCCAATCTCCATGGGCTGGCAGGCTGATAGTGTGAAAGACTTCGAGGTTCGTACCTAAGGTATTCGCACGATCTTACTATATCGCATTCTAACTAGGTTCCTTGTAATTATGTCGTGCTGGCCGATTAGACTGTTATCAATGCCAATGCTCGTGAGAATACGGATCTGTACCGGGCTTTGAAGGGTGGTGGTTCTAACTTTGGTATTAAATTACAATCCTTCACACCCTATCTCTGACTACCTACCTTAGGTAGGTGCTAATATGAAATAATAGGTATTGTGACAAGATTCGATATACAGACATACCCTGCTATATATCTCCAATACAACGTCCTCATGTAACATCCTTCGGGATTCGAAGAGGTACTCCATGCTACTTCTGAGGCCCAAGAGGCAATGGAAACGGACCCGAAGCTAGGCATGTTTGCCAGTGTGAATGCAACATTCATTGCAATTGGAATTTATTATGCCGACTCAGCGGCAGAACAACCAAAGGCTATTGAGACTTTCCTTAACTTAAAAAGTATCATGCAAGTTCTGGTGCCAACGACTAAAGGTACTATTAAGTCTTTGGTCGAAGCTATCGGAATTTTAGGTCCCTCTACTAGGTGTGTACACTATTCAGCCACTACTAGAAGTTGCTTAATTCTAAGTTTCAATAGGCGACTTACGGCGACAACTACTACAAAAGTCTCCTGTGACTTCTATATACAGGTCCATAATCTTTGGCTAGACTCAGCAAGGAGGTACACAAAGACTAGCAATCTATGGTATAATATCCAACCTACACCTACAACCGCTGTGCAAATTGGAGAAGACCAAGGTGGCAATTCCTTAGGACTCCAAAAGGTTCCTCAGACATGTGAGTCTCACTTCTCATCATTAGACACCTATTAGACTCACTGGCTAACGAACTGACGCAGGGTGGTCGTTGGTCGCCGAATGGTCTGAGGAGTCTGACGATACGGCAGTATCCCATGAGCTGGAAGAATTTACTGATGAGGTCTCAAGGCTTGCTAAGGAGCAAGGCCTATATCTGGACTTCAAGTTCATGAATGATGCTGAGTTTTCGCAAAAGGTACTCAGTAGCTATGGCATGGGAAACATGAAGCGATTACAGGAAGCTTCCGCTAAATACGATCGTTTCAGAGATTGCAGAATGGCGGGTTCCTTCTAAGAAATCCTTGAAGCATAAACCGCTTAACTCAAAGAATCTATCCCCAAAACGTTACACTTAGCGCCGTGTGCGAACCTGTCAATATGCTAAACGCTGCTCCTATAGACTTATGGTCCGAAATAAAAACCTTGTGGCCTCTTCTGGATATAACGATAGGTGATATTTACGAGGATTTCGATATATGTCATGAGCGAGCACCGGTTTTCATTGATAATAGCTAATGGAATCCCCACTCAGTTCTTTTCACATTTAAGGGGCTCGAACTTAAGCCTTATTTGGATTACATATTCAATGGCAGGATGTGGGGTCGAGGTAGCTAGATAATTGCTAGAACTTTAGTGTTGGCGAACCGGAAGCAGTCTTAAACGTCCGCCGTGAAAAACATTGAAATTACTATCTTTAGGTAACTTTCCCTTTTTCGGTCCGTCGCCGTCATTTTCGTTTAGGGGTGAAATTGGCCTTTAAGTTGAGCAGCAAGACAAACTTGTTGTGAGATAGTTATATCTTAACTAGAAGATAAAATATGTCTACTTTAACGCTCTTATAATTTACAATATTAGTCTATGCACCCGAGTTATTTCGTCGCCTTGCCGACCAAGTACCCAGGTATTGTTTACGTTGTTACTATACTATGGTAAATTATAAATCTTTGATTCCCTTGAGACTGTTTAATGCCAACATATCTGGCACCAAGGCTGCCCAAAATTCCTCATGGACGTCTTTTCACGAAAGTACGACAGGTCCGAGGTTAGCTACATGAGTACCTGCCATTCGTATTGTCTCCACTCCTCGCTTGCATCTAAGATTTTGGCACGGATTACCTATCAGATAATTAAGCCTTAATTATTGCCACGTGGTTCGTGGCCTGTGAGATCTATATCTGGCATCCGAGGTAGGCTTTTTTCCATGTATGATTACAAGCGGCTATGGGGTTAGCGAGAAGAAATTTAACCTAGGGTAGAGGGCCTAGAAAGCTAGCGCATCGTAGCACAGCTCATGATACAACAGTCTCCTCGCGCTAAACCGAATATTCATCTCGCGTCAAACTATGCCCCGTTCTAACAAGCTTTTCAAACAAGAAAAATGACAGCGACTAAGCAGGTGTTCAAATAATGGCCCACCAGCCAAGAGACAATAGAGGATGAGGGTATTTTCTTAGCATCTGCTAGAATACAATCTTGTTCGAGCCGAGATTAACATTAAAAGCATAGCAGTGAGAATGAGTTCCTAGAAAAGAAAACGAGAAGGTGTAATTATAAAAACTATAGTTTAATGATTTAGATTATTAAATACAAACACATCACTGTTTGTATGATATAATGTAAAAAGCCAACCAGTTATCAGACGAAATATAAGTAGTATAAAGGTACTTATATGTAGAGATCAAGTTATAATGAACCATGGCTTCCGTCAAACGCCTTCGGAGCGTTATTATATGAATAAGGATGGAACATGTAATTGTGCTCTTAATATATTATTTATCAAAATGAGATATTCTATCCCCACTTGAGCGAGTCTTTAACTTGGGTTTAATCTCTTCCGTAGTCAGTGATATATCTACGGTCTTTTTAATCCCACTGGATGATAGCTGCATAGGTGATGTTACCAGTGGTATTTCATCAACACTAGATGAGTTCCCCCCAATCGACCGTTCAATCTCGTCTGAAGATCTTTGATTTTTCGAACGACCGAAACTCTTGTTTAAGCTATGTAGGCTAGAGCCAATGTTCGCTCCAGACTTATTAGTACTCGCGCCACGACTCGATATTCTCCCCTTGGCCGCCCTGAAGAGGGGTCCGAGAGTTGGGAGCGAGGAGCAAATTATTAGGATATACCCTTCCGACACTCCCAAGATATCAAGGTAAGGCACAGGATCTAAATGAGTCTGATTAGCCTTTGCTTTTGGGGATTATAAATGGACGGGCCAACTACTCACAGGTGGGATCTGTTGCAGATATAGCAAAGGCTTGCCCAAGGGCAGATAGCTTGATAACTGACACAACGAATGCGAGGGAGCTTAAGCTTAGAGCTCCGGCGACAGCGAGGCGGCTTCGAAGTGGCATGTTCAAGCGCATAACGAAAGGGATCGGATAGAATGCGAAGAATATATCTAGGAAAGCGGAATAGGCCGACGCGAAATATGCGAGGCTTGACATGACTCTGATATCTGCGCAAGTTCCGCCGACAATAGTTTTATCCCATCCAAACTCGATAGGCTCGCACTGCCTGAACCACCAGATCGACACAGCTAAGACGCATGCTTGAGAGGTGATTCCAAGCGTCCAAAATAAAACAGCCGTCTTTGTGCCGTAATTAAGAATTCGCTTTAGAATAGCGATGATAGCAAACTTCGGTAGCGAAAACTGCCATATTAAAACCGCATTGATGATAGCATTATATTTAAGCGCGTTCGTTTTTTCGTAGTGGCTTAAATCGTATGCATGCTTCCCGAGGCCGAAATCTGTTGCTATTGTGACAAGAATGCACACGACAAGACTGAGGGCGAGACAGAATACGGTGATGTAGTCGTCCAAGCCCAGCCCCGCCCGCTGATACGTCCCGAAACGCAAACGGCATACGATTCTCAGTCCGACTATGACTGTATATGGAAAGGCAGTAAGAATTGAGCGCTGGTAAAGTGGAAGGTGTTTAACGTACTTGTTGTGATTGCAAAGAGAGACCATAGGACTTGGTTGGCGAAGACATCGTAGTCATCTCGCCCAAGCTCAATCATGTTGATAGATGCGAAACCTAAGTAGGTCTTCTGATTGCCGTAGCTTATCAATGGCGACTTAGTAGTCAGGAATGACTCTATCGCAAGTTGAAACGACGGAGCAATGCGTCGCCATACACTCGGTAAACCAGCGGTTTCGCACAGCGTACCACTATAACAATGAACTTAATAGAAATGAATATCGATACCAATAAGCGAAAACGTGGTATTGTAAAGGATTATGACGATTTATGATAATATCTGTAGGTGATCGGCCCACAATACCGGCATTGGCAGCTTTGTGCGATCCCAAGTGAATGGAACTCGACTGATTCGCAGCCGGGGACCCCTTTTCCAACGTTAATTTCACATCAAACTCTTCTCTATCTCGCAATCCACATTTGGCTTGTTGTCTAGAACTCGGAGTGTGTTTACACAATTTTTCAGGTTTGCAATGATCATGTCCGTCTGCTTCTATCGTTCGAACAATCGGCTGATGGCCAACCTAAATGCTCTCCATATGTAAGACGGAGTGGGTAGTAATTAAAGTACCCGGCGAACCCCTTGCCGAATAGAGTCTAGGACCAGCGGATAGATGTCTGTTCTACGCTTAGACTCCGATATCCTAGTCGACTAAGCCAAAAAGGCCTGATCCCGATTGGGCCATCTTGGACACAAGTCAATCGAATTCCTACCTACCTTGGTAATGAATGTACACGGTAGAATCCAATTCTGGCCAGACCATATTTCATTATAAAATAAACGTCCCTAACCAGAGGCAAAGCCACCGTTTAAAAATGCTCCTTTTGATAGCCCAGTCTAACGTAGCGTGGTGAGCGGATACGCCCACTACGTCGGTAACACCAGACGGCACGCGCTCCTGAGATTGATATGTAATAACAGGTACCTACCTTTTTACTACGTGAATCCACACGATATTAGCGTGTGATAATTTCTGCAAACATCCTAGACCCCGAGATCCTGGGTAAGCGGCACGTGGCCTCGACAAGCTTTCGTATATGTGTTTCGTGATGAAATTGCGGGCATCTATATGGATTTGCGTATCTTTGAAAAGGCGCTACCTACCCGGTTTTACGTAAGGCTACGATTTACGGGGTCTTGACCTTAGGAGTTTAGTGGCCGATGATTATGGGTTTTGGCCCTTGTCGCGGATTTGCGTGAAGTCCTGGAGTAGAACAACACTACATCCTCGTATTTATATATCGCTTGGTTAACTTCTAAAGTTTAAATAGCTAACTAGGTAGTTACATCGTAACTATACTTTATTCTTGTTAACTATGTTGATTGGTGCGGTTCTTATGCTTCCAGCATATGGAAACCGACATGTTCGACCATTAATCAATTCTCGGTACCCCTAAAAGGTAGTCTGTAGATAGCAAGTGGTGAAAGAAAGGACTTACAGTTCCATTACATGGCACATAGATCAATATTGAAACCTCATCAGTTTAATCTACTTTTTAGGTACCGTACAACAAAATACCAAGGATACGACTCTTCCATGGGGCTTTATCTTGGCATCGTAACAAGCTCTGACCGCCGAAGAGCTGCATGGAAGCCCCCTTACTTGCTTATGATTTCTCAACCGGAAATGTCGCAAGACGCTTTAATCTCTTCTTGTTGCGACTTCTTTGGAATTATATCTAGTTATCAATTAAATTCCAAACACAAAACGTAATTTACATAGTATGCAGCACCTGCATTTGAAAAAACGTGCCACCCATCAAGTAGGCAATCAATAATCACATGCGCCTGGCACTCAAACGACCTATGGGAACCAACCCAGGGGTTCAACCCTGTTTGCACGTTGCGCTCAGATGGGGAAACATGCATGGAGATGGAGATACGGTTACATCAATACCCGCTTATTCCAGGTTTTAGGGCAAGGAAACCAGGAACTGAGTCAAGTCTACAAGTTTTGATCAAAGGGGAGAGTCGTAGCTATATGAAAGTTAAATAAACGTAAGGATAGATTAACGCTAGTTAGGTATAATAAAATGTTAAGAGGCTGTTCAAACCCGGCCTATATGTATCAGAATATAGAGCATTTTGTCATAATCATGAGATTTTTCTTTAGGGTATTATTCTAGATCCAAAAAAGAAAACACTTCCAATTTACGAAGTACAGTACTTGCTCTAGGGGTATTACTTCAAATTAGGTAGAAATATTGCTCACAAGATCTCGAGTCATCTCTACCCTGATAAGCCAGTCGAGGAGAGAATACCAAATTCAAGTTATTGCTCGAATGGAAACTAGCAAGCTTTCCATATGTCTTCTGAATACATTAACTTTGGTAGGGCACATAAAATTGCTAGTATCCCCAACACCAAGTCGCGCAATCCAATAGGAGTACTTATACATGCCTTAAATAATATACCTACTCCGGAGTTGAGTTCCTTAAACACCTAACACACGCCATACTCCCGATATAAAGACCCTTACTTCTCGATAAACTGTTTTCCGTAACCTGTCCCAGACCCTCGGGAAATATTTACTTCCGTAGCATGGCCACTACGAGGACGAATATTAGCAACTGCTCTCCAAAAGTTCGGAAGTTCGAGAATCTTCTCGAGTTCAAAATTTCTCAATGGCACTTACTATTCGCAACCACCCCAAAAACGGCCCTCGAGAACAGGCGCGGGCCTTTCGACGGCGGCCTTCTGTAACCTTTCTACACTTGCGAGGAAACGGTCAACGACCGCGTCATAGTTGTCGTAAGTCAACTTTCCGTCTCGTTTCTGAAATTTGCCGTCCACTATTACGTGGTCGATATCTCCAACGTTTGCATGCAAAATCACAGCCGCAACAGGATCAAGCCATCCTAGCATTCCAGGCGACCGGCCATTGAAGACGACCAAATCCGCCTTTGCGCCAACACGAATTACGCCTAAGTCAGGGCGTCTGAGCGCGAGTCCACCCTGTCGGGTGGCCATCAGAAAGGCTTGGTTGACGGACATTGGGTTATTTTTAGGGATCTTCCAATCCGCGAGGACTTGGTCGTAGACCCTAGAGCGAGTGCGCTGGAGCCAAATTCGCGCCTGGGTCATTAGATCTGTTGAGAAAGTGAAGAACGTGTCCACGCCAAGCGAGCCTTGCTCCTGTATCAGATGCGCATTCGGGTGAGAATGGCCATAGTGCATCTCCGACTCGGGCGTTATTGAGATGAACTGGTTAGTCGATCGAAGCAGGCTGGCACCTGTCGGCGTAATGGCCATAGAATGGGAGAAGACGACCGCCGTCTCAGTGTCTAAAATTCCGAGACGGTGAAGAAGTTCTGGTGAGTTATCAACTGAATTCCATAATCATTAGCAAGTCCTTGTGGAATTTTGTCTAAGTCACGCATTTTCCTCCGACTGAGAAACGTACCCGACCACGGACCCCCCAAATGGTGGGTTGTCAACACCGGAATTTTCAACTCTCTATGTTTCATTAGTGATATAGCAATGTCTTAACTAATGGTATCCTCGCATACTTGATGACAGAAATCACAGCTTCAACGTCATTCGGCGAAGATATCGTCCAAAGATCATATGCGGCGCCTACGGTGGTTAGACTAGACGCCGAATTAGACTTAGCTAACTCTTTGAAATTGGCGATTTGGTCCGTAAGCGAGTAAGAATCGTGATGAGAGAATGCATGGCACCAGTACACCCTAGCGCCGCTGTCGACGGATGCTTGAAGACCAGCATTCGTTCGCTCTTTACACCAAGTATTGTGAGCATGATCAAGCGTGGTTGTTACACCAGCGTTGAGAGCCTCGAGCAACCCTGCGAGTTGTCCGATGTACACATCTTCAGCTGAGTAGATAAGTGCGGGCGCATGCCCGGCATAGCGGCCTAAATAATCTGGTAGAGTGGTGTTGGGGGACAAGGTCTTCATAGCCGTTTGCCAGCCATGTCGGTGCGTATCGACGAAGCCAGGAGAAATGATCTTATCCGTACAATCAACGATTTCTATATCCGAAGGTAGATTGTCCGGACGAGCAGTGTCGTAAATTCCTGCAATGCGGTCTCCGCTAATTAGCAGGGAACCATTCCGAACTACCTCGATAGCCTCAGTCTCTTCGTTAAATGCTATGATAGTTCCACGGGAGAGTAGAACTGAGCCCGAGGGAGCTGTGGACATGATGTCAATGATAGACCTCAATGAAAGACAATATTCTTCTTTTGGTAATGGAAATAAGGATATTTATTAAGATCAGAAGAACCAGTGACGTTTCCAGGAAACGGTCTGTGCATAGAAAGGAGGTTTATATTGAAGATAGCCTGGGTCGCGATACTTGGATTGAGTACCTGATACAGGATTACAATGTCGCGCTTGATCGCGAGCCGATGACTAAGTTGACTCCGTCAGGATTACCTGCTAGCCAACCTAGCTCTCGGCTCAATTCTCTATTGCTACGTTGATTGGAAGCACATGTCTACGACCGCCTCTCGCGTCTCTCGCTCTTCAAAAGGATTTCCCCACATGGAATAGATCTAGATCGCTTCGGCTCCAGCTGTTTGACCGAGACACGAATAGGATTCTTTACCCGGCGTTGTACAACCACACGCTACGATGAAGGGAGATATCGTGAAATAACTACCTTCGTAGTCATTAAGAGTCTTAATTTAAGACGACATGTGTATGTGAAAAGGCTAAAGAATAGCACTTATATTAGGTGGTTAGTTACACTTAAAGATAGGATATATGTACGTATTTACGGGCTAAGTGGGGTAACTCATGACCCCGCTACCTTAGGTAATTTACAAGATTATTTACATGTAATATTAGACATAAATGAAAGACTTAAATAATGATATACTCCATTAAAATATGACTTTAACTTATATTAACAAGCTTTTTATTTCTGTTATATTACTTGAATGTTTATTAATAAAAGTTACTTTTCCTCGGAAAAACATTAGGAAATTGCGCTATTCATTTTTCTGGTATACTTAAAAATGTTATATAAAACCAAGTACTTTTATGGGTTACACGAGCACGGCAAAAAGGATGATACAACGATAACGGTTTAAAATTTACTAAACGGTTAACTATTACATTTATAAATCGTGGTATTTATTAACTTGTTAAATTGTTAATTAAAATATTATAAAATTATAATGTTTAAGTTTACGAGTTTACGAGGGGTTATTGTGTCGAATTTTTTCCATGGCCTAAATAAAAAAGTAACTTAATGGGCAATATCTGGCACGTGCATCACTTTTTAAGCGATTTGATTGGGTGCACGACTTGTATATGTGGAGCATGGCTTGGCATTTTAGCCGAAAACCAGCGCGAAAGGCTAAAATGGCTTTGATTGGGTGCATCATTATATTATATGGGCCTTGGAAAGATAAGATAACAACACCACGTGACCACATATGTAGCCGCATGTAGCCACGTGACCTGGCGACAGGCCACCAAAAACAAAAGGGATAGACTTTCGCTTACGCTTTCGCTTTCGCTTTCGATGGAGGCAAAGGCAGCGGCGCGAAGCGCCGCTGACTTTGCCTGTTAAGCAATGCGTTGATGGAAAAAAGAAAGGTGCGAGGTTGAGGAATCGAACCTGGGGCCTAGGAAGGTGTGGCCGGGATAACTTCGGGGCTATAGTATAGCCAGGTGATTATGTAAGGGTTGTTATGTAAACTCGGGCTATTGTGCAGCCCCGGGGGGTTGCCTCCTGTTTCTGATAAATATGATCAACTTGTTAGAAATTTCTAACGGAAAACTTCAGGTAGTAAATGCTAATTTTCAATATTATATAATAGTTATTTAGGAATTTATACTATTGGACCTAGTCCACCTCGACTTATGTTTCGTCCACCCTGTTGCTTCCAAGACCCGTAAGCCAAGAACGCCTGTGATCAAGAGAGTTTCGAACGCCAAGAGTCCTATCCAGAGCTCGTCTAGAGTTGTCACCTTGTAGTTTCCCAACCAGCTCTGAACGTTCCACTTGAGTAGGTGGCGGTATGTCAGCTGTAGCATTGGGAGATAGTGTTATGTATTCGGCTCGTTAGATATGAGATAGTGCCAATTTGATCTAGTTGGTTAATATCACAGGTACACAGAAGACCTTGCCATATAAATCCAAGTTTGCTGGAAGTGAAGGTATATAGATACTTACATTGCAGCTCTACGTCTAATCAAGGAAGTGAGTTCTCTATCGCGAAAACCAGTACCCGGGCGGAGGAACTAGAATTCTGTACGACAGACTGCAACTTGGAAAATCCGGTTACGTTCGGAAGAGAGTAGGAGTATAGGAGAGCGCATGGGGTAATATTGTGCATGTAACACACGAAAAGAGCCAATGGTTCAGACACGATGCTTAAATATGCGTGAGCTCCCGCGAATTGTTACCACATTTCGGAACTGGACACGTTGAAGAATCTTGGTAGGATCTGAATATGCCACGGGAATCGATGGATGCGCGGAAGCGAATCTGCGGGGAATTGACAAGCCAAGGGATTGGAATGACATTTATAGTAACTGCCTATTATTAAAAAATTTAGCAAGTCTAGCATATATCTAGAATCAGAGGCATAGATGAGACTTTGTTGTAGTGCCCAAAGAGTTAATATGCAGCGACAATTTACCCGGTTTATTAGTATCCTCCGGCGGCATTTTACGACATAAAGGCATTACCGGAGGGAGACGTGCACACGGCGTTAACGTCTGCTATGTCATTCTAAAATTGCAGGCTTCATGCTATATCAACTAAAGATACCAGGTAAGCATATGGGTCATTTGATGGAGTTTGTCTATCATTTAGACACGTAGTCTATTACTCCTACTCTTTAGCTGAAGAGGGGATGGTAGAGGCTGTACACTATGATACAGAGGAAAACAAATACTTCGTGAATTTGAGTAATCATGATGCGTCGCCAGGTGCCGTAAGAATCGTTGAGCCTTCCCTTATATTACATCCCGAAAGGTAACCCAAAACTCCGTGTCTAATCGACATCAATTATAGTCGTAGTCGTCACATATATAGCCGCTTTACCCTTTCATCTTCCTCAATTTTTCTTCCTCACGGATGTCACCTCCTATAGCCTTCCACCATACGTCGCATCCCCATCTTAATGCCCTCTCAGCTGCTCCGCTTGGTGTCATGGCAGGCCGAACATCAAGGAAGAATACTGGCTCGCCCGTAGGCTCAGGTGGTCCAGAGTAGTAGTCAATAATGTAACGAACTTCTTTCCGTTGGCCGTCCGTATCTCGGGATACGTACCAGTCGTGTCGATCGAAGGGCGGCTCAGTACTATGAGGTGGGTTAGTTTGAAGCTGCATCAACAGAAATACTAGAATCTTACCCAAATGCCGCGGGGTAGAGCCAGCCCATGACTTGGAACATAGTAGCCTTTGGCGTCATGTCCTTCGGTCGCCCTTGGAACCTAACAAGACTCGGGCTCAAATTCTCCACTTCCTTCTCATATCCGTATTTTTTCGCCATATTCTCGAAGTTCTGTTCGCCATGGCTGCACAAACGCCATCCCTTATATAGACCTCCCGCGAATCGCTTTTCCCAATCCATGATTTCGGCCCATGCTCCCTCGTTCAAGAAATTGTGCACACTCACCATGCTCTCTACCGCAGTAACATCTGTGTCTGTGTAACCCTTGCGAAGGAGAGCATTATACATCTGCTGAGGAGATGGGTATTCCCAATTACCGTCGCCATCGCCTCTGGGAATAGTAGAAGGTTCTCGAGAGGTGGGGAGAGCTTGTGTTTGGTCCGGAGCCGGTGCTTGCGAAAGGTCGCGAAACATGTAATTTAGAGGGTTTAGTTTCGAGAATGTCGATTGTGAATCGCGCTCTTCTTTCCAGTCACCTCTAGACTCATGGGGCACAGGACATGCCGAGGGAGGTTTAGTTGCATCGGGGGTATGCTTCACTGGGCAGGCAGCTGGGAGAGAAGTCAATGCATCGGCTGACTTCTGGTGTTTATGCATAGGACAACCTGGCTATATACGTCGAGGATAATTAGAATGCATATACGGCGTTTAGGGGCTTAAATATGGCTTACAGGGGGTATACGCCCTCCATCTTGGGATCCAAAAGAGCGATGCGACAAAGGTTGTGATTGGGCATTGATCTGAGGACCGTCTGCCCAAAACCAACCCATGGTGATAATTAAAGTTTAGGAATAAAAGAATATGAAGGTAAAAAGGAAAATTCAACGATATTTTGAGGTGTGTGAAATCGTATGAAATAGGAATTGAATGTAGAATTCAAATGGCTTGTCGCTGAGGGGCTTATCGCCTTCAACTTCGATAACTTTTTTTTATTTGCCGCGTCGGTCTCTACCGTAGCGGCAGTGTATGGGTTTCAGGAATCATATTTCTCATTCTAACCTTTGTTATGGCTAATACGATATTTTACGAAATAATCATTTTTTTAACAGGAATCATTCCTTGTAAAAGAATGATTCCCGGAATTTAAAAGCTCTGATTGGCCAGAATAAGTGGGATTTTTACACGTGACCTCAAAAAAGGTTAAAAATAAAAAAAGCTAGGATGCCTGGGACTCGAACCCCAGGCTCCTAGCCCCACCACAACATCCCCGCTAATGCGGGAGTGTTTTGATTGAGCTAACGGCTCTAGTGGGTGGCCAGTCCACTAGTGCTGTTGACGATTGGTCCGTTGTTAAACCTTATTACCCACACTTTCATTTTTTTAATATTACAATAATATATTGGCCCAATCAGAAAAACCATTCCTGTATAGGCAAGGATAACTTATACAAAAATCATTCCACCCCCAAAATATGATATCTCAAAACCATACTTTGCCGGTATGGTATGTATATTGTATAAGGCTGAGTCAGTGGCGGGAAATACCGTAATACCCACCTACTTGGTACATGTGCTTAGAAGCCTTAAATTCATTGCCGGAGTTTTACCAGGACTTGGCTCGAATCCAAATAGATCTACTACGTCACACCCGTTAAACCCGAACCCATTGTTTGCAGTAGCTTTCCCGAACCACGGCGATTCTATACGACGCTACCCATTTCACATGCGTCAATGATACGAAGTTCTCTCATTCAGTAAGCAATACCGCTAAACTGGTTAATACTCTATGGGATTGCCTATCATGCCAATCAATTCCTACCCCCCTTTATAAACACATGCTTCCTTAGATATGCGACCGGTCATTTTATTTAGCCGGTTTTGCGCTCGTCGAGCCCTCCAAGCTCCGAAGACTCCTGTGAGCATTGCACGATGGCATTCGACATTCCGAGCCAGAATACAACGTCCTCCTCCCTGGAGGAACGTACAGTTTAGCAGCAGAGTACTTAAAGCGACATTAAATGCTACTCTTGGAACCGCTGTTTTTGTCAAGTTATCCGAAGACGATAATGGAGAGGCGGAAAAGACAACCGAGGGTCGCATGCTCGAAGCGTCGCGAGAGGAGTTAAGAAAGACAGTCCACGATAACGAGAGAGGAATCTACCGCTTAGGTCATACATTAGTCATATATCTGGACTCCTATTTCTGGGAACCCCTCTGTACTGGTCTGAGATTCATCGAATTAGTCTTCATATTCATCCCAGTCATATTAGCGGTACCATCTATATGGGTTGGGAGTCGCCAGGCGCACCGCGATGATGAGCGGTCTGGTACGTTATGGTGGTATAGCTTCTTAGTCAAGGCCATGGAGGCGGCTGGGCCAGCATTTATCAAGGTTTGTCAATGCTGTGGTGATGATGATGATATCGTAATATCCGAGCTAACATAGGGGCAATACAGCTTGGCCAATGGGCAGCTTCGAGAACTGACATCTTTCCGACAGAAATGTGTAATATTATGGCTAAACTACATTCTAATGCTCCCGCGCACTCCCTGGAAGCGACGATGCGGATAGTGGAAAAGGCATTCGATGGGAGGAGATTTGAGGAGATTTTTGAAGAATTTGAGCAATCCCCTCTTGGTGTTGGAGCCATTGCGCAGGTGTATAGAGCAAAATTGAAGTCAGATCTTGCCGCGCCAGGGGACGTCGACGTTTTAGAGACTCGCGGCAATCTTCGGCGACAAGTTCGACGTAAAGTCGATACAGTTTTGAAGAGTGTGCCAAAGCGCGTCCCCTCTTCTTACGTTGCTGTTAAAGTATTGCACCCGCGAGTCGAACGAACCGTTCGGCGTGACCTTCGCATTATGGGCTTTTTCGCTTCTGTCCTTAATATTATACCAACGATCGAGTGGTTATCTCTGCCTGACGAAGTTACGCAATTCGGAGAGATGATGAAGCTACAGCTTGACTTACGTATAGAAGCTGCCAATCTTGCCAAGTTTCGAAAGAACTTTAAAGACCGAACGACGGCCTGGTTCCCATTCCCGTACCTGGAGTTTACCACGCGAGAGGTTCTAATTGAAGAGTTCGCACAGGGAATGCCTCTGGCAGATTTCCTAGAGAACGGCGGGGGAGTCTTTCAACGGGATATCTCACAGGAGGGGCTTGACGCTTTCCTGCGAATGCTGTTAATCGATAACTTTGTGCATGCTGACTTACATCCCGGCAATATTATGGTTCGCTTCTATCAAGCGGATACACCTAGGCTTAGTTTGCGCCAGTCGGGTGACGGTCAAACGCCTCGTCCTCAAGAGCACACTGATGTGACCGAGCAAGTCCTGGCGCGACTTCGCCCATACCGCAAACGAAGAGATTTTGCAGCGTGGGAAGCGGAGCTGAAGAAGATCGACGAGGAAGGTTTTAGACCACAGCTTATATTCATTGATACTGGGCTCGTGACTGAGCTCAATGCCACGAATCGACGCAACTTCTTGGACCTCTTCCGCGCCGTTGCCGAGTTTGACGGATATAAAGCTGGCCACTTAATGTGTGAACGTTGCCGTCAGCCTGATGCGGTTATTGACAAGGAAGTCTTCGCCCTGAAGATGCAACACCTCGTCCTAAACGTCAAGAGCTCGACTCTCGCTTTGGGCAGCGTCAAAATTGGGGACATACTGCAACAGGTCCTAGACATGGTTAGGCAGCACCATGTAAGGTTAGAAGGCGATTTCGTAAACGTTGTAATTAGTATCCTACTCCTCGAAGGTATCGGTCGTAGTCTCGATCCCAACGTGGATTTACTGAGCAGTTCGTTACCGATCCTTAGACAGCTGGGTACGCAAGGCGGAGCCGATATGATAAAGGGCGGCGATTTCTCGATGTTCTTCGTCTGGGCAGGACTGGAGGCCAGAAGGTTTATGCAAGCTAGCATCGAAGACGTGAGTCCAATAATTTCTCTCTTCACTATAAAATTGATACTAAATACCCTTGCGCAGGTCGAGAGATGTGTCAAATACGATTTGTTATCACCAAATATTTAATACATATACAAGGTTACGGGTAGACATAGAGCTGCATATATAGGCGTCGGTAGACGGAAGCGGGCACGAGTGCATGGACAATACAAATCTCCCTAAAATATTTCATTATAAACGTTTCCTAGCTAGATCAGCTATGTTGACGTCTTGCGAATAATGCGAATGCCATATACAAATATCTGTACTATTCATTAATCCCTCTCCAAGGTATCTAGCTCAGCTGCGTCGCGAGTTGCGTGACCTGGTTTAATAGGTCTGCGGCCTCCTTAGGTGCGTTTTTCAGGACCTTGTCGCGGAGGTGGTCGACCTGGAGCCCAGCAGCAGCCGGCGGGTTCCCTTGAGCGGTCTGGATTCGCGACACCTGCATCTCGAGGAAGAATTTTGGAACTTTAATAGCTAAAGAACCGCCGACGCTACGGATACCAGCTTCAGTAGCCTCGTATACGTTAAGCATGTCCTGGAATTTCTGCAGATCCGTGCTGGCAAGAGGCTCAGCTGTTGCGAACTGCGACAGCGCGAACTGGAGTCCGGTCTGCTTAGACTTGCTGAAGTCGATGGACGAGAAGGTCGTGGATCCAGATGTAACGTCTGGCACACCAGAGATAGTCGTGGCGGACTTGCTGCATGTGACAGTTGAGGCTAGGCTGGCGGCGACGTCGGCGACTTCCTGGGGTAGAGTTGTGCTGCCAACGACGAAGCAGGCTTGCTTAGCGCTTTGTCTTCGGCTAACCTCTGTAGCCGCGCTCAATGAACCGGTGGCATCATCTTGCAGCGGTATCACTGCAGTCGTAGTGACGAAAGGAATGATGGGGGCCGCGACTGCGGTGCCAACAAGGATGGCGGCGATAGAGAATGAAGTACGCATTATGATGGTTTGACGAGTACGGATAGTATTAACGGGGTTATGTGTAAGAGGGAGGGAGAATGCTCAGAACCAGCTAAGAACGAACGAATAAAATATTACGAATGAAGCAAGGTCCCTTCACAGAAGGATGATAGAATCGAAAAGTGATAAATGAGCAGAAGAATGTCGATCATATTGAAAATGAGATCTTTCACGCTTTTTATCAACAACTTACCCGCCGATCAACACGGGGGGGGTAATGGGGTAATGCGGAACGTCGAACCATCAGGCAAATACCAAGGCCGAGTTAGCCGTCTTTCGTCTCATGTCCGAAATGCTTCGGTTACTTTGGTTTGAAAGTCGACGGGGTTGTTAAGGTTAATGAATACGAGGGTCTTCTTTTCCCATTGGTCAATTGTAGGGTATTCGACGTTGCGCAAGGCTAAAGAGCCTCAATGAAGATGTCCTTTTCAGGGGAGGTATAGTTTCACAAGGAATATAAACCAATTAAAAGATGGGATGTTGTGTCAGCTACCCTATCCCTGTCTTACCGCAACCCCACCATAATACCCCCTATATTACTCTTTTTAGATTTTGATATCATTTCGCGAACTCATTCTTATCATTAATATTACAGTGTCACCGATATGTATGAGCTTCAGGAGTCGCCGGAAAATTGAAATTGAGTTCACCAGAACAATATTGACTAAGACAACATTTTTATTACTCATGGCTCATCAAGTAAGCACTTGTGCTCAGTAACTCTAGGTCTACCGAGGAGTTCTTGTCTATGTCTGTGCCAATTGCCCCTTGAGAGAATGTAATTTCGACGAAAAGACCACAATCACCCAAGACGCCAAACGTGTATATCGACGCCAGCGACAGCAACCATTGGAAAACAGTGGCCCACTTCTCTATCTCGGTCAAGTGAATGTTTCTGCTAAAGGCCATGCGTAAGTCATTTAGGGGAGAAGACCCAGGAGACCAAGACCGACAGCCTTAAGAAGGTCATCAACGATGAACTTGACTGCAATCAGTAGGCCGTCAACCACCTTGTCGAGGGCCTTGACGAGCTTGACGAGAGCTAGAATGAGAGGAACAAGGTGGATCAAAACGGGACCTGATGTTATCCGTTAGTTTCACACGTGAAGACGTAGCAGCGGGATTATCTTACCGAGACCAAGCTTGATGAGGATAAACTTCACGGTACCGAGGAGCTCGAATAGGATGAGGGAAACGGTCTTGAAAATGTCCTCCTTGAAGAACCGGGCCTCAACAATAGCGCGCTTAGCGATGGTGGAAGATTTGTCAAGAAGATCTGCGATAGCGTCAAGCTGAGGAGCGATGGACTCGGCGGCAGCCGAAGCGTCAGCCTCAGGGGCGCCATCAGCCACGGGGGTCAGGGTCGAGTCTAGCTATTTGTTAGATCATTCTAGTTATCAGCCCCTCTCATGATCACTCACTGATCTTCGCAGTCTGCTCCTGGATCTGAGTGTAAAGGGACTCTAGACTTGTCTCGATAGCGTCAATATCCTGACGCTTTTCAACGTTAGTTTCGTCATTGATGGGGTTAGCGATGCTAGTGGCAATGAAGCCGCCAACAGCGAAGAGAGTGAAAAGTGAGGCCTTCATGTTGAAGATGAGTCGAAGCTAAGGTGCTGAGGTTGAGAAGAGGGTTGTAGAGAAGCTGGTTATATCGATTGCGTTGTTGCCGCTGGTGAAGAATAGAAAGAGAGCATCGTCTATAGGATCGACGCCTCTTATTTATACTTTTTGTGACATCCCCATTCCCACGTTCGAGCTGGTTATCGATCAAGATTGCGTGCTTCGTCGAAATTACAACTGCCATACGCTTTCGCGTCCTCACTTTCCTCGAAGTGGTCTTCAAAATGCTTGTCCTACCGCATGAAGACTGCCAGCCCTGCGAGATGACGTTGATGTTCTCGAGCGATCCAGTTCACCCATCATGAACCGTTGGCTCGTTTAACGAAGCAGCTCAATACAGATCAATGAATTCAAACTGCCGGAATACAACCTCTCATGAGCAACATACGGTTATACCTTCTCATTGGGTTACTAAGTAGGCACTGCTTCTCATTGACGGATGTTGTGTCCGGAAACCGAACGATACTCCCATAGTAACGGGGAAAGCTCCATGGTATGGATATAGGGGCAAGTATGCTAGAAACCCTTTTGTGCCTGTTACGGCGAAGGAGGTGTGGCTCATGACCTTATTGGTTCTTGTCTACCTATCCCTGGCTTTGCGTGCTGCTACGCAATTTTGACGACGTCTTTGTTGGGAATCGATCTCACCAGGAATAGGCCTAGAAACGAATCCACGTTGCTAGCAATGGGAAGCCTACGTGGCATCCAATGCTCAATGATCTCAAGATTCATTATGAGAAATAGGAAGGTATCCTCATATTCTTGCCGACGTCGGTTCGACAAAGTGGAACCGGGACCTGACGATCACAGCTGTCAATTTTTAAGCTTCTTTATTCCCCACTGACGATCCCATCATTTGCCGGCCGATCAATTTGCTTACTGATTTACGTAAGTTAGAGATCATATTTTTGAACGAGAAAATTATGCCATGGCGATCATTTAGAATATACTCTAACGTCCTTACAGATGAACAGTATTCTTCCATATTGTCGGTACTACAGCGGTAGAGACATAATTACTTAATATCGCCACTTATAGCGGCCATCTCTGGGCCGTCAGCAACGAACTCGAAAATGCAGCTAACCCCTTTGCCCTTGTTTGATATATTAACGGAATGAATACCTATGGCCACGCGCAGCTAGTTGCCGCGTCACATTATATTATGAATCTTGTACGTAATGAGATCAAGATATATATACGATGCCCGGGAGCCGCATATCAGATATATGCACGTTATTTAATTTATCCAGCCCTTCACAGGTGGAATTTATGCGGGGTGCGTCACACTTGAAGGTAAAGGCAACGTCAAAACCAGTTACACGGACGTTTTTTTGTACTATATAGACTAGGTTGAGCATGTTTTTTGCCGTACCACAATTCGTCGAGTACTGGTTCCAAGCACGCCTTGCTTCTACGGTATTACATCAATTCAACTACAGCCTCTCATACGAAACACGTCAGCTGAGGAAAAACGCCACAGCGGGTACTGTGCGATTAATTATGAGAGCTTGACCAACCAAGCATTTTATAAGATCAGTAATTTTCCGGATATACCGACTTTAAGTATAATTTATGGGTTTCAGACAATTCTCATAGAACTTGTCAGTGAGGTTTAGCAGCATAGAATACTATGTATAACGGCGGGAGGCAGGCTACGGCTAATATCCAGCGGAGCGGCTAGCAGGCCCACCCCAGAAGTTATCAACTGATCGACAAGATTTAAATCGGCAACCATATGGTTCATGCTACCACTTATACCATGCGTACTAGGATTATTCATGTGGGCCGTGTCAGACAAATGTCTGTCCGTATAAATAATTAGAATAAAAGCTATTACGAAAATACCTTTTAGTGGTGTAGTGGTTTGTTCGACAGGCCCCTATACCTTGCAGGACGAGGGATAAGTTACTATTTCCGGCTTCATGAATTCACCCAAAGCTACATTATATTAAGCAAAGGAGTTTATGCAACTATTATGCATGATAAAGCGGCATCCCATAATCTATCAAGAGCCGGCGCCTAACGCTTGATGTCCACTTTGGCTCACCTTCGACAGACTTGCATTAGTTGGGATTGGGGAGATAAACAGGATTTCTAGACCTATTCTCCGTCCGGATAAAAATCAAAATAGCATCAAAGTCTTGTCACTGCAATAGTACCTAGTGTAAGATGCCCAATCCAGTCAAATATCATGTTCAAACATCGTGTCGGACGATCTGCTTCCATCCAGGAATGAAAAACAAGAGCATTATGACATTCCTGCTTTATTTCGAATGGCCTTTATAATCGAGATGTATAGCGCCGTGCCCGCCAAATTATATCGTTATTCTACGTATCATCCGTTAAAGGAGTTGCCATTGCTACGTTCATGATATACACGCCCACAATATACTCCTCCTGAAATTCACACCCTTTAGAATATATTTCCAGCTGATTTTATCATAACCTACCTGAGCGACCTATACTGCCTTGATATTATGAATTATACGCGTCAACTACCTTACCAGACAAATAGCTATCTTTCAATTAGTTACGTACTCGGTATTTTCTTAGTAGTTGTTAGTTGTTAGTTTAATATGAAATAGCCGATATGAAGCTGCAAAATGCCACTCTTAGAATTCGACTAACAACCTGGTTATCACTTTGGAGGTGGTACCATTAGTCCCACAAGACAAGTTAGATAAATCAGATAGTAGCCTATTTGATGAACTAGACAAAACTTGATCAACCACTTAAATCTGACAATCTTTAAAGATCATCCCAAGCACTCCCCATCATGTTTTCCAAGTAGCTAAAGATACTTGGATACAAGTACTAAAGATAGCCAACAATATTCATAATTGGTGTTGTCTTGATTAGAGTACATGGAAGGAGCATTGTTCGCTCTAAATCCGTACTTCCCCATGCTACGTTACCTCGACTCTTATTTGGGGGACATAATATGTAATAAAGCCGGTGACGTCGATTGAGATCAATAATATCATCCGAGGCCACAAGGATTTACCTAACAGGGCACCAATTCTTTTTTTTTGGGGGGAGGGGGGGGGGGGGTTGAAATTCATAGCTTCTAGCCTTGCAGACTTCCATGCCAACGATCCAGTGTATGTATGTGGGGTGGGTATAGCTCATCTCTTTCTTTAGGATATAGGTCAGTCCATCGATCTGTTTGGCGAATGATAATTTTACACGATACAAAGTTTGATCGGCTTAAACATACATCTACCTAGATAGTCCTTCCTCACAGGGTGCTTACTCGCCTATGGACTGGTCCTTAGCTGAAACTTTGATAGGCCAAAAACCAAATATGTATGGTAGCTAACTAGTACTTTGGGAGTATGACTACCGAAATACCACCCAGCAATCATAAGCCTTGAGTTTACGTAGCTTTTTAATAGATTGGATCCCACCGTGGTGATGAGAATACCACTCCATACGAGGAGGATCGTAGTATCACCTGGTCCACCTTTATGCCTAACCCGTAGCGTTTATGACTTATCATTCTGATCTAAAATGATATGGCCACCTACGCTTCGGGATACTAGTATGTTAAAATAATAATTGAGGACTTACACAAATTCTTTAGGCAAAAATGCGGTCAAGTGCGTAAGCCAAAATCTGACAGGCTTGAGGTTGACATGATGACTACCTACCTACCTGGGATCACGTTATCATATATGTGGTCTAGATCCATGAAAAACTGTCTACGACTCTTCACGGTAAGTAAGGTTACGCTCTAATATGGCCAGATGTGGTCCGAAGGCACAAGTTTTATCTAATAGGTAATGAAGTAGTTATACGAGAGAATAGAACTAAAATACCTCAGGCATAGTATTATATTATTGACATGAGAGGTAATATTGGTTATTTTTGATGTACGACCTAATGCATAACTCCAGGTGTCTTAGATTTATATACGGAGGATCTAAAATAAGTTGGGCTACCGCCACAAAACGGAGGTGTTGTTTTGATGTAAGGAAATTCATTGATATTGTACCTGGCGGGATGTGCTCGGGGTAGTTCGACGTCGATAGTGGAAACCGTCTTTCAGTATCATACATCGATCAAGATAACCATGGTTCCCCGGGGGATGGAAACTCTAGGAACACCAGTACTTCAAGAATCTATAGTCTAAAGGCGCTAGAGCTGCCACGGGACAGTCATGTCTTAAGCGCTAGGGAAATCCATATGAATTTACTTGATTATTGCTGTAAAACAGCAAGGACATTTGGTAAAAATATCAACAAAATTAGTTACAAGGTCTAAAGCGGTCATGGAAGAGATGATATATACAGGCCGTCTCCCGAAACACGAGGTAAACACAAAGAGACTCGACACAAATATACAACCCCATAAATCGGATTGGCCTTAACAACACCATTCTGAAATGAAAGGAGGAGGGGAGTGATTGAATTATTGTCATTTCAAGTCCTGATTTATCAATTTTACTAGTTTGTGTACTTGTACCTCTCCCGTACTTAGAAGATAGGCTACAGAGAAGCCATTGGCTACCTTACTATCATAGGAGTACTATATAGCCTAGTTGATAGGCTATTCAGAGTCTCTTAAACAGACACATTTCTTTACACAATAAAATCCATTTCGTTACTTCTCGCTCGCATAATGATGCCCGAGGATCGATGCCACTCTATATTATGTTGCTTATCCGTTCGGCGAGTAAGCAGACTGATGATTTGGCAACATCTAATACGGATTCGGGGTAATTAATATGTTCTCCAAGTAAGCTAAGAAACAGCCACAATGTAATGGTTGCGTGATTGCTTCTGCATCTCATCTGTAGGTTTGGATTATTACATGCTGGGGTAGAATGGCCACTATTTATCTGCTCTCGGTGTGGGAGGAACTTTCGCAACATGATATTGACAAGGGCACGACATATATAAAACCTTGCTTTACCTTCTTCCTGATGACCTCTCTTCTCTTTACACAGAGACCATCACTACTTCAAGCACAGGACAAGGTTTGGATCACAAACATAACTATGAGCCGCGTGGGTAATATTTCCACAATTAAGAGAATCCATACTGACGTTTCACAGACAATCAAGTATTATCAGGAAAGGGATATGGAGCCCTGGGAGGCCCTTGACTGGGATACCATTAAGTCCTTCCTCTGGAGCGGATACGATATTCGCTGGGCAGAGGGGCAAAAACAAGCCGAAGAATGCATTAACAACGGAATCCATAGCGGGGACGTTCTCGCCATCTTTGAGTCTTTCCCGCACTTCATATGGACCTTGATGCGAGACAAAAGAATTACTGTGACCGATAGCAACCCGTTGCCCTCCCCACCGGATAATTGGCAAGTCCACAACAACCTTTACATGTGTCTTCAAGACTATAGCGAGCATTTCAATGATGGCTATTCGCAAAGAATGGAGTCGTGGGAGCATGTCCGGAAATGTCTTGAGGAGAACGGATTTGACAAGATGGATAATCGGGACGTCATCTGCAAGGCTGTTTATAATGCTCTAACGGAGTTCATCAGCAAAGCATGGAATACTTCCAATGCTTTGGTCATCGCGAAGGCGCATGGTGACATGCGCTATACTGTCGAGAATGGGGGGTTCAGTAAGAGAGGCAGATCATACATTCCTGCTTCAGAATTCTCGCCGCAGATGTGGTTAGTGAACTTCGATCCAAGGGACAGTATCGAGACCAGAATCGATAAAACGCAACGCGGTGTTAGGGCTATCTTCAAGCTGGCCACAGCGGAAGGCTCCTCTCACACACCACTACAACGGTCCCAGTTTAATACACCGTATTACTTGTCTGAGGGGACGACCATAAAGCTCACGAAGGTGGTTAAGCCTGGCGGCATGGTATCTTTTCAGTCATCACTTTGGGATTGGCGTACGTCACGTATGAGCGAAAATACGAGTCTCAACCTTTTCAACGATGCAGGAGATTATCTCCTCCACATATCGCTAAGACAAGGAGAACACCAGATCGTTCTCAATAGCCGACATGCTAACGGCCAATGGGGCTCTGAGGAGCGAATTCACTTGCGAGACACTTATGTAGCATCGAATTTCAGTATCTCTATTCGTGATCATGGAGATGGATATGAACTCCAGTTCAGTCATCAGCCAGCGACATACTATAAAAAAAGGATTCCTGGGGATATCTCTAGTGTCTCTTACATTGCCGACAGCAGATACTCTCCATTGTCAGAGATACTGCTGGTCTCGGTATTCGACGCCACAGAACAGTTAGCCCAGACAAACCACCTTGCCAACTGTGAGACTCTAGTGAGAGAATATGGAAACCCAAACACGCGTGCTATCACAACCCAGCCTACATTTAAACGGGGCGCCAACTTTGTTGCTGTGCCTGGGAAGAAGAAAAAGAACAGTCTCGGTGAGTAGCTTTCTATTGCCCAAGGTGCGTGGAGACGAATACTAAGACATATATAAGGCTTTGAGTATGCCGAGCACGGCTTCTTGGGAGACGCCATTATCCTGACTCTTTCTGATGGTAAGGCGGTGCAGGGGAAAGACTACAAATTTACTCTCGAAAATGGGCTAAATGTTACTTACGGTGAAATCAATGGTCTCGCAGGTGACTTCTACGGCACCTATGACCCAATTAGTGATGGCCACAACGAAACAGAACGAGCCGCCCGCTTTGTGGATGCATATAACACTCTGGCCGGCCGTTATGCGGGTCAACCCCAAGAAGCACAAGCGATCCTCAAAGTTCTCCAAACCGAGGTTGACGCCGTCAACGCTGCGCTTGCTCACAACGAAGATCCATCGATAGCTTATAGCAAACTCCCTGATGAGACCTGGGAATTCGAGAAAATTACCCTCCTCCGCCCCAAAACAATACCTAGCTATCTCGTACTTGCCAAGAAAAACTTCGACCACTTCGGTGAAGATGCTCGTATCGCGTATAATGCAGGCCATTCGAAAGCTCTTGATGTAGCCATTTCTGGCGATCTTGACAAGGCTTACGCTATGAACGCCTTTGCCGACCACTTCTTGGAAGATTCCTTCTCAGCAGGCCACCTTCGAACTCCACGTCGGTATCTACATTCAGATAATGTGGTTAACGTGAGCCTTGATTCTTGTGCCAAGGTGAGACTGAAACCGGCCATGAGAATATAACATATGCAAGCATAAATAAACTAGATACTAACAATAGTATAGTTCATGCATGACGAAGACAATGCTATTGGCCTCTTGGTTTCGAATCCGGCGGGCGAAACGTGGACGGCTTATGGCGACAAACGCGCCCTAGACAAGGAAAACAAAGAAAACAAGGATCGCTGCATTGCTGCTATACAAAATTCCGCTATTGAGATATACAAAGCATGGGCAACCAAGGTAAAGCCTAGAGACTATAGAGCATGGAATGATGCGCCGACTCTTACATCCGCTCGAGGAAAGCAGCAACTAGCACCTCTCTTCATTGGCGAGCAGCGGCGTGCCGTGATAAAGGATCGCAAAACATGGAATTTCACTAGTAACTGGAACTCCGCCTATACAGCCGCGTATTGCGCCTTATGCGGCTGGTGGGACTACCCAATTACAATCAACGGGCCGTCCAAAGCGCTAAGTGGTAGTGACGTTGCCGCCGTCGCGACAGGCTCGTCGACATGTAATGTCTACCACCAGGATTCCCAAGGGGTAATACGTGAGTATACTTATAACAGTAAATGGAGTGCGACCAACTCGCCGACTTTCAGCGCAAAGTTATCCAGCCCCCTAGCTGTCATCAGCTTCGATGCTGGCAAGCAGGTACGTAAGATACATGATACAATCCTCTTAGCTACCTATACATACCTACCTAGGTAGATAGGTACCTATCTAATATTATATGAACGAGCTAGGTCCGCGTCTACTGCGTCTCAGAAGACGGATATCTTGAAGAGTGGTGCTACTCGACCGAACAGGGCGAATGGCTCGCCGGCTATCTCACCAATTCGAAGTTCCATGTGGCTCATAATACGAGACTTGCCGCCGCGTGCTGGCACGATAATGGGTCGAACATTATCCGGGTCTATGCTCAAGGTACGGCGTTCCCATCATTACTTCCGCGACATGTCTGATAGATGAGTAGAGCCGCACTCGGATCATATTCAGGAATACTGCAGCGGGAATATCTGGACAAAAGGGGCCATACTTCCAGTCGCCCACACCGGGTCCGGTCTAGCTGCGGTGTGCTGGAAGCATAACGGAATTCATCTCCGGATATACTACCAGGCGACCGATATGACCGTAAAAGAACACTGTTGGGATGGGAGTTGGTATGAGGGTAAGTGAATGTATATCCTGTAGGTATTTGCATCGTCTAACTCGAAGATACTACAGGTGAACTCAGCACCGACAAGATGCCACGCCATACTTCAATCGCCGCCGTTGGGTGGTATAAATCTCAACCGCATATACGTGTTTACTTCCAGGATGGCAAGAAGAATATCGTGACGTACAAGTGGAATAATGGATGGCGCTCCGATAGTATAGTTATTGGACCTCTGGGACCTGGGAGGCATACTTCAGCCATCGAATGGGGCAATGGGAGCGATGTGAAGTTGTATCACCAAGCGGACGACGACAAGATCTATGAACACGTCCAATCTAACGACAAGGCTTGGTATCAGGGAGATTTCGTTAGCTCCTAAGCCTCAGGGTAGTGTCGTATCTAGTTGGATGGGTGGCTTTGGGGATTTCCACTCCTTTACATGAATTTGTTTATTATTGAGACTAAAGCTTTTGCTAGGAACAACTGCAACGCTGTCAACTAGCCCTCTGGGCTAGTTACGCTACCATATCTATACACTCATTTGGTCGATAGTTAGAACTTACTCTCCTTAGGTAGTCATATAATTATTACTATCATACTCATACAATACTCCCACTGTTACAGTTACCTTGACATGGCGCTTGTGCCGTAGCCCCTTTACTGGCAAGCCTTGAGACGGCCTACCACGAGCCGTTATGACGGCTATTCAATTAGATACCCCGTACGAACCGTAACGACTCTACCATCAGACAAGGACTTTTTATGTTTTAGCAGGAAAAGCGGCTGGGCATAAGAACTGTCTACCTAGGTAATGAAGTAGGGTTTTTGTATGGATTGACGACAGGAGTTATTATAGCGAGTGCAGTATTGTGGCCTAAGACTACGTGGCCGTTTTTATACCTCATTAAGTACCTTCTAATATTTACCCGTCAGTACAATAGGGGCCGATGCACTAGGGTGTCATGAAAAAGACTAGGTAGGGGTGTTTACAAGACCTTCTGTACTGCGATGATAAAAGAAACCAGTTAATTATACTAAACAAGCATGTAGGTAACTACCTACCTTGGGTAGGTAGCTACCTCTTTTTAATGATCTGTACTAAACTATAAACAAACGCTTCCAAACACCAGCCTCATCGAGGTGTTTACATACCCTATATGAAAAAACAGAAACGCTTCGTCATAACCATGATTGGTCAAACCTATAACCCTTGTTATGATATTTCCACCCAAAATATACCACTATTCATAATAGGCCAGCCAATAAGCTAAGATCACCCCTTATCTTATTTTTAAGAGTAAGGTGTATACTCTACATGAGTTCCCTATTCACGTCCTACCATAGCCTAACTCGCTTTCGTATGATCCTTCTTAGTTTAAATATTATACTCGCTTGAGTAATCAGAATCACTTAAGTAATCATCGCTTTGTTCTTCCTCTTCCATTTCCTGCTGCAGAGCCCACATACGTAGCCACCATATAGGGATAAAGCCCCGCGAATACTTCTTGACATCCAGACCCTTCGCCCAAACCATCCTAGAAAACAACTCGTTTTTCTTCTCAGTGAGCTTGTTCTGGATATTCATTATACTGACTTCTGCGATGGCTATCCGAGGATCTCCTCGCGGCAAGTTATTAACAAAGTCGCGGTAGACCAGAAACAGCGTCTCGGCATCTTTCTCTAGTTGGTAATATTTCTCGCACGAGAGAAACAGCGCGGTCGCAAACTCGAATAACTTCTCCCTGTTTTGCCGGAAGTAAGGAAACGAGATCTTCTCGAGTTCCTTTACGCCCTCGTGCCAAGTTGCCGGGCAACACATAGGGTAAGACTCGGGGTGGCCGAAGTATTCTAGGCGTTTGTGCCGGTGCTCTTGTATGAAATACGGACAGTCCTCGGGTTCAGGCTCGAAGTCATCTTCCGAAGATGAAGTTGTATCTAATAACTCATTGACGAACTCAGAGCAGTAATGAACCTTATGGAAAACTCGGCAACAACTATGGTATTCGCACGTTGGAAAAGGGTTGTTAAGGAGCCACTGCTCCGGCAGTGGGGTATCTATCTCACACTGATGAAAGACTGTATGCAGAGGGTTAGCGTAAACAGTGTGGCCTTCATGATCGAGACTGGTTATCATGAGTTGTCGCACATCATGATGCATGTGATGGGTAACGGTCTTCCGGCACATCTTATTCAAGTATTTCCTAGATTAGTTATTTAGACAGCTGAGTTGATTTCCTGAAATCAGTGGCACCAAAGTAAATATACCGCTCTCAGAGTAGTTATATCAAGACCGGCTTGATACTGGTGCTGAATAGTGTGCTGTCTAAACAGGTAGGGACTCGTAGACTGTTCAACTTGAATATTTCTCACCTAAGTTATCCAAATATATGGGTATATCTACCTATACAGTGAGAAATATACAAGAGACCGGACTCGGGCGTTCGCAGAATGAAAATGTGTGAAAACTAGATACTCCATGCGCCAATGGTGAATTCATTAGACTTTAACCTGAGCTTTTGCATAATGAAATTCAGACTCATAGTTTAATCACAATGGCCCTCTACTTAGGAATTGTTCTTAAAATAGTGCATGTCTTGTTGTTTTACAAAGTCCATTGTTGATTTCATAGTGAAATTTGAAATGGGGGTTTCACAATAAGGTGCACTTCAGCCTCCAGTGCAATCATTCCGGCCTAATTAGCACCAGTACTACTAGCATCTATGTTCCGAGATATGAAAAGGAGATCCTAGGTCAAATTATAACGATCCAGCTTTCTAGTCGGAAGAAACTGATGGGAATAGTACCATTTGAGGCACAGCTAGAGGTAAGGGAAGTATCTATCTAGAGCTTTACAGCAAGTCAAATGCATTGCATTGTTTCAATAGCCCACTTATACATATACTAGGCAAGATACTACAAAGACGGAATAAAGGATAAAGGTAGAGGTAACAGATATTATGAATAATACAAGTGTTAACTGAACACAAAGAAATAGACACTAGAATCTATGTTTAATACTACATAACCACCATCAAGTTCAGGTCGACTTAGCAAGGGCTGATACTGGCAGCACTCGCAGCATCCTTCGGGATAGCGCCGGCAGCAACAGCAGACTGATAGCACCACCGCCACTCGTCCATGCCACCGATCCAGTTGCACTTCCACGTCCAGAACACCCAGCCGCCAGACTTCTCGAACGTCTGCGCCTGTGCGGCCCAGAACTGCTTGTACCACTCCACTTGATCGGGCCTGTTGTCGATCTGGAACTCGTCGTTGGACTGGACTGAGTCGGCGACGGAAATGGACCATTCGCCCACGATAACGTCGCTTCCGCCGCGATTGTCGTTGCACGCGGCGGAGATGTAACCATCTTTCGTCGTCTCCACTGAGCCGTCCCACTTGTAATACTTGTGGTCGTCGAAAAGCGCGAAGGTGGTGTCGGGAATATTGCTGGTAGGGTCACCTGAGCCCCATGATTTATCCTGTGGTGGATGTTAGCGTGTATGAGGTACGTGAGTGGAAGTCAGTTGGAACTATACCATCATCTGGATGTGTAGGCGGTCATCTGCCCCTACTTTTAACTGATCCTCGCGGCTGCGGATGCGATCCCATGCGTTAGGGTAGTAATTCGCAATCATGTCTGCAGCCTCGGAGCCGTAGTCTCCAGCGTGGACTGGCTCGTTCATGACCTCTAAGGTACCGACGGTGCGGTAACTGTCGTTGGTGTGGATTCTTTCCGTTATCCATTCAAGGAACTTGAATGCGCGCTCGTAATTGTCCTGGTTATAAAATCCGGGGTAGTCTACACCGTGGCCAGTGTACTGCTGATTGGGGAATTGGGCTCCGGGTCCTCCATGTAGATCCATGATCACGTAGATCCCAGCGTCGGCGCACCAGCCAACGAGCCGATCGAGATATTCGAGACCACCACGTGGGAAATGTTCCCCTTCGTTAACAAGATCTTCGCGGATCCAAAACCCAACCGGGATGCGCACGGTATTTAAACCCAGGCTCTTGATCTGCGTGATGTCGTCCTGGGTAGTCCATGTATCCCAGTGCTTCTTGAAAGCTGCATCAGCAGCGTCTTGTCCTAGTGCTTCTACACATTTCCATTCGTCGTTGGCATTTCCACAGCCCACTAGAAGATTGTATATTAGTTATGGATATACAGAGCATACAGGACGAGAGAACTCTTGAGTGCACTATCACAATGAAAGTACCTAGGTAGCTAGTGTCAATCAAAGTCACTTACTGCTAGACCACTGGTCATGGGCCATCCAGGGCTCGATAATGAACTGCGATCCGAGGTTAACACCGCGAATTTTATCGGCGCCTGAAATCCATCGCTTGTTAAGTCGCGTAGACTCGCTGGGCGACTCAAGTGCTATGGACATGTTAGTAGGATTGCAATGCATTAACCAAATTATCACTTACGTATACCGTTGGCAATCTCAATACTAGCTAGAGCTAGGATGGTTGATGAGACTGATTTGAACAACATTTTGATAAGTTAATGTTTAAACCGCAGATAAGGCCTGCCTTCAGATGGTGTATAAAGAGAAGGGTAGGCAAGTCTTGTTGAAAACATCGCTGAAGTCCGTGGATCGGCTTCGACGTTGATCTTTTAAAGAGTTTAGAAGCACAAGATGAGGTAGTCATGTAGGTATACATCAAGTACAATATGATTCTTCCAATTTACTTCATGCGGCGATCATAACATTCTAAGATCTATGCTGACATCAGCCATATCAGCCATATCAGCCAAGCTCCTGAATCTCAAATGAAAGGGCCGCCATCACACGAAGTACATAACTTCGTTTAAATCGACACAATTCTAATGTTGCGGGCGCACTTAATCATAAATATTTCATAGCTACGGTCAAACCAGGAATATAGGATCAGATAGTGGGTATAAAAAGCAATTAACGCTATGCAGGAGACGCGATGGCTGATGCAGAACCGATGACAAAGATTCTATTTTTGTCGATCGTTGTTGTGTGCCGGTTTCGTTAGTCCGAGCTACCTGCTTAATTGAGATGAATCGTAGACTTAATAGTAAGCTCGAATTAAGCTGATCTTTACTCGTCGGCTGAGAAGTTTCAGTTATCTATCTTGCCAACTAAACTGTACTACCTAGATATATGCTATATATATAATATATATATAATACTCGTACCGCGATAGTTAAAACAGGATATCTAGTAGAAAAATATAGAGACCAGATAAGTCCCTAACCTTAAGTACCTATGTAAGGTATGCAGATTTTAACTACGGCGAAGTTCTTTCTTGGTAAGCCATAAACTTCAGGGGTCCCCTGAATCCCATTGTCGATCCGATTGGCCATCTGATTAAATGTGGTAATAACTTTAAAGCTAAGTCTATTTTTGAATCGTCGCATAGGATCGTCATTGTGCCGAATACAAGTATTTCATCCTTCCTTATTAAGGAAAAGACTTCGTATCGCGGTACTCCATTTTATGAGCTGTTCTAAAGCTAACTCAGAAGACTTCTGGAAATCTTGAGAGTTACCTAGGTACCTAGGTAGTTATGTAACTTCGCATCATCAATCTAGTTAGCCTTAGTTGATACTATGTTTTGTTATGGTTAGAGGACTAGGGTTTTGGTAAAGTTCACTAGTATAAAGTGAGCCCTGGCAGCCTATTTCTCACAATAGCTTCATCTCTATCAATCATCAATACATCATACGTTCCACCCAAGTACTTAGTATTTGAACCGTAATATATATATGTGATAGTATAGTATATACTAGTCATAAACGGAATAGATAGCTACTGGTATAGTCAAGATTGGCTCGTATATTTGGTATCCTATCTATGGATAGCTATAACCGCAGCTATATATTGTACCAGGGCATTAATGATCGCATGTCCCTAGATTGGGTCCTCGAATACCATAAATATAGTCTCATCACTAGCAAGTGAGAACCGGCGGGCCGGGAATCTTGTACTGTTGACCGCCCATGTATGGGTTTCCATTATTATCGTAGATGTTTACCTGAATACCGGGGTCGGTCGATTTGTATGCTCCAGGGAAGCTCACAAAGTTCGAACCGGCATTGGTTCCAGAGCCAGTAACACGGATCCTACCCCTCATTAGAAATCTAACCATAACATAAGATATAGGAGAAGGGCTTGTCTTACTGAGCGCATTCCATATAAAACTGAGCTTGTCCTGACAACTGCGCACCGTGGAGTGCGATCAACTCGACTCGCATAAGGTAGTCACCCGGCGCAACACATGTAGGCAACGTGAAGTAGTGCCATCCGTTATTAGCGATCATCTTGTCGACTGCCCACTGTCCGTTGCTCAAACCATCTTCAGCAACCTTAAACCACTTAAGACCGGTCGGTTGTGCAGTAGCAGCGTTGTCTACCTTAGCGAGGTAGACAATGATTGGTCCTAGTAATATGAGATCTGATTAATAGACGAAACCGACAAAGACGTATTAATGCTAAGACATACCTTTGTGACTCTTCGCGATGGGGTTATCGGCGTCGTTGGCTGATTGTGCTCCTCCGATGACATGACCCCACCAAGCTCCGACTTTTGCTCCACTCGGAACGGTGATGACGGTGCTGTCGAGATGTTTAAGGTCCTTGTTGCAAGCAAATGAGCCATCGTTGACATTTTGGATAGGATAGTCACTATCTGGTGCGCGAACACCCTTTAGCTGACCCTGATCAGCTCCATTGACAGACACCTTCTGAAAGATGGTATGGCCAGAGGCCAGAGCTGTAAGACCGAGAATAATCGATTGCACCTTCATAGTTGCGCTGGTTCACGTTTGAAGCAACTAAGACGAAATCATCGAGGCAATAGTTCTCGTATGTGATCTGGGAGTCTTCCACTCACTTATAGGCGCAACGCTACAACACCAATAAGGGAGGGCGGCGCTTACAGATCCGTGGCAATATAGGCAAATTAAGCGGCCAGTAGAACAATAGCTTCACTCTAAACGGAAGCACATAACGCCGTACTTCATTCTCTATGGGGTCGGTAATTGATGATATATTTCTGCTCTGCAAATTCAGTCTTGAAGAATATAACAGGTAGATAGACTCTTCTTGGAGATCATATACAGGAGGCAACCCCCCGGGCTGCACAATAGCCCGAGTTTACGTAACAACCCTTACGTAATCGCCTGGCTATACCATAGCCCCGAAGTTATCCCGGCCACACTTTCCTAGGCCCCGGGTTCGATTCCTCAACCTCGCACCTTTATTTATTTTTTAATTAACGCATGACTCAACAGGCAAAGTCAGCGGCGCTTCGCGCCGCTGCCTTTGCCTCCATCGAAAGCGAAAGCGAAAGCGTAAGCGAAAGTCTATCCCTTTTGTTTTTGGTGGCCTATCGCTAGGTCATGTGGTTAGGTCACGTGCGGCTACGTATGTGGCTACGTATGTGGCTACGTATGTGGCTACGTATGTGGTCACGTGGCGTTATCTTATCAAAGTCGGACCCACATTCAAATGATGCACCCAATCAAAGCTATTTTAGCCTTTGGAGCTGGTTTCGACGAAAATGCCAAGCCATGCCCCACATATACAGGTCGTGCACCCAATCAAATCGCTTAAAAAGTGATGCACGTGCCAGATACTGCCCATTGAGTTACTTTCCTATTTGGGCCATGGAAAAAATTCGACACAATAACCCCTCGTAAACTCGGGCACAATGCCTGCATGGTTAATAATAATGGCATAGGGCTTCAAACCGAGCTTCTACTACATCTTTAGGGCTTTTTCTAAGTTATGGAACAAAATGACGTAATGAGATTATATTGTCATATAACAAATATGCTAAAGATTGAATCATGCTGTCCTTGTTTTTAAAACTTATGGCTGCATTGTGACTCTCGAATATGTGTTCACCTTATACAGAGGAAGGAAAAAGGAGGGAAAGATTTAGACAAGTTTTGTTGATGACAAGGTTGCCTTGGGTAAATCAGGAGGAGGCACCTGCGGTGGATACCGTGCGGGAAGTTAACCGAAGTTGTCCCGATTAGTCTAACCCTAACTAAATAAAGCCTAGCGCTGAAATGGTCCAAATGCGGTGTGCAGAATTATGTAATAATCGCCGGGTGCCACGAGTTAATCGAATTTATCGCATCGGATTCCAAAGCGCGAACCGTCCCAACTTACTTCTTCAATCCTAACCTTACTTCCTTCAACACCTAGTTGGAATTGGAGAATATCAATTTTGCCCAAGATGTATAGAAACTCCTATAACCAGTCACCATCGTCTAACCCTCCCCCTCCCCCTCCCCCGGGTTATGACAGCTACGATCGACCGCCGCAGTCTCCGTACTCGCGCACCGATGAGCCGCCTCGATCATGGAACGGCTATCCGCAAGAGCGTCGCGATAATTATCAGTTCCAAGGTCCCTACTCCGATTTACGTCGCAATCGCCCCGATGATCGCCGCCGAGCTGATGGGGAATATCGCGACCACCATCGCGACAGCGATAATTACCGCCCTCCTCAAGGTGACTTCACCTTTCGCGTAGAACGCCCTGCCGGTATCGACTCGTATGTACCATCGGACCGAGAGCAACGAGCTCCTAGAGAGTATGGCTCATACCGCCCCCAACAACGGGCTTACAGTACTCACCATGAACATAGTTCCGGCGACGGACGAAACGTACCCCATCAACCGCGTCGCGATGAAAATGGAAGATCAACCGGCCGCGATGGCCGCCCACGCCGTAATGACGATCGCAGACGCTACCAACCTTATCGAGACACGCGAAATCGCACTCAGGCTAGACAAAATGGTTCCTACAAGCCAACAATACCGGCGACGCGGTTACTCTTGCTTAAGAAGCATGATGATAACCCGGAATTAATGTTGGGCGATATAGCCGGTCGAGCTACTTATAGAGATGTTGATGAACTGTCAGATAGTGACGAGGCAGAGATGGATATTTCGGATAACTCCGATTCAGATGTAGCCGAACCCTCAGCCAAGCGAATGCGAACGTCCGAGACAAATGCTACAAAGCTAGAACAGGATGCGCCGAGATGGTCTAACCCCGACCCATACACCGCGCTGCCTCCCCCCGATGAGAGTACACGCAAAAAGAAAGACATGGTACAGCTGATCCGCAAAGCACGCGTAGAAGCGGAAGCAAAGCAGCCTGCAGCGCCCGTGGAGGGGTTGGATTTTATTTCTTGCGATTTCAGTGACAACGAAGGTGAAGGTAAGGCAACTGCGGACAGTAGGGATGGTACGAATAGACAGTCGCAATCGTTAACCGGCAAATAGGTGCCAACCGTCGCGAGGCAACGTCAACAGTCCCGGCAACTTATTCACACAACCTTCCTACTGACGAAATTCGAATTCAACGCACAGAGACCCAAACCATCAAACCTAATACCAAAGGCACTAGCAATAACCCTATTGACCTAACAGCTTCCACATCGCTCGGTACTCGCAAACGCACTTTTGACGATACAATCAAGTTGCCTCATACGACTTTGAAGGTTTCAATGAAGTTTAGCGGCGGTGGAAACGTCCTGCCAGCATGGCAACCCAAAGATGACAATCCATGTCCTTGGGCTATAACTGATCATTCGACAACGCCGTCTATGGCTACGCGGTAAGTGTGCCCTTTCTTCTTCGAGGATCCATACTTACTTGTTTTAGGTTGCATAAGGAGATTGTTGATTTCTACCTGTATGTTCGTCCTCGCGACTTTGAAGAGCGTGTCCGCAACGAGATGCTCAATAATCTCCGGGCTGTGGTTAAGAAGAAGTGGACCGATGCTGAGGTCTATCCGTTCGGCTCCTTCATGTCTGGTCTCTATCTACCTACTGCAGATATGGATGTCGCCATTTGTTCCAACACGTTCATCAATCGTGGCATTCCGCGATACGACAAGAAGAAGGATCTATGGGCCTTCAAATCACACCTCATATATCACGGAATTCCCTACAAGAACGACGTTGAAGTGATCGCAAAGGCGAAAGTCCCACTAGTGAAATTTACCGACCGCGAAACCGGCCTAAAGGTTGACATCTCGTTTGAGAAGATGAATGGTCATCAAGCCATCAAGACATTTTTAGACTGGAAAGAGAAGTACCCAGTGATGCCAATCCTCGTTGCCGTCATTAAGCATTTTCTGCTCATGAGAGGACTCAACGAGCCTGTTAATGGTGGCATCGGAGGCTTCTCCGTTATCTGCATGGTTGTCAACTTACTCAATCAGATGCCACAGGTTCAAAGCCGTTCTATGAAACCCGAGCATCATCTTGGAGAGCTGCTGATGGAATTCCTGGATTACTATGGTAACCATTTCCAGTACAGCACGGTCGCGATTCGCATGAACCCTCCCGGTCTCGTTTCCAAGGTGAGTTCTCCAAAATCTTCCTTGTGATTCATACTAATTATGTATACTTAGAGCAAAGTAAGCAACGTCGTTTATCGCAACCTAGATCGATTGTCTATTCTCGATCCCAACAACCCCGAAAATGACATTGCGGGCGGGTCTAAGAATACTCCAACTATCCTAGCCCAGTTCTCGAAAGCTCATTCGACCATCCGAGCACGTATGGCTGAGCTTGCAAAGGGAACCAAGACTGTAGGCGTCAGTAACACAATCCTCGAGCCATTGTTTGCGGGCAATTATTCTATCTTCCAGGTCCAAAGAGACTATTTAGAACGCCTAGCAGCACAAGGGATCCCCAACTACCAAACTCGGGAACACGACTCTAGTGACGTTATCTGGTAATCTAGTGGTACGATGCCAAACTGACCAGTGCCCTGGAGCCCCATTACAGGAATTGCAGGATGCTGCTCGTGGCGGTAGGCATTCTGGACAATCCTTGATGACAATCATGTGGTTATGAGACCTATTATTAGTGTTTGGTTCGAGGCGGCTAGATATGTTAGAGAGTGCACCGACACCGGAATCTCCTTAGGTATCATTAAGGTCCATGGACATACGGCGTTCCGGAAAACGGCCAAGTGCACAGATACCGTTTGTTTCTCTTGCTTTTAACCACTTAGGTGCTCGACAGGAGTCATCCATTCCGCCGAGGATGGCACAATGTATTTTAGGAGCCGAATGCTTGGCCGACACGTTCCCATGTCGTTGCCGAGCCTCGCTCTGCAGTCTTGTCGTACCCCCCTTGCTCCATTATGCCGGCCAGCTTAGATGGCCTTTAGCCAAGTGGCAAGGGAAAATTCAGATTCACATTTTTACTCTTTCTTTATCTGATACTCTGATACTGTCTCCAGTGGAGAGCTTGATGTGACTGACCCGGATAACCTATCTTGCTTGCTAACTGGGAATAGTATTAAACCAATTCTATCTCAGGATAGATTTATCACTCCGATAGCTGAGGCTATTTCTTGCTAACGGTTCACAGATGACATGCTTGATTGAAAACGCATACACTTCTCATTCAACCGAGTCGTGGTAAGCCAGGTCGGGTGGGTTGATATTGCTTCTAGCGCGTCAACTTCCCTCATTTTCTCACCTCGCACTGGGCTTTATGCCGGGTCGCGGAGAGGATGTCGCTTAAGACTCGATTTCAGGCACACATTACCACTTCTCACCGCCGAAATCATAACCCAGCAAGCTATGAGGGAAATGGAAGACAATAGCTGATGCTTCGTGGTGGCAATTTAAGGGAGTAAAAGATACGTCAATATCTTGCTTTTTTTTAGGTTGCTAAGACGTCGACGGTTAGAGCAGGTAACTCAGCTACAGAATGCGGTGCAATATCGACGTAGGATGGGTATCGCTATCATATATATTTTCATACTCTGAAAAGGGGCAATAGGCTATGCTGCACAGAGTAGAGCTATTACATTGGGTAAGATGGAAACATCCAGGTTGCTCTTCTTCCCCAGCAGCAATGCCTAACGAGATGGGGAAGGCCAAGGGTGCTACCTTCAAGTCGTTCGTATTATAATAATAACATGATTACTACCTATTTAAAATGCAATGGATACACCACAACTTGCGTCTGAATAATTATAGAATACCCATATATCCAGGTTGATCAGCTCTTGGGTATCATCTCAGAGTGTCAACCTTGCCCCATTACATTACATGAATGGTCATCATGCATCCAAGTGCTACACCATCTAATACATTGTATCCTTTCCCCATACAGCCCTAAATTTGAGCACCCACCAGGCAGACGGCCCAATACTTTACCACCACATCCTAGCTCGGACGTACCAGAAAATCCATACCATCGATAAATACCATCATTTGTAGTTGATGTATATACAGTATTAGTCTCGTTATTCACTATGGGATATATTGTTAGCGATATACCTAAGCATCTTTGAGTAACTAAATTTATCTAATTTAGTAAGCTGTTTTACTCACTCTTTATCTGCCAAAACTCTGGCTTTAATCCTACACTTGCATGCTTAATCCAGCCAGTGCAGTCGTTGGACTCGAACTCAATCGCTAGGAAGTCCTTCGATGCGTGGCACCAGGACGCTAACAATGGAACGGCTATCATTAAAGGCCTCATAATCTCCTATTTGACTGTATTTAGGCTCAGCTCCGGGTGAGAGTATTGTGAGTAAATGCTGAACTATTGGAAGACTGTTGAAAATAGCAGTAATGAACTTGCCGAGATCTTAAAATAAACATATAATTATAATATAATATAGTCATCAATTATCGCTACTAAGTAAGCTCTGTTAACTTCGGTACGCATGCTAAATAACGTATTTTAACAAAGGAGGTCTCGACGTCAATATAAAGCGGCTAGGTGAAAGGAAATACGTAACTCTTTTGTTTAACCCTCTTAAAACAATATTAGTAAATACCTACTTATTAACTTAAGGTACATCCTAGAAGCTATCCACGTGTTATCCTTTATTAGACGCCAATGCTCATCTATTGTCTTAGCCACAGGAAGCACGTTTACGGGGTCATGATGCTACTTCTATAAATAGCATCAATTGTAATAAATCCATTCTTCCTCATCACCTTCATGTATCCTCAGCGACCCTTCCCAGTCCCCCTTTATTGTCAACTTCTCGAAATCCGGATGCTTGTAATAGAAAGGTACACCCAACCTAATTTTCAGATTCGCGCCCGCCATTCTCGCCGCATTGTTCAACTGAGCAGGCATATTCCATTGGACAACGTGCTTATGAATATAATCAATTTCAACAAATTCATCTTTCGTATTTTCTGGCCTCTCATAGAGCGTGATGGCCAGCGGCGGGGCTGTTCTACCACGATTTGGATGGACAAGACCAAGTAAGAAGTCGATCCCGTGCCATTCGATCCTCTCCTCCCAAAAACTATCAAAACTCTGAGGCTCGTAGAACGACAGTAGCTCGTCCACCGTCCAAAATATGCCTTGAGTATAAAAATCCATGTGCAGCGACTCTAGCCGTGGAGGCAGCACTTTCCAAACCTTCTCAGCCCATGGACACTGCGCCGCAGTTACGATGTGCCCAAATATGAGTTCTGGGCTAAGAGTGAGGCTAGAAAGGTTTGTGAGGCTTGATAGATCGATCGCAGGCCCAGTATCGAACATAATCTCAGGGAAATCAAAGAATTTACGAGTAGTTAGTTTCAGATTCCTGAGACTGGCAGCTAAAGATGATATGGTATAAGTTGATACATTCGTGCACTTTTCAGAATATTATAATAAACTTACCTGCTCAATTATATTTGGACGAAAGAAGTCGTGGGATCTAGTTGACCTTTCGGGAGATATTAACCAAACATTTCCACTCTAATCGCTTTGAGGCTCAATTAACAGTGACAACCCCAACTCCCTCATAACCAAGAAATTTATCTTTGCACTGGTTTAAGATTTGCGTCGAAAGTTTCTATATCAACTTGACGCTAATCGAATAGTCAATCAAGCTCAAGAACTTAGTGTCATGTGCCTAACTAATTCCCACGTCATCACATATCCGGGTATAATTCCCCCGGTCGGGCATTCAACATCATCTCCAAATCAGAAAAAGCTCATTGTATTTGAAGTATCAAGTTGCGAGATAATTTGGATACTAAACATATTTTCAATATTGTAATTTATTTATACCTATTTTAATTGCATATGCCGACAGAATGATACTATCTGCTCCTGGATTTATCGCCCGGCTTCACGCTCTGGTTCTTGACACCACGCCGCGACCAGGTCTTCATCCCATACCAGGAAGCCAACCTCTCACGTTCAGCGCAGCGGTAATGCCGCCGCTGACTTACTATGTCGCTCTCCTTCTCCTTGCCCCACCGCCTCCTCCAGTTATCGACTCCGTATATATCAAAATAATTCGCAATATACTTGCTTTAATTTCCGGGGTCCTCTTCTTCCGTTTGCCACTCGCATACCATGCCCCTCAGAGCATCGGGCTTACTTATCAACTTGGCCTCGTCGGCCTTTATGGCGGATGTAGAGTGATAGACGCCTTTTTTATAAGCCCCTATTTCTTCAAACACATTCCCCGGCGAGTTAAGTACGTACATAAGCTACGAGCTGAAATATCTGCGCCCGCAGAGGCTACCATAGCGAGAGCATGGTCCGATGGAGGAGTCAGGGAGCCATACTCGCATAAGGGGAGAGCCATGGCTAGCGATGAAATTATGGTCAGCAAATCGACGCAAGTCGAGGTTGTCCCAAACCGCAGCTCTACGCAAACCAGCGAAGGAAGGCGTTCAAGCTTTCCCATCGGTATCGGCCACGCAGCCCGCAGGGTGTCGAATTCCATCCCTGACGCGGCCTGCGACTCTTATTACGCCGTGCAGCGTACGCTGCACGGGCCGGATCCACAACCTGTCCTCGAAACGGCGACAACTGAGTGCGGCTGGCCGCAAACTCTCCGCGACCGCGCCTCCTGGGCCCTCGAGCTCGAGCTAAGCATGCGTGGAGTCGGCTTCACATGGACGACGGCCGATGTGCGGCACACGCGCAAGACTTGGCTGCCTACGGTCGGCAGCCGTGTCCACAGCATCCTCGTGCACACCACCCCAGTCTTATTAGTGAGTTGGGTCATCATCAGGGCTACATATCTACGGTATCTTGCTACATCTATAGACCTGGCATCGTCAGGCAGTGAGGAAAGACAATCTCGCGAGCTTTTCGACGAAGCGCTACCGCTACCAGTACAGTGTCTACTTACGTGTGCTTTAGGCGCATTTCTTATGGCAGCATTCTCATTAGGCCATTCGCTTTTTGCAATAATGCTCAGCCCGCTTGCGCCTAGTCCCCTGGCTTTCTTCCCACCGCTATATAGTACTAGGATTTGGGATATCACCTCGGTGCGCAAGTTCTGGTCTTACGGATGGCATCGGCTATTTGCGCGCTTGTTTCTTGTATATGGCGTCTGGCCTGGGGAGTGGCTCGAGAGAAAACTAATGGAGAAGCGCGATGAGGATCCTGCTGATGTAGGTAAAGTCCTAGGCGGGTTTCTTTCCAGTGCCTTTGTTCACTCCTTCTCCGTGAGAGGAGTTTTGGGTGGCGATTGGTATAGCGCCGCAGGTGAAGCTAAGTTCTTTGCATTAAACGGTCTCGCTGTTGTGGTTGAAGGTGCAGTATCGAGAGCTGTGAGGAGAGCAAGAAATAAAAGGGGCTTAAAAGAGGTTATGTGGTATGATGGATGGATTGGGCGGATATGGTGGCTTATAGTTCTGTTAAGTTTAGGAAGCAACTTCGCAAGGGGTTGGGTTAAGTCGGGCTTGGTAAGGGAGATTGCAGGCCAATAGTCGTCTATTAGAATTATTGAAATTTATCTATTACGAAGGTAAAACCGAAAGGTGTTATTTACCTACCTCCTAGGTAACTAGTTTACCATATCTCTTTACTGTAACAGACTACATTCAACAAGTTCTTAATATGTCCTTCTTTGGGAACCCAACACTCGACGCTTGGTCGGTCGGCGTTGTCTATGGTTTAGTTGCTCATTATGGAATCTTCATAAAAGGCGAATAGCATATACAAGCACCTCGAATTATCGTGGGTCATTTATGGATCCTTTTTGTCCTGACTCTGATAAGCTACATAACTCAAGGCCGTGGATTCGGAAAAGTTTCCGACGTGCTTCTCTTGATGTCTTCTGGTTACCTTCCGGGATTATTGTTCAGTATCATTATTTACCGTTTCTTCTTTCACCAACTCACCCAGACCGCCTTCCCGGGGCCCTGGTATGCACGCATCACGAAACTATGGCATGTCTGGGCATACCGCGATTCCAGAAATCATGTAGTGCTTGACGGGCTGCAAAAGAAGTACGGCGACTTCGTCCGAACAGGTAAGTAACATGAACATTGAAAATTAATGATACAAAACTGATGAGTACCTCCTAATCTATGTAGGGCCTAGCGAGCTCACCATATTCCGGCCAGAGATTTTTATGGCACTGGATGGCCCCCATTCTGAATGCATGAAGTCAGATGTAAGGTCTACCTCACTGTTTTCTTTTCTAACTTTTGAGCTAACGAGGTCTAAAGTGGTATGATATTTTGATACCTAGTCTGGCCCTTGTTACAGCGAGAGACAAAGGGACACATGCTGTCCGCCGACGGCAGTGGTATCGTGCATTTTCCACTAAAGGTCAGTCGCGTGCCTATCCCACAAATTGCAGGCCATGGTATGCGTCTCTGATGCTGAACTCTGCTAACTGTAGTATCATACTTGACTTCTTCCAGCCCTCCAGCTCATGATTTTCTAATATTTCAACGCAATGTGCACTATAAAAATCAACTATCTTGTTTATTTACCGCTTTTACTAACGTTACGGTACCAGGACTTCAATTTACCCAAGTTCATCACTGCAACTCCGACCTAGTATAGAATCGACTTGAAGCCATCTGACCGTCCAAGCAAGGGCAGGGAATAGAGACCAAGCAGCCAAAGACACCATAATTGCCAGCTTCGGTAGTCGTCTTTCTGATTCCTCATCTTTAGCACCCGCCATGTAACCACGGCGGCGGGAATTCCTGGTACAGCGCAGGACCATGCCGAAAGGTCCCACAGTATGGAACAAACGCAAGTCCAGAAATTTACGAAGAAAGCAATTGACCATCTAGATATTTCTTCCCCAAGAAACAAGACCACTGTTTTCCGTCCCCGAAGGCGATCTCCAGCCTGATCTTTCAAGTCCTGGATTTGCATGGTGGTCAATATAACACCACTGATAATACATGCCCAAACCATACCGTTCCAATTAATGCTGGTTTTGTTTCCAAGGGCAATCTGTAGCGAGCCGCTATTAAACATGCCATAGCCGACGGATATCAGTATCTCGCGGACGAAAGCCTCGTCCATCCCCCTCAGGTCGTTATAAAGCCAGGTGGTGATGTGGATAACTACCCCTTGTTCCCATACTCCGAGGTAATAGTTGAACCAGAGGGTGAGAGGTATCGAAACAAGCATCACGCGGCGAGTCTGGTCGCTGGTGATTCTGTTGGTAGGAATTGGCCGCCAAGGTTTATTTATGCGGTCTTCAGCAACGGATTCAGGAGCTCGTTGATTTGCAAGATCAAACGAGAGCACGTTGCTCCAGTTGTAGGCAACAACTATTGAGAACCGCTGGAGTACTTCTAATCCAGATGGTTGAACCCCTTTTGAGAGGGAAGTTGCAACGGCCCCGAGTATCCCAAAAGCCGTATTTGGGATAACAAAAGTAGCAAAATTACTTTCAGTAAAAGCCCAAATGAGCTTCGGGATTTGAAAAGCCCCCTGTGAGGATTTCAGGTTTGTAATGGGTATCATGATTGTTGTGGGCTTATGAATAGTCGTATATTGGGGGCTCTGAACTGACTGCGACACGGAAATTGTTGGCACTTCCGACTATCATGCCAAACTAGGAACGAGACAAGGTAACAGTGTAAGTTATATTTGGAGTGATGTTAATGTATGATGCAATACAAATATTTCGAGCGATAAGAGTGTATGAGTACTACCTACGTAGAAGTAGATCAGAATCTGGTAAAGGTTTAGTAGAATAGTATTGTTAAACATAAGCTATATTTTAGTTGGCATCCGAGTTTAGTCTCTGAAGATTGCTGAAAGATACGATATATGAGCTGTAGTTGTATATTGACTTAATCTACCAACTGTATGAGTGAGGAGGGAGGTCCTTCTTATATATACATTCCATGCCAAGATACCATGTACTGTACCTGAAAGTAGTCCCTTGACCACTCATTTCAACAAAGATAAGACTGAGCGCTGAGGAGCCCCCGAGTCTGTTTGTTGCCGAGTACCGCCCCTTCGTTTGCATCATTCATCACAGGTGATAATGCAGCCTGCCATATTCCTCCGTGTATTTGATCCAAGGTTAAGCGGCTGAGAACTTATACATCAGTTCACACTGTCAACTTTGCACTTTGAAGTGGTGCCAATATATTAAATCTGCATAATTTGATTAGTCCACGTTATCTACCTGCCTATAAGCAGTACATCCGCCACAGCATTAATGCACTCATCCAAACACATCATAATCTTGTCTTAAAAGCCTAAGCAGCCTACTACATACAAATGCAAACGCGCGATAGAAGAATTTTGCGAAGCCACGGCAAGCAACCCGGCAGAAACGTTACTTGACCCATAAAAGTTGTTGAATGATAGGTTATAGGTTTATATAAGCTCATTGTCAAGATACGGTAAATAGAACTACTGTTACACAGAGGAGAATAGACATTTTTACATTTCCCAAAGTATGATTAATAGGTAGGTAGGTGTCAGAAGGAACCCTTGATGTATGTCATACGTAGAGTGAATATTAGAAGCAGCAGCGAAGCTGCTGTATAGTAGCCGTGTAGTAGTATGAATCTATTAACGCTTAACCTTCTATCCTTTTGCGACGGCGCTGCGCGCCCCTTACATATCTATCCTATGTAGATATATGCCTAATTCATACTAGTTTCACTTATACCCTGACAGTAGGTATGATTCAAGTTGAGATCAAAGTTACCAAAAATATGATTAGATCGCCCAAAGTTACAATGGCGAATGGCGAACACTCTACCTCTCGCCCCTCTAGAAAAGGTCCAGGCTGTATCATAGGTATGTCTTACTCTTACCGGTGACGGGGAGAATCGGAAATGCAACGCTGTAAAGCGGCGAATGGGCTTTTATTTTTGGTGACTTAAATAAACTTAACCTACACGTCGCTACACAAGAAATGAAGATGGGTGTGTATCTTAATAACGCCATGCATAAAGGTTGAGGCATTTTCAGGGAAGTATGAAAATATTCAATCCAAAAGAGTGCTTTGCATAAGCCATACTCGAGAGAGGACATCCTTCCCGAGCAAGGCTCATCTATGATAGTCAAATATTGTTTACAATGTAGACGAGTAACATAGGCTCTACCATTCCCAATGTAAATTATGCCTGTAAAAATACCTACCTCCACATAAGGACGACTGTAGAAACTAGGTTCCTAAAGCCGAGATTTTGAGACCACCGGGGCATAGGCGCTGGAAGACGCCTTCAGGATCGTATTTTGACGCCGCCTCTCGGACCCTGAGAACATTCTCTGGACCGTAACTCTGTAGAACCTCCTGACTGGAATGAGCGTAATTGAGGTACACCCACGGCATAACACCGCCCTCGATGTTGTTATAGCCGTGGCCGGTATTAATCCGTCCAGTGCTTTTGCTGACGTCAAAGACATGGACATCAATGCCTTGCGTGACATCTTTGATGTCAACACATTCGCCTTCGTGAGACTTTTCAATGCCGTGTACCCGCTGCTCAAAGCATCAGCCAGCCCTCCAAAATTGCTAGCCATCAGCTCCAACGCTAGCCAGATTGTCGAGATGGAGCCTACTATCCCCGTAAAGGTTGGCGTCTATGGTGCCAGTAAGGCAGCTCTTAACTACCTCGTCCGGCGTGCGCATTTCGAGAACCCATGGCTAACTGTATGGGTCATGAACCCGGGTTTCGTGTAAACGGCCACCGGGAACGGCCATGCCAAGATTTGGGGCATGGAGAAGGCACCCCATTCCATGGAGGACATTATCCCAGGTCTAGTGGGAAAGATTGATGAGGCTACACGAGCTGAGACGTCCGGTAATTTTTACAACTTTGATGGCACCCCCCTAACCTATTGAGACGAGGCATCAAGAAACCTAGGTACCTGTAATGAATATTGGTAAATGATAAATGAGAATGACTTGGATCGACCACATCCATCTGCCCCGTCTGTCCTGGTAATTCCTTAGCTACATATCCCCTAACTCCTCGTCCTAGTATGGCATAATCTAAGTTCCGTAATGGTGGTCTGAAATCTGGTTCATATATAATAAACTCCGTCTTCGGCCTTGGGGCCGATCGGGTTCTGGAGTGGGAAGTCGTCACGGCCGGGGGCCAGCACCTCGTTGCCAGCCCGGTTAAGAACAGTGATCTATATTGGGCACTATCGGACGGTGGTGGAGGCACCTATGCTGCGATTATCTCGATGACGGTGAGGGCACACCATCTTACGAAAGTTTCTGTTGCGACTTTGAACTTCACCACTAGTACGAACGTCTCCACGGACCTTTTCAATAGTGCCGTGCAGACTTTCCTCCTGACGCTACCCAGCTTAGGAGAGGCAGGCACTTGGAGTTCCTGGTTGTTAGCAACCGGTGTATTCTCACTAAGACCTATCGCTAGTCCTGACCTTGATAAAGACCAGCTCCAGGCTCTTCTTAAGCCTACGCTATCCTTCTTAGATAATAATGGCATTCCATATGGTAAGTAATCTCACAGCAGGACGAGACATTGCACTTGTACTGACCTGATATTCAGACTACCAGATTCAACAGTATAGTACTTTCCTGGAAGCATACACTGGAATGTTCCCCGTTGATAACATTACCGAGTACAACATCGGTGGGCGATTGATCCCGAAATCACTACTCGAGACCAATTCTTCGACAGCGTCATTTTTAGATGCAATTAACTTCATTACCTCCCAAGGCGGAGTCGTGTCCGGAAACTCCTTAGATGTATCAGGCTTTCCGAGTACCGGTGTTAATAATTCCGTAAATCCTGTCTGGCGCACTACCATCTTGAATATAGTCTTTGGCCTGCAAGTGCTCCCGTGTGTGCCCATATGAACCTAGTGTCGTTTCCTGTCTAGGTATCTTTTAAGCTCATACTAACCTTCTTTCTTCTTCACAGTGCCTACAACGCCTGCGATTTTCAGGCTAATATTGCGCTGCAAAACGAGATCACCAACACCCTAATGCCGCGACTTGAGGCACTGACGCCCAGCAGCAGGGTGTACCTCAACGAAGGAGATTTCCGCGATCCTAACTGGAAAACTAACTTTTACGGTGCTAATTACGCAAGTTCGTTGTCTATCAAGGACAAGTATGATCCTAATAGTCTATTCTATGGGCTTACGGCTGTTGGTAGTGATAGATGGACTGTTCAGCCAGACGGAAGGCTTTGCCGGACATCATGATAGGTCTTACATATTTGATATATATGATAGCTTACATATGATTCGATTACAGAATATGTACGAATTCCTCGTGTACTTTCAGGGTGACAGCAAGCAGGGCATTTAGAAGGCGCCCACTCTGCCTTAACATATACCACTCCGTCGGGGTCGGGGCCATTTTGTGCTTTCCTATTTCATAATGCTATGTTATCGGCCGGGTGCTTCATTCATAGTAGGGTTTATGCACAGGTCCAATTAGGTTATATCACACCTCTCCAGCTCCTTTACATCTTCTCTTTCCCAAGCGCTTCTTGACTTTGACATCTTTTTCTGCCTTTTCACAAATATACTACTCATTATACGTCTATATTGCTTCCTAGTTGGCATCGTGTCTCCCGAATCTTCCCCAGAGTCCCCCATCGCCGTCCCCGGTGTTATTGAATACACTTATTCCAAGTCAAGTGTGAACTCCCTCCCCGTCGATGAGCATTAGGAAATGGTGGGCGCCGATATGTCTACCCTATCCGATAATGCTACTAGACACGTGCACGTCTAGTTATAACTCTAGAGGACACAAGGCTGGTCAAGATCTATTTCTTTACATGTTAGGGCGCAACTCGGCAATACTTCAAACGAACAGGCGAAAAGCTTGATCAAATAATATTTGCTATGCTAAGAATATTTTGCGTTTGTTATCTATATATCTTCATCTTTTTTTCTTCCTTTTTTTCGTCCTCGGTAGGCGCTACAGGCTCTTGTTTGCGATTATGTGTCGTCTATAAACATTTTTCTGATCTGTCTTCTTGCTCCTGACTTTTCGCAATATTTACGTCGTTACTATGTCTTTTAGATTGAAGGTTGCTATTTTGATTGAGCGATAAGGGTGGTTTGAGTCGTTGGTTGTGGGTGGGCGTTCTGTTCCGCGTGCTCACCATAAATCTGTAGTGATGAACTAATTGTTCTATAGAAGCTGCAGCCAACCACGAAATCTAGATAAATATTCTGGATTGTCATTATCATTTGGGTATTGAGCAAAAAGTCCAATTTTCGAAACTAAACAATAACTGAACCATTGGCTACCGGCACAGTATAATTATACACGCCCTATAGGGAACAGGCTTTATTATACCGGTACTTCAATAGTCCTTCATACCCGAGTGAAACACTTTATACTCTACCTCAAACCTTTAGAGAAACTCGTCGTCTAAGATATTTTCTCGAGACACCCACCAATAATTTCCAATTTCTAACCATTTAATCAGGAACGGGTTCCCTCCCCACCTCTCAAAAATGCGATTGATAGCATAACTTAGATCGCTACTGGCATTAACGTGTACTAGTTCGTCGGGATTGACATTAACTACCGGTTAGGCTAAGCGCGCTGGCTGAAGCTTCAATGACGCCTTCTATCGGTTCTGGGAGAATCTGATCGTTCCGAAGAGCTGGAGCGGTACAAGTATATGATCCGGGGTCCTTCAGGGCTCCGTTTCGAAGAAAGCGGTCGTCCGGCCCTACTGCGAAACGGAGGGCGGGTGCTTACACGGAAGGTGGCCGGGGTGGGCAGAACCCGGAAGTGTGGGTCCGCGTTCCGCCACGACGAGGCAGTAGACACGGTCGTGGCGCATGTTCGATATTGTATATTTATGCATTATCCTTGATCGAGCCACAAATCGTATTCCTTTTCCACGTTCCGTGACAGCAATATCATGCGTTTCCACCAAGGCCGTGCTTGATATGTTCTATATATAACATTACAAGCAAATGTATATACAAGCCCAGATCGCTATTAGAACAAGTAGCGTTATTAGAAGCTTACATCTCATAAATAGAGGATAGGACGTGTTTAATCTCCCTCACCGGCCTCTCTTCTGTTTAGTAACAAGAGGATTGCGAGCCTCTTTTACCATTACTAGTGTAGGTCACGCATGAGCGAGGCAGGCATTGGGTAAGAAGGATGCTTCAACGTAGGTATAGCACCTGAGAACGTATGCGTTAGAAGTAGTTATATTAAGGAGACATCGACAAAGGGTTGGCTATCAAGTTGATTATGGGTCGACGCGATGCATACCGCGGCCAGGAATAATAAAGGTAAGTATTAGACACATGCACATATAATCTTATTAGTTAATTATTGTTATGATCAGTTAATTAGGAATAGTATAGATAGTTTTTAGGCACAGACTTTTCACTATCGGGTATACCATCTTCCACCGTATTATAAACAGTTTAATATTATAACAAAAGTGACAAAAATAAATCGATACTAGCCAACACACCCAGGCCCTCAAAGTGCGCCGATAATAGACTACGTACCTGTTAACTAAATTACTCGTATTCAAAGACAGTTAATATCCAACTTTACACCCCAATGTCTTTACATGTAATTTATTGTAGTTATACGAAGTAAGAAATACGGCCAATATAACCTTTAGGTGTTACCCTCTCCCCGTGTCCGAAGATTACAACTCCCCGTGCCGTTGGTAAAAAAGGGGCACAGTAGGCCACTTGACATTAGTTAGTCCCACCTGAGCTAATACGAAGTTACTGTAGGATGAAATGATATATATTGAACTTCGCATAGCTCTTGCTGAGTCTGTCTACCTACTAAACTACTAAATGGGTCGTAAAGTCGAAACGCTCGCTAGCAACTTACGTACCCCTGATACGATACATGACTGACTGTCTTGCTATCCCACGCGCTAATATTGTTCTCCAAGCAGCTGTGCAAGTTTACAGATAAGCCATTAGATACCTAGCCCCTCTGATTCCACAACTACTCACTATCGAGTATCTGACTTGTATTAGTAAATCCTTAGCCTACGGCCAACATCCCCAGGAAAAAAACGCCATTGCTTTTTTTCCTAACCCCATGTCACAAGCAAAGCATGAAGTACGTAGTGCCGTCTTAGCGCGCTCCGACCGGACGGATCGATCCATTCATCGCTAGCGCGCCCGCCTAAGGTATTCTAGGTCTCTATGGTGAATAGCGAGGGCGGGGATCATTAGCCGAAGCCGAATATTGGGAGTTTTTACAGTAAGGTCCAGAACCAAGGTGTGTGGATTGGCTAAGATACGGGTCTGTGCCGCATGGAGGGATCGGAGATATAGTACCAGACGTCTATGAATTCGCAGCTACTAGTTGGGTGGGGAAGGGGAGGTTCGTTGGGTTTAAGATTTACATAACTAGACAGTTACCGTAGGTTAGTTGTTAGTTGATGTCTTTTCAGCTGGGTTGTAGACAGCCTAGCGAGGCATTTCTGGATGCGGAGATTATGCGGCTGACTTGCTTTGGGAGCTGAAAGTTAGCTAGTATGACTTGGGCTGTCGTGTAGGACTTAGACGGAATATGCAGGCAGACTCATGATTTTATTCAAATCGATGAGGCAGACTTATTCAGTGCTCGTGTTGAATGAATATTCGAGTTAGAATTTACCTCGTAGGTATGAAGCCAGCCTAAGCTGAGATTGTGATTATAAGTTGCACCTTTTTGTTTACACATCTATACTTATGTAGTATTAAGCCGTTAAGCACAGGCCTACGCCATGCTCTCTTCTCCGAACTTTTCGGCCCCCAACGACGATTGCTATTTTGGCTTAATATCATCTGATACAGGCGCATCATTCGTTAGTCTCGTGTCCGCTACCAGAGACCCGGGACAGCTGAATATATTGTATATTGGTTCTACAAACGCGCACCATCATATTTCACCACCGACTTCGCGCGTTTGTTTATTTTGCGATATATTTCCTCATTACAGTCTTTTGTCGTGGCCCTTATCCTCTAACTCCTGTGACTCAACTCTTAATAGCAAACACAAGTCGCGGCGGAGTACATAATCCATCCTAACGTGGCTGTGCTCTCTATGCAATTCTTCCTGCGTCCAACGCGACGAGAAGCAACTTTGCATTGAGGCAAGCATCACATTGATGATTTGATGACCGACGACTTCAATATGTTTGTTTACGACGAAAGCTGGGGAAGGACATGATTCCCAGGTCGCTCTATCGGCCGCATGGCTTCGTCAAAATAGGGGCGCGATGTGCAATACAAACAAATCCTTTTCCGCATATCCTTGATGGCTCAGACGATGAAGACCATGATGCTGGGGACTGCCATCCTAGTGACTCTCAAGGAGTGGATTGACTTAGTATTGCTCTCTTTTCCTTTCCCTCTTTGAGTTCATCGTGGAGTATCATCCAGGTCTGGCATTCGGTATTATCCGCTTATATAATTAGGATAGAGGGAATTGGCGGATTGCAACAAGTAAAAATCCACCGATTCCCACTGAGGCGAAATGCCGTTCCTTGGGACCAAACAATCATGCTGCCCAAATAGGCGAGTATACATAGATAAACCTAGGTAGTTCATGTACAGATGGATTTCTATTATACTCGGCCGAATATGTGCATCGACGCATGTCGTCGAGGCCGAATTCTTTCCACCTACCTATCCCATTTTGTGCGATGTCTCCCCAAAAGAACCATTTCGCGGCTCCTCGAAACGCGGAAGGATTGTTCGAAGCCTCTCAACGGTTTCGAGAAGCTTCATCTACTCACCTAGGTCATCCTCATGAATTTCCCATGCAAGGACCAGAAGCCCATCTACCTGCCTTTCTATTCTCCTAGTTCTCCTCTAATATGGCAGTGTTTATTTTGCATCTCTAGACTTTTGTGTGGAGGTTGAGGGAACCCAGCCGCGGAATTATGCGTGCGTCCGCTGTTGGCTTGTGCGATGAGGCCTGCTCACCGTGCCACACCGTCAGTGCGTTTCTAATACTCCATTAGGTTACTCCCTTGCATGACACCAGCTTGACGCGCGCTACACGCAACACGTACCTATGTACGTAGTCCAATATATATCCCAAAGGTGGCACAGTCGCGCAGCGATGCGCCTAGGTGATAACAACCACGCGTCAAGGAAAAACGCCCAGTAATTTCATTTTACTATACGAGTAAAAGCACCAACTATTATTGTCCTAATGCATAGGTAGCAATAGGCTATCGATACTTCCAGATGACATT